TTACGATGGGGAGAGGTGCTTCATCGCAGGTCTAGGTGGGAAAATGTGGTACACATTATGGATATCTGCGTGCATTGCTCTTCAACACGTGCCATGACTCGGGAGTTGCATTTCAGAGACCAGCCCAGTATATCGTCAGCTACCGACACCCGCCAACAAGGCTCAAAGCTTTGCTGTGGGTAACTGGCACCCAAAAGTCGGTTTCGTGATGTCAGCTAGGCAGTCATATTACATGATAACGTAGCAAGGCTTGGATGATATCGAAGCACGCAAAACAAGCAACGCCTCGAACGTCAAGATGATGCTCCACCGGCCGAGAAAATTTCCCCTGTTGACCTGACCTCTTTCTGACGCTACTTACCCCATAGTTGGTCAATAAGATGGGTATTCGAAACTCGTCCTGCTGTACGATGCACGAAGAAAAAAAAATTGTCACATCGAGGGTGTAAAACGCTGCCAGCGGTCAACTGGTACGGGCCGTACATCCATCGTATGTTCTGTTTGCTCGCATCAGTTCAATGTCAAAGCGGCCTCACAACAGCGAGACAAGGCCGATGCGATCCGGTCCTCGCTAACCTCACGTACAGTCATACTAGAACAGTCCAATCAATTAATTGAACCAAATCAAATTCGACCGATGAGAGAGTGAAATCCAATAATCGTTTGGTAACAATTCCGACAGACAGGGAGAGAAGGCGCTGGAAGCCAGTAGCGATCAAGGCTTTGCGCAGGTGCTGGACCTAGACCTAGAACGTGCCCCCAAATTCCTTCCACTAAATAGCCCCTCCTCAGCAATGAGGTAGCCCCCCCCCCAGCCCAGGCCCAGCAAGCACAAGCAAATAGCCCAGCGCATTGTCAAATCTCAGGCACGTTGACGCAAAACTTCCAGTTTGTGGCTAGCAAACCAACCAACCGCCCGCTTTCTGTTACCTAATTGCGCTCTCCCCTTCTCCGTACCGCCTCGAGCCCCAGCCCGCCCGCCCGTACCTTGTATGTAGGTACCTACTCTACATTATTAACCTAGGTGGTATACCCAATCGAAGGCGTGGCCTGGGGGTTGGAGTGATTTTGGTTGAAGCAATGAAATCCTACATAGATATCTGTACCCTGAGAGTGCGTTGATGTAGTATTTCATCATCCACAAGCCCAGAAATTGCATGCACACCTACATACAAACATACACACACATCCTTTTTTCCGGAGTGTTTGTCTCCTGATTGATATACACGGACCAACAGAAAGAGGCGGGACGGACTTGCCTGCCTGCCCGGAGTGTAATAACTGCAACCACGACCCTGAATCGTAAATCGCAGCTACATACCGACGCTCTTATCATTATACCTACTACTGCTACAACTACCACCCGCATCATCTACCATCTGAGCAACAAGCCCCAAGGGGAAAAAAAACCCACCACCCCTCTCAACGACCCTCTGCCCCTATCGCCTTGACTGGAATTTTGCAAGACATCATTTTAGAGAAGTTTGCGCTGGGACTGTGATCATCCAGAATCGGACTTGGACCCGGCACAACGACTGACGCCACCAAATCGCGCGCAATCGTCTCTCCGTCTTTTCGCGGGCGCCCCTTCTACAGAGTACTACTTTTACTTACAACCCGTTTGTGAGCACCGGCTTGCGCTAAAAGCGTCGTTGGACATTATCCCGATAAGAAGAAACCGGCACTCTGTTAACTCTATTTCTATCCTGGACGACGCGAACCCTTTGACTACCACGGCCATTTACTTACACGTCATAACTTCATAACTACTACCAGCGATCGCCCGTCTCATATCACTCGCTCACTCACCCACATCCCTCTGTACCGTGTCCCAGGTCCAAGTCGGCTTGGCTTATGATCAAACCGATTCTCTAGGTAGCTAGCAATTTTCCGCATCCGCCTGCGGTTATTGACCATAGATACAGCCCAGACCAGAGCCGACAAACAAAGCAGGCCGCATTATTTCAGTTTGCGGATATTACATTCCTTGACAAGCAGACAGACGGCTCTTTTCTCCATCCCCGTCGAGCAGCCCGCTAATTATCGCCCGGGAGTTGCACAAACATCTCTAAGAACCTGCTGATATCATCTTCACCGCCCTTGCGTGCCTGATACCGTTCGATCGGACTGTCCTTCCGGTACCGAGACTGCGACTGCTCTCTGTCTTTCTCTCTCGTCTGCCTGTCAACAAGAACCCAGGCTACTTAGCATTTTTGGGCTGTTGCAAACATCTCTTCTGCTGCTGCCATTCATTCACGTCCTCTCCGCTGTAGGACCCGATTGGATCGCGCCTGGCGCAAATCCCCAGTGTGGATCCCAAATCACATCAGGCGCAATATCGCAATCATCCCACCTGCATTTAGGTCGCCGCGCCTCTATCGGGGGCCCTATCGACGGAGCACCCGCCTAAAGGGAGAAAAAAAAAGTTGAGCATTTGTCTCATCGGCCGACTCACCACAAAAAAAAAAAGTCCTCGCCGCCTCGCTGCTCACTGGCAACGCCCTTTTTTATAAATCCAAATTTTCTTGCAAGACGACACAAAAATTGCAAACCACTCAGTAAGCACAACGCTGCTATATTACCAATCTTCAATTTCCCCTCTGGCAACTCTGGTGTCGGCGCAACAAAAGAGAAGGAGGCCCCCAAAAAGTGGTGGTGTTACGGCTCCAGTCCCGGTGGTGGCTGGTCCTTTTTTTTTTTTTTTCTGCACACGCATTTGAAAGCAGTCTTTTTTTGGGCTGCGGCTTCTTATTCCCCGCCAAAGGATTGCCTGCCAACCTGCCTGCCAACCTGCCTGCCAACCTGCCTGCCTACCAGACAATCAGCCAGCTTTATTAGGAACCGATAAGGCCATTGGCATCTGATGACTCGGCCTGCAGCATCACTATCGGCTGTCACAAAAACTTATATCCCCTAGCTAACGCGCCATTGGACCCTTGGAACTGCAGCACGCCTTTCCACTTCCCAACGCCCTCGAGCTCCTCTCATTGGTACTCCACAGACCGGATCGCGTGCCCGGTGAGTATCAGCCTGCCAACTGCAGTTTACCGCGGGAGACGACGTGCTTCGTTTTTGCTTTGCCGCGTGCTCACACGTTTGCGATAAGCTGGGGTTGCTATTCCCAGACGACACCCTTTCGTCAAAGCGGCACACCGGCTTCTTCCTTGATTGGTCCTTGCCAGACGTATACACCCTGATCCGGTGATACTCCCCGGATTCCCCCTTGGTATCGTCCCGACGTCAAACCGCATTCCCAGACAATCATCATATTTGATATCTGTTCGCGCCCCTCCCTAGGTACGCGTTGGATTGCGATATCTGATTGACTTGTTATTCTCGCCGAAATAACCAACTAAACAAATCAACTTCCCCCCCCTCCTTGTTTGGTTTTGGCACATCCATATAGCCAACCATGCCTGCTGCGCCAATTCCCATCCGGACCGACTTGGTCATCAGGACGGCCCCCTCAGAACATGCCAATGCTTCACCCAGGGCAGTAACGAGACACAAGCACACGCGCTCTTCCTACTCGGAATCTTCTCCAATCCTGTCCATGTCGAGGAATAATTCTCTGAGTTTCCGACCACTCAAGCGTTCAATGCCTACCCCAGACAAGACAATTGCCGTGATCAATGCAAGTGGTCGCCAAGCAGCTTCATTGATCCGGATAGCTACTGCCGTGGGCTACAAGGTTCGCGCACAGCTAAGGAATCTCGAGGGCGTCATTGCCACCGAAGTTTCCACGAATCCCAATGTCACAGTCTTTGTGGGAGAGTTGTACATACGAAAGAAGCCTGACGACAATAGAGATGTCACAGCCAATGGCCACATTCCAGGCATCGTCGTCAATGAGGACCTCATCTCGCAAGTGTTTTGCGGAGCGCAGCTAGCTTTTATCAACACGACATTTTACGGCAATGAGGTCCAGGTGGGTGAGGCAATCGCCGACGTCGCGACAAGGGTCAAGGTTCAGCATTTTGTCTATTCTTCGATGCCTGATCACGCGGCATACAACCCCGAGTGGCCTTCGTTACCTCTTTGGTCGGCCAAGCACAGAGTGGAAGAATACATTCGCCAAATTGGCCTACCAGCCACATTTGTCTACACTGGCATTTACAACAACAATTTCACTTCATTGGCCTATCCGCTTTTCTGCATGGATCTTCAGTCCGATGGATCCTTTGTGTGGCAAGCTCCATTCCATCCTGATGCCAAACTCCCATGGCTCGATGCCGAGCACGACGTCGGCCCGGCCATTCTACAACTTTTCAAGGATGGGCCCTCGAAGTGGAATGGCAAGCGCATTGCGCTGGCGTACGAGCACTTGACTCCCCTCGAGGCGTGCCAAGCTTTCGAGAAGGGACTTGGTAGACGAGTCAAGTACCATAGGGGCCCTATCGAGGTCAAGTGCAAGATCCCAGAGGGTTACCGGGACCAACTGGTTGCCTTGGAAAAGCTCTTTTCCCCGACGAATCCAGACGCGGAAAAGCAACCACCATACTTTGGAGACCGAGTCCTCGAGGACAGCTGTCCGGACAGCGCTCTGGCTTTGTGGGAAGGCCCCAGGGGCTTGGAAGAATACGCCGGAGAAATCTTTCCTCTCGAAGAAGAAGCTAATGGCAAGACTTGGATGTTCGATGATGAGGAGTACGATGAGCCAGCTGAGAGCGAAGTCCCCGCCTTGGATGACGAGGAGCCAGATAGCGATGAGTCCATCGACGAAGGACTCGTCATGAGAGGTCTCAAGCGAGATGAGGAGCAGTGGCTTGCCTAGTCCAAGCATCACCTATCTGTCTGGCACCATCAAACTCGTTCAAGTTTGAGCCGTGGTGGCACACAGTCAACAATTGTTGATATATTTCGCCGTATTCGAAACAGTATGTCGTTGTCGATGTGCATTCAGGCGTCACATTAGACGAACGATACCCCTTCTTGGAGAAAAAACAAAACAAAAGCATAATCATAGTTTCGGCGCATCATTGAGAGAGAGTCACAGCCTGCACCAAATAGCGGGTTTTAGCTACGGGTTATTTCCTTGGACTAGCATTTACATCAGACGAACGGAATCTTCCACAAGCATATTCATTCATATCAGCAAAATATTCATGGCGGGTACTGGTTTGGAGGATTCGTGTGAAAGGAGAGATGGTGTTGCTTGCATTTTCATAGCACGGTGTTGGATCAGCGAGTGGGACTTTGTCGTTCTTCTCGAGTCCCAATGCTTGGCATTCATCCACGAAAATGGAGAGGAGGAAAGAGAAGAGGGAAAAAAAAAGAGTGTATTTCATCGGATTTATGCATAGCATTGCGCAATAAGATGGATGGCACAGAGGTGTGACCATGAGCAAATTCTTGTCGCTGGTTGGATATAACAAACAAAAATTGGGGTTGGACATGATTGAGGGTAACTGTCATTGAGGAAGTTGCCAAAATATCTACCAAAAATAATTAATAGAACCACGAATAATCATCATTGGGTACAGTCATTTTGTTTTGGTGTACAGATTGCCGTTGACGGAAATACCTGCTCTCATGATATTGTTCCCTCTTAGCCAACGAAATACAGAAGCATGTAGCGAGAGAAACCCATCATGAAAAATAAATCATCCTTCCATTTCGAAAATGAGTTGTTAATATAGTAGTGTCTTTTGTATTGTCATCTTCATCTACCAAAAAACCAAGCCTCCTTACTCTAAATCGTGGGCTGTGAATACAACTGACGTTGGTGGACAAAAACCTTCTCCCTTTCCCATTTCATTATCGATAAGTCGTACTTTCATCCATCCATTCTTTATTGTTGAACAAACTTTGCCTCCGTCCCGGCCGAATGGTACTGTTTGTGCTCTTTTCTGAAATCTGTGCATGCCCTTCTTGCCATGGGAGTCTTTCAGGCCAACCTCGCTCGAGGGTGTACCTGAATCTCTCTCTTAATGACGAGTTCTGCATAGCTCTCTTCAAGTGCCTCATCAACCGGCTTCGTTCATCATCGCGGTTATCGAAAAGAAATGCTGGGTATCAAGATGAAGCACTCTTTTCCTCCCCGAGCCTTCTCTCCTACCAAAAGCTCCAAACACCATTTATGCCCGAGCAAATCTTTATATCAAGTGCTCACGGTTGTTTCACATCAGCGACAAGCATGCGCCTCATATGCATCGTGTCTTTCTTCCTGATTTGCGAGTTTACTGGACCTGGCTGACGATCTCGCTTGCCCTGCTGAGCGACTCGACCATTTGCTGGCACTCCTTTCTCCTGCGGACAGTGTAGTCGGATTCCTTGAGAAGCTCGTCCAGCGTTTCTTGGCGGTACATGTTCTCCAGGAGCTCTCGTTGCATTTCATCCTTGGTGAATCTGAAAATTGGTTAGCTATTTTATACAACGTTCTTATTGGGTCTGGTTTTCTCAACGTACTGGACAAGATTGAGCATGATGGCCTTGGGGACCATATCAATCATGGTTCGCTTGACAATATTGTAGTAAGACGAGATAAGCAGCTTGATGACCTCAACCTCGATGTTTTCGCGCTCAGACAGAGTGCCGGAAGCCTTGAGCATTGGCGGCGGAGCCTCCATGGCCGCTGCCTTCTTCTTGTTCTTGGCGGCAAAGAAGCTGCCAAAGAAACCGGAATTGCTCTGCTCCAACCCCTCCAGTGTAGGGCTAGCAGCCCGGGCCGGGGTGGCCGCGGCGGGAAGGGGCTTGCCAGTCTTGGGATCGACCTGCACCGGCTTTGCACCATTGTGTCTCTCGTTAACAAGGGCCATTGCTCTGTGGCCGTTCAGGAAGTCAGGGTGGCCAGTGTTGATGTAGCAGGACTCCATCGCCACGAGATCCTTGACGAGTTTGTTGGTCGGCTCCATGGCCTTCTTGAAGAAGGAAATGATGACATTGTGAACAGTCTCCTTAAGCTGGGGGTATCGGCGGTAGAGTTGCTTTTGGAGCAGCTGGGTGAGGATGCGCACCAGCTCGTCATAAACGAGGGAAACACACTTCAAGCTGGGCTCCTCTAGTCGCTTGATCTGCTGCTTCACAATCAGCTCGAAGGCGGTAGTGCCGACGAACAGAGCAGGCGAAGAACCCGACGAGTTGTACAAAATCGTTCGAATGTCGACATCCTTCACCATATCAAATGGATCGACAGCCTTCACACCGTTTGAGTACAGTTCGTGGAATACGAAGCTGATTCTGGCACCACCAGAAAGTTCCGTGCTTGAGAGTTCGCCATTGTTTCCCTCCAAGACCGTCCGCCACTCATTGGTGAATTCGGTGATGATGTTCAGAACAATGTTTGAGTTGTTGCCAAGCATGGAAGGACCCAGGCTGTTGAGCTCGGCAGTGTACTTTTGCAGCGAGCTCGAGATTCTGGCCTTGATGTCGGGTAGGGTCTGCTTGATGTGCATCATCAAGATCAGGTTGAGCTTGCGCGCCAGGTAAGGGGTACCACAGTAGGAGCTCTTGTTACGGTAAGCCTTGTGTTCCTCGAAAAAGTTCTTCTCGGCCTCGAGCGATTGGTTGATGGGCTTCTTGTTGTCAATGTCTCTCTGACCTCTGTTGACGACCGGGACGTAACCCAGGCGGAGAGGAATAATTCTACCAGCCAAAATGTCGACAACGTCTGTGCCCTCGTCCATCAAGTCGACCTTGGTCAGGACACCAATGGTCCTCTGTCCCTCGGGGTCGACCTCTCGCGCCAGCTTCAAACCGTCCGAGTTGGCCAAGTCAATGTTGGCAGCGGTCACAGCAAGGATGATGGCGTTGGTCTTTTGGATGTACTTGACAATCATGTCACGAATCTGCCTCTCAATATCTCGAGGCTGGTCGCCGACCGGCACTCTGGTCAGACCGGGAAGATCGACCAGGGTGAGGGTGAGGACGTTGGGCGAGTAGATTCTGAGGTTGATGGGGGCGGGGGAGATGCCAGCATTCCGGCCAACCTTTGCCTCGGTCTCGCGGCTGATCTCGTCGCGGATCTTGTTAAAATCGTAGAACTTTTGGCCGGGGACGTGCAAGAACTCTCCCCATTCGTCCTGGTTGGCGGCCTTGTCGGTCGAGTCGAGGAGCTCCTCCTTGACGCCATTTGCTTGTGAGGGTGCCCGGTTGATGAGTTGCAGGACGAGGGGTCGTCTTGTGACAATACCAGAGCCTCGCGGCAAGAAATCTCTACCCACAATATTCTCGAGTACGGAACTCTTGCCACTCGACTGGGATCCGACAACTACTATTTGCGGGAGGTCGATGGGGTTGTTGACACCAACGGTCGCGAAGACATCTTGGAGCTTATTGACGAGCCTAGAGACATGCCATGGTTAGTAAAGAGGTCATCGATCCCAACATGCAAGGAGAAGAAGATGAAGAAGAAGAAGGAAGCTGTCGCGATGCGCCCCGAAGTTGGTACCACCAAGTGCCGGGAACGGAGCAGCGATGCAGGGTAAGTTTTGAGGGTTGCGCCGCCAGTCTGCTTTGGCAAGGGAGAAGGGATAGACAGCAGCATCACCAGCAGCACCAAGCAAAGGGGCCACGTACTTGATGAGGGCAGGATCCGAGATACCTCCCGGAGTGACGATGGTTTCGCTCATGATAAAAAGGGCAAATGTGGTTTGTTGCGGAAAAGAAGGAGACAAGAATGAAAAGGAGGACAACAGTGGTCGAGGGATTTGTTGTTGTTGTCTGTCTTGTTCCTTGATGTTTCGGTGTGCTGCCTCGAGAGTTTCCAGACCCAAGGCAATATGCAACAGGCGGGATCGCTATCGGTGGCTAGGGGTAGGTGGTAGCCAGTTGGTATCTTTAAACTAGTGGTAGTTGGGTTTGTTCGGGTCGACCGACGTCAGTTGTCTGTAGCTCTGATGCAGATGGCACAGGTTTTATTGGCAAGTCTGTCTTTCTCTCTTGGTCACAGAGGCGAAGAAGAGCAGTTATTGTTATAGTGTATGCGCAGCAAATAGTATTAAATTATCTCGAGAAAAAAAAAACACAGTTTAAACGATCCGATTGCAGAGAAATCAGAAAACTAGTTTTTGGGTTTTTGGAGGAAAGGGGTGTGACGTTGGGAGAAAGAGCATCACAGGTTGTTTTTATTCACATTGGATTGGATCGCAAAACCTCTGAAAGTGCTGGGCTGGGCTGGGCTTGGGGGGAGGGAGGGGGATGGTTTGGCATGGGCTGCCGGCATAAGGCAAGGCAGGTAAGGTAGCAGCTATGAAGCCCCCAGCCCAGGCTTCAGGGTTCAGGCCGGCAAGACTCCAGAGACGGGTAAGACCAACCAGCTGGCAACTGACTAACTAAAATTAGTAGTACCCTGATAGCATTTGAGGTGGCATGGAGAGGCAAAACCACGACGAAAATGGAGGCGCAGCAGGGATCAATTATTGAAAGAGGCAACACTTGTGACACATTTGTATCATGTTACCAACTTTTACATTCTATTCAGGGCCGGCAGCTTCTTTGCCCCGTCAGTGAATAGTGTAGTATATCGTAAATACTTAATTGTCCATAGTAGCCTCTTGTGGCGAACATACTTACTCACTTGCACAGACCGACTCAAGAGATACACTACCTATCTACCAAGTCGAGTATCCTCCCACTTGTTATCCACATTGGCAACATGTGGGCAATGAAACTTCCATGTTGTTGCGACTACATGGTAGTGATCGACGGCCTCTTCAATGTTGGGCTCCCAGACAACAGGCTTTTGGCGGGGCAGTGAAACGAGGGAAAACAAATGTTTTGCCATGTTACCACTTATCCAACTCTACTTAATCCAGAAAAACCGACTACTTTTATTTGGAAAATGCGTTACCTAGATTAGGTGCTAGCTTGGTTGGGCAACAAACAAGAATTCGGGTGCCTGAAAAGCCTCGTCACCTGGACCATGCGCTGACGACGACCACGATAAACAGCAGTCTTCGCCATGAAAACGGCATTACTGAAAGAGATGCCTAATTTGTTAAAATATTATACGAAATCAAATATACATCCATATCATGCATGCCAGTACCCTCCCGACCCTCGGAAAATGGTATGTCCTCTGTGCTGCACCGCCATGACTTTGGCCGTATCATACAGCATTTCTATAACATCCAGCACCCCTTTGACGTAGATGCCAATCATTCCACACTGTACCATGGCCCTATGAATCCTCCAAGCTGTGCTGTTCATCTCAAGTACACGCGCGCATTGTTGAACACCAAAACCTAAGATGAAGAGTTGCGTGATTACATGCAATATGATCCAGCGCCAAGTATGGTACCGCCATACTGATTCGAATCCATTAAACGCCTATATAATGCAATGGGAGCACCATATATCTCCCCCGGTGTTGAGTAGTGCCGGTTCTTACTCATTCCGCGATGATCATGTGTGCCAGCTCTGGTGGTCTTGGACACTCTCGTGGCTGATACGCTGCTTCCGTGCCCATTCATCGTTCGACCAGCTGTCCATCCAGTCAGAACACATCTTTTGCCAAAGCAACAAGAGATATAAACTCACATTTTGATCTTGCCATCGTCGCCACACGAGGCAAACAGACACGGATCGGTAGGACACCAAGAAACGGCGTTCGTCCTAGGTTGATGGCCAGACAGCTTCACCACAGGCATGGCTGTAGCTTTGTGCCAAATATTAATAGTGCCGTCTGGTCAAAGTGTCAGTAACCATGCAGAATCGAGATGTGATATGGTGAGTAATCGTTACCTTCACTGCCACTAATGACAAAACTCTCGTTGGCGCCTCCGAAAGCACTACGGATGATATAATCGCCACCCGTGTGCCCAGTATAAGTCTTTACGAGCTCTTTGAGACCCAGGTCGAACAGCTCTGCCACTCCATTCTTGTGGTTGATGAGCAGATACCGGGAATCAGCACTAATGCTGACCGACGTCAACCGGGTGCGAAGGTCGATCGAATATTCGAAATCCCTCTTCTTGAAATTGTAAATGTGTATGTGGTTCTTGTCATCCATGGCCACAAGCCACCGTCCGTCTGGGGATGCCGCCATGTCTTCCACTCTGTGAAGTGGCGACCAGTCCACAATCTTGTGACCCTGTATATCCCACTGTGTAAGGGATTGTTCCTTATCCAGTGAGCCCAGAATGAATGATTGGTTATCTGGCGCCCAAACGCAACTGCTCACAGGTTCGGAAAATTTGGAAACAGTCCTGATTAATGCGCCCGTCTGTGTACGTGTTAGTTTGGATTTCATACACAGGAATGAGTGCGGGATCGCTCACATTGGTGTCCCATAAACGGGCCTCCTTTCTCTGGCAACATGCCACCAACATAGAATCATCCCAACTCCATGCTACATTACCAACACCACCCTCGTGCTCTCCCAAGGTGTGAAGAACCTTGAAAGATGGCACATCGTAGATAATGACCTGACGATCGCCGCCACAGCTTGCCAGTTTCGTTCCATCGTGCGAGAAAGCCACCTGCCAGACTTCGTCTTCATGGTGATCGAGCTCGATAACGGTTTCTGAGGGGAATTGCCTCCGGTCACATGCATGATCCGAGTAAAGCGACGGCGATTCCGAACTGGAGTGAAACATGCACATGCCAATTTGGGTCCGCTTGACTTGTTGAAGTAGGACTGCTAGACGGTGTTCGGGAAGCATAACCGATGCGGATATACATTCTATACATCATGATTAGTATAAATTGCTTTACTCGACATTCCGGGAGACCAAAATGGGAAAGGGATAGGAATGCCGGGAAGGGGGGTGGGGGTTCGTACTGGATAGCTCAGAGAGGAGAATCTGGCGTGATGTTCCATATGCGCCATCCCAGTTCGCGCTCGCTTTGAGATCTGCAGAATCTGGGCACATGAGGAGACTCGAAAGGAATTGCAGCTTTTGCGGATCATGATAGAGTGGTGTGACCTCGTTCCGTAGAACAGCTAGTGCGCGGCTGGTATTTCTTTCTTCAAGAAGCTCGAGATACTTTTGCTGCCTTATCCAGAACCTCATAAGATTTCTGTCCGCATCGTGTGAAAGTACCAACCCATTGCCACCCTGGGTTTGCCTGCTGTCAGCCGAGGTCGCGCCTGTAAGCAAATCCTCTGCTTGAGCCCAAGCTCCGTCGAGAATGGAACTGCGGAAAGTTGATACTGTCTGGTTCTCCAATTCGAAGCCACTGTCTTTGCTGACACTTTCAGCTGCGCCATGATAGCCCATATCCGATAGTGCCTGGATCAGTATTCTCGTCACTTCCTCACGGTCATGGCCGAGGTAAGTGTCCGGCGCCCGAACTTTGGAAGAACCATTTGTAGCGGCAACTGCCTTGTGGTTCCCGTTTGTACTCGACGTCGATGATATGCGCATCTTTCCGTTCGCAAACGCCTTCGAGGTACCATTCGACGCACTTGTTTGGTCCATATCCGCCAACATTGTCTCGTTGGCACGCCGGCGCTTCGGTGTGGATTTTGCTCTAAGTATATTTGAAGAAGCCGAAGCCTCTGGATACCCGGAGCCGAGCTCTTGAACGTCGTATTCGTCGCCGGATCCTCGTCTTCTTCGACCAAGTATTTGTCTGGTGGTGGGCGGTGATGTCGGCGGGCGCGGCTGGTAATTGATTTGGCTTCCGGAAGAAGGTTGCGGGCTACTGGATGAACTGGGCTCGGCGGCGTCCGGGGCAGGGGCGGGGGCAGAGAGAATAGTGTTGGGAGGTATGTTGGGTGTCGGCGGGATGGATGGGTCGTCGGAGGCGGATGGGGTGAATGTGGACGTGGGATCTGGTTCTGCCACTTCGACCTTTGCTGCGGGAAACGAGGTTCCCGCAGTCACGAGGGTTTGCAGCGAAGGTTTGAATGCCCGTAAGAGCAGGGTGCGAGTTCTGATGGATCGTGTGCAGGCGCAAATGCAGGACGAAGTTTAGTTGGAGGCTGTTTGGGTGTCGAGGGCGTCTGTCTGTCGGGTTTACGGTCTGCGGGCAGCTCTGAAGTCCTGCCAGTTCAAGTTGGCTGACCTCATGTCAAAATGGACCGTGAACTTAAACCAAAGGATGAGTAAGGCCGTTGATAGTATGTTGGTCTTCGTTTGGACTGTCAGGATCCGATTAGGGCCGTGTTCGATATCGGTGGCAGTCTCTAGCTGCAAGCCAAAGAAGCTCTGGTTTTGACAAGCTGAGCACAGAGAACGAAAGTTGGAATAGCCGGTCGCTGCAACAAATCTTTGCAGGAATTGCTAAAGGAGGAGTCGCCTTTGAGCTGTGGTTGTTCAAGAGAAGAAGTGATGTAGGTTAGATGGATAGATGGTAGCGTGCGAAGCATGTCGGTTGTGCAGTTGCATCAACTACTACAGAGTACATGGACAAGGTACATTCATTGATTGGCGCTAAGCTTGAAGAGCCTGTGGGTGCAGTGCGCAATCCATCCTCCCACCCAAAAAGTTGGAGACAACCAAGTTCGTTAGCTGCAAGGGTGGCCTAGCTAATGTGCATAGGCAATGTACCCGCGAGAACGGAAAGCCACACGCTCTCACTCGATCCTCATGGCTATACTTTCAATGGAACATTGAATGAAATGCAGGCACCAATCCTTGGGGATGGCATTGGAAAAGGATGCGCGCGGGACTGTTCTTTGCTGATTGATTATCGAGCATGGCACTTTTTCAAAAGTTATGCCTACATACCATGTGTCGCATAACGAGTTATCGAGGTACCAAGATACCTCCCTACACTGCGCTATGTACCAGACGGCAGTGTACGGCACATTAGCGCGTCCTGGCGTCTCTTCGCCTTACCAGGTCAGTTGAGGGGGGGAACCTTCTTCTGCATTTTTGGCATCTTCTCTTTCAGGTCACCTACACTACACCAGTGAAGGGGCCCCCGGCGGGCCGTGGGATTCCATCATCGACTGACGCCATATACTCGCTGTGTCTTAGGTACATGAGACATCTCGCCTGCACCAACTCATTCATTCGCCTTGTGCTGCAAGCTACTCAGATCCTCAAGATGGGAAATCTCGTCTACGTGCTTATTATTGTGCACTACTACAGATAGGCATCAACCGCTTTTTGCTTTCAGACCGCTATGCCTGGTTGAATAGCTGGACGACCCGACTCGTACCATGTCCGATACAAGAAGCAGAATGGGGACGCTCTATAATAGTCCAAAATCCCCGATCATGGCTGCGATAACCAAAGCAGCCTTTACCTGCGTGTCGAGGGGTAACTCTGACGATAAGCACATCCGGAGCTCCACTGTGACTTGCTCATGGGACCTGATAGCACGTCAATCATCCAGGGTCTTAGCGCCATAAGCGTCCAGACTCCCAAGGTACACATGGTTCCCAAAGATATGCCCGGAATAATTATTCAGTGTTGTGCAATCTTGTTCTTCGTGATTATGTTTATAGTCTACGTCTTATTTGCTTTCCTACTCTTCCTTTCTTCCTTTTCCCTCTCCTGAAGCTACGTAGTTGTATAATGGGCCACGGCAATGACTTTGCGGCCATTTGAGAATGGTTGCATAGCACTAGGGCCGATTGTAGTGAAATACTCCGCCTAGTGGGAATTTATAGTACTTATACTCGTGGCATACGAAGCAGATTGGCATTTTCGAAAATACTGGCATGACATCTCTTGTCATGTGAATTTCTGTGTTCTTAGTTGTGCTTATATCTACTGCCTCTTGTCCAAATATAAGGATCTAGGCTTCTGGTCATAATCATGTTGCTCATTCCGTACCACAATCAAAGGCTTCGAAACTCCAAGATGGCTCAGTCATAACAAAAATTCGAAACGGGACGTTCTGCAATCTATAGCTTCTCCTGGCCTGCCTTCAGAACCTCATCCTTCGCAAACTGGTAGTAATAGTCAAGGCTCGTTGGGTTCAGCAAGGTGCCACTAGGTTTAATGACATGGCCCGAAACAATCTGCTTGACAGGTAGTTCGACTTTCTTCAGATTCACAGTCGTCTTTACACAATATACAGTCAATACTCTGAATACGGCCTCACGAGAGGGGATGGAAGGTAACTTACCGGTATCTCCGGGGTCTCGAAAACATACTTGGGCACATGTCTCTTGGACAGGTCCTTACGAATCGCATCCTTGACCTGTACGACCAAGTCCTTTGTAAAGGTGTGTCCGGGGCGCATGAGCAAGAACAACATGACGCTTTCGTCATTATCCTTGGGCCTGCGTTGACCGACGCAGATGGAGTCGACAATCTGGTCCGAAAAGTGCCTCTCCAGCACGCCGTAGATTTCAGCCGAGCCAAAGCGGACCCCGCTCGGGTTGAGGACGCCGTCGGCGCGGCCCAGAAAAGTAATGTTCTTGGTGGTGGGGTGCACGACGATGAAGTCGCCGTGGGCCCAGACGTGATCAAAGCGCGCAAAGTAGGCCGAATGCAACTTGGACCCCTTGACGCCCACTGGCGTCTTGTCGTTCCAGAGGTAGACGGGGACGTTGGGAAAGGCAGCCGTCGCCACGAGCTCTCCCGGCGTGCCGTCGGGGACCTCCTTGCCCGGTCCGTTGGGAAGCAGGGAGTCGTAGACGGCAATGGGCGTGCCGAGACTCGGGCCCTGGGTGCCTCCGACGTAGACGGGACTGAGTTGATTCCCTATGCCAAAGCAGCCGGCCTGTATCAGAAAGAAGTTGTTAGCGGTACCCTTGAGTTGGTGCGCACGGTTTACCTACAATGTCTGTACCTCCGGAAATGTTGAAAAGATGAGTGTGCGCCGGGAAACCACTATCGTAAAACCATTCAAACAGCTGATCCGACAGGACCATGCCGGTAGATGTGACGATTTTGAGATTGGACAAGTCAGTCAACTCGCGAGGTGATATACCAGCCTTGGCGAGCTCATGCATCCACCGAGGGCTGACACCAAGCCTGGTCACCTTTTGATCACCCACGAGCTTGACAAAAGTTTGCAAGTCGGGCTGGAAAGGTGAACCGTCATAGAGCACCGATCTGGCGCCTGCAAATAATTGCATGATGCAGACCAAATACATAATCCATCCAGTCGTAGTATATTGCAATGACACAGACTCTGAGTTCATGCCCTCGTGAATCACGCCTTCCTTGTAACAGTTGATCAAGACGCCTCCTGCCGAATGGACAATCGCCTTGGGTATGCCGGTGGTACCAGAGGAGTAGCAAATCAAGACTGGTTCGTGAAAGTTGATGCGTACGATGGGCGGAGGATTGGGGCTTCCTTGCTTCAAGAAATCATCCAGCTTTTGGGTACGGGGAATGTTGGATACATCCAGAGCCTCCTTGAATCGCCGCACGGATATCATGCCCTTGAAAAGATTGCAGTCCTTCATGCCAGCTTCGATATCAGTCATCTTGTCCCGGAGATCGACCCGGCGACCATTATACAGCGCGGCATCGTCCATGAAGATGAACCTCGGGTTGATCTGCACCGTCCGCTGCAAGATTCCAGACACGCCCATGTCGGTCGAGCTGCTGCTGAAAATGGCCCCGACCCAGCTCGTCGCCAGCAACACGGCCAGCGTCTCGACGCTATTGGACCCGACGACGACGATACGATCGCCCCGTCCGACGCCCGCCGCGTGCAGGGCCGAGGCGAATTGCGCGGCTGTCTGACGGAGCGTGGCCCATGTTACATCGCGCAGCTCGCTGACGCCCTCTCTCACCTCGGTCAGCGCCACCTTGTCATCCTCCTTTCCGGCCGTGCCGTGGAAATCAGAAGGGTCAATGGGCCGGCGACTCCAGAGAATGTTCTCGGCGAAACTGAGCTGGATACCCTCGAACCATCTGGGAACCTCGTCAATGAGCTTGCTCTCATCCACGACACGCTTGATCGAGCCTGTGTGGATAATGGGGCTGCGCTCAAAGACGTCGGTCCAAAAAGTCGATCTTTTGTTTATGGACCACTGGTACAAGTCCCAGAACGTCTGATGTTGTCAGCAAAGAGATCATGATATTATATGCAGTGCTTTCTCACCTTCAAGTTGAGTTTGTGCTTCTGGTTAACCGACTGCATAAACTTGTACATCTCAGTGCTCTGGGGGTCGGGGTGTTCCCAAAGCTTCCTCGGTATCGTTGCCGCCATGTTGCAATGTCAATATAGTGTATGAAGAAAGATAGACTACGGGATGTTTCCTTGGCTTCCAAAAGATCGGTATCAGTGCTCCTTTTGCAAGAATGTCCGAGGTATCGGCACTATTTGGGGAGGGGTGGGGTTCCTAGGCAAGGCTGGAGTATATAGAAGTAAAGACCACGCCTAATTGAAAACGACAAGCTAATTCAGGCCAAGACGAATTCAAGACAAACAATAGAATACACCAAAGACTCGTAAAGTAAAGAATTGATCCTTCTATCTGTTGAAAGACAGACTGGCGGCAAAAAGGCAAGAATCCTTTCCGCGGCTCGTCGGCGGAATCGGCCCAGATACGGGCCGGGGATTTTGTGCGTCAATGTTGTGCAATACCACCCCCGGCCACCAAGCATAAGCTAACCCCCGCACTTCCCCAGTTGTCTGCTCCGCCATATCTGGGGTGCAAATTATACAGTGGACATGAGTCTTGGCCTACAGAAAATATACCGACGGCGCCTTTTAAAGATGGGCATACATGTAGCAAAACGCACAATTTCTATGCGCACGAGCTAAGAGTGTCTGACAAACAGATAGTACCTACCTATATTACCATAGTAATTACTACTGCATATAGCCTATTTGGATTATCGTCCATTCCCCTTGCAATTGTAAAGTAGCTGCAGACCGTGCGAAGAGTTTTAGCAAGCAAGAAATATACCGACGGGGCCTTTTGAAAGTGATGGTATTTTACTAACTTGGTATACTCACTGTACCCCTGAAAGCCCGTCTGTCGGGGAAACCCCCTTTTACAAGGTCTCTTGGATTTTCCAGCCTTTGCCCAAATGTCGAGATCCTCTATGAATTGATTGTATGGTTCTTTTGGGGGAGACTATGTTCATGCCGCTAATAGGAGAGAAAGATTTATAGCTCGCCCTTGCTGTTGAGATCCGTGGCCCAACCTGTGATACCGAGCACTTCCTCCTCTGTGAGCCGGAGGCCAAAGTACTTTTCCAGTGCTTCAATACGCTCTGCCTCGGTCTTGCACTCGACCACCAGTCGTGAGCGACCTCCTAGGTTTTCCTTGATGACTCCGTTGAACAACGTCCGCTTTCCATAGATCTCCTCCTGGGCATCTTGGTCGGCCCCGTCATGAGCAGGCCTTCGCAAGAACTTTACCACTAGGGCTGTCCATGTCTGGTGGCTGTTTGGGCTGCATGACGCCCAGTGATTGACCACTTCCCAGTCCGCTGCCATGAATTCCGTCTCGGTAAACGCATAGTACGAGTTCCATTCGGCATCTGCGCTGTTGCGGTATTGGTAGATCCAAAGCTTGGACTCCTCGGTTCTGTGTACTTGGGTAGGAATCCAGTCGCGCAGGAGGCGCACTTGTTGGGTACCCAGGTTCTGGTGGATTGTGCCCGAGATCAAGGGCAAGGGCGCTGTCGGCCCGTCACCGCCAAAAGCCACGTCGACGGCATATTGCTTGGGCTCCGTCGGCGCCACGTCTTGGTCGGGAAAGGTGACGATATTGACAATATGCACCCATCCAGGGTAGTCTCCTTGGGGTACACCTTGGAATCTTCGCCGAGTTCGGGCGCCGACGGTATAGGCCTGAAATCCTAGTCCCCGAAGAACGTGGTTATATAGAATCGCCAGTTCCATACAGTATCCACCGCGACCGCGATTGTTAGTAACAATCTTGTTGAAAAGGAATTGAGGGTCCAAAGATATGGAATGCGACTGGTTATAGTGTATTGAAAGATTCTCATAAGGACAAGTGGAAATCATATAGGTATGAATTGTTTTGAGAAGCGAAAGAGACGGCGGGGCATTGTGAAATTGCCGAGGCACCCCAATGTAGGCAAGAAACTGCCCTACTTGCGATGGTTTCAGCATTGACATGGTCGTATATTTGCGATGATTCTTTTTCATGCAATGATCTCAGTGCAGCCCGTCCGACAGTGGTGGAGGACAGATGACTGAACCAGTATTATACGATCCCGTTGACGGTTAAGGTTTTGACTCACGGAAATTCCGACCCGCTTATTAAGCGCACCTATCTCTTAGCACTCTCATTTGAGTCATACCGGCATTGCCCGTAGCTTTTGTGTCGATATATAGTAGTGATGCCGAAGCAATGGAGTCAATCAGTTGGACTCCAAGCCACCCCGTTATGCTTGCATGGCCTCTATGACGTGCTTTTGTCTCTCAATTGCACAATACCGTTTGGGTTGGTATACATGTCTGACGACAAGCAAGAAAACTTCATGAGAAATGTGTTTGGCTAGGAAGCACTTTATTCATCGTATCACCCGACAAGTGACAATTTCACCAACGTGCATAATAACTAGAATGCAAATTTGGATCACTGTCAGAAACCATGAACTCCATGGCCTAAAGAAAATAGGGCATTCAAATCTGCCTTTTGAAGTACTAAATACAAACGTTGTCAGAAATTAGCACATGTAGTTGGACATTTCTGGCCTATCAGGGTCACTCAAATGTGAACAGCACCCCTCCAGCAGTGTGCGTTTAAAGGACTTTCCAATCTGAAAAGCCACATCTACTACTTCAGATTCCCATATTCTAACTAACTCTGTCATTTTGGCATTCCAATGCCACTTGCGATCGCGGATAACTTCCTCCTGCATTCCTATCTTTGAACTGTATAAGAGCAAGGGTCTTGAAGCGGAAGCTGTTTCCAATTACCTGATTAGGAAACTCGACCCGAGAGTTATCTCCACCACGACCAAGAACCAACGATGCGAAAACGAATGACTTATCGTTGGACTGGATTAGTTCCGTCATGAATCAATAAAGTATCATACACTGAAGCCAGCCGAGGTAAATCGAAATGCTTTGGAACATTTGTTGGTCATATTCTGCAACATTGCGCTGATCACGCTACAACATGGCAACCCGACTGTATCGCCACCTTCAACAGCACCCGACCCGCATGATGGCTTCAATCTCAGCAGCAACCAAACCACCTATAACGTCCGGCAGAATCCCCGTAATTTATTCAAATGCAGAATCCAGACGGCTTCTCATGACTTCGCCCAGCCCCCAAATTGGTCCGCTAGCTCCGCAGACTCTGGTCCTGCCGCCACCTCATTGTCGCCTTGATGGTCGATATACGTCCCTGGTCCCCTTGAAGCCCGAACACTCAGCTTCCCTATTCAAGCACCTAGGCGGAGTTCAAAATGATCATCTGTGGAGATACATGTTTTCCGGAGGATATGGAGAGGAAGCACAGTTCCAAAAGGCCATAGCCGACTGGAGTCAATCCTCGGATCCCCTCTACTTCTCCGTCATGTCGGGCCCTCGTTCCGATCCTCTTGCTCAGCCGGCCGGTTTGATCTCCTTGATGTCCATCGTGCCGAGCCATCGCCGGATCGAAATCGGCTGCATAACCTTTGGCAGCCTGCTCCAGCGATCCACGGCGGCGACGGAAGCCTGCTTTCTTCTTATGCAACACGCCTTTGAGGATCTGGGCAACTCTCGGGTCGAGTGGAAGGCTGATGAGCTCAATAAGCCTAGCCTGGCAGCTGCGGAGCGGCTAGGATTCTCCTTTGAGGGAGTATTCCGGTAAGACTTGTCCAACATCCCACCTGCATCTCATGACGATCAATGTCCCTGCTGACATGGTTCAAAGGAAACATATGGTCATCAAGGGCCGATACCGAGATACCGCCTGGTATAGTACCACAGAAGATGAATGGACGCGTCTGAAACAGGGGTTCGATGATTGGCTGGCTGATGATAATTTCGACTCAAAAGGGCAGCAACGACGGAGTCTTGGCCAATGCCGAAGCACGTAGATAGATCAAAGGACGGACGCAATGGGAGATTATCATTTAATACAGTCTACGAAACAGGATGGATGTATGCAGCAAACGACTTGAAAAAAGCCATCAATCAACGGACCTCTCAACAGTCATGACACAGTCCGGGTAAAAGCCAAACCTTATACCAGAGACCAGTCACCGTTCTTGGTCAAATCGACCACAATGCCCTGCTTCTCCCGTGCAATCTGATCCTCCAAAGTCCATCCCTCGTGGACATATCCAGGAGGAACATTTCTATTTTGAAACGGCACCCCCGAGATCAGATGAGCGGCGGCGCGGGCAAAGTTGTCCGCGGCGTATTCCTCGGACCTGTGGCCCCAGAGCCACTTGCCTTGCACAATTCGCGATTGCAGCTGCTTGGCCTCTTCATGGCCCTCGCGGTGAAAGTTTGCGCGGTTGACTAGACCCATGAGCTGAATAAGACTGACACGCTCGAATCTACCTCGCACAAGATAGAGATTAGTCATGCCCCGTTCAAGAAGTTGTAATTGCTGTTTGGTGGAAGAAAAAAGAAAGGAAAAGGCACTTACCGGAGAAGTTCATGAACTTTGGCTGCCAAGTGAGGGCCAGCTTTATCACTGAGACGTAGACACTCGGCAATGGAAGCGCCATCTTCCATGGCCACGGTCGCACCGTTGGCAGAAGTGGGAATGAAGCTGTGCGCACTATCACCGAGTTGTAGGACATGGCCCTCCTTGGACGTCCAATGCGGCTGCGGATCGCGCATACACAAATCCCATTTGACCACACTATTCTTTGGAAAAGCCCTGAGTGCCTCGAGGAACAGTGGATCATAGTCGGGAGCCGGTAGCGAGCTGATTAGCTCCTCAGTGGAAATTGTCGTGGACCACGATTCGAGGGCTTGCCCTTGAATATCATTGGGCAAAGTGATGGCAATGGAAACCAGTCTCTTGGAAACAACAAGGACAATATGTTGATTGTGCCCCGCGTAGATTCGAGCTTGTGGTCTCGTCTGTTCCTTCAAGTATTGATCAATCAGGGGCGTGTCTGTGAGATCTTCCGTCCAAATTGCCGCGCGGTAGATGGAGTAGCCAGTGCTGACAGCTCTCACTGGCTTTCCAAGTGTGAGGGCATGAGACCTCGACCCCAGCCCATCCGCTGCGAGTACGAGATCCGCTTCAAAGACGGTACCGTCGGTGGCAATGGCTCGGCCCTTTTTACTGACGGCATCTTCTTCGTAGCTCGCAATTTGCACATTCCACCGGATGGGAATGTCGAGTCGCACGCACTGTTTATAAAGTATGTTGGTCATGTCGTAGCGGCCAATAATGGTATTGCTGCGAATGGGAAACGCAGCATGTGGCGCGACTCCGGGGCGGTTGGGCTCAAATTCCATTGGCGGCACTGCGACCTTGCCATCAATGTGAAGGACCACTGATTCGCAATCAAGTCCCACATCGTAATAATCTTGGAGTAGACTTGGAAAGTGACGAAAGACGGCAACTGCAGAGGGGCCCAAAGCCAAGATATCTCCTATATTGGGAACAATTAGCATGTGAGCATTGGTTAATCATGCTAAGGGGTGGGGGAATGATCCCCAAGTTCTAACTTGCCGATTGGTGAAATATCTTGGCCCTTTTCAATTATTCGAACGTTGTGACCTTTACGCCAGCACTCAATCGCTGCCAGGAGACCACTAGGGCCTGCTCCAACAACCAAAACATTGATGCCCGATTTCGGATACCGTAGAACATTGTCGACAAGACGCGTGTGAGGAAGTTGTTGGTTTGCCATGGCAGATTTGTGTGAAGGATGTTTGCGTTCTTCTGTAAGTGTTAGACGATGGAATGTTCATGGAAAGATCTTTGAGATAAAACCATGGGCTGGTTGACTTCATTTATAGGCGAATTCTCATACTCGTATTGTTTGAAGACAATGATGTCAGCTTGCTTTTGCCTGTCCGACCTCCGGGATTGTGAACGGAATCATAGAGGACCCCGAATCTGTTGAACTCGACTGCCGATACCCAAGCGGATCCCGTATTGAATACTTTCAACTTGTCGGTCCGGTAGATGCCGCCACTTTCCGGTGGTGATCACAGCACTGACCCGGGAGAGGGCTGATCATAGAACCCACTTTAAGCTTGTGGACCACGATGCATGACTACCGAGTGGACCCAATTGAGTGTTCTGATTCTAGAGGTCGTATACTCATCATCTTCTTTTGTTGATCATTCCAGCCTCAGAAACCCCCTTGAATTATACCCTTTGTATTGTCCTCCTCTGATATATGTTGAATTGTGCATTTTGGGCTCTGATGCCAGCTTCGTATTTCTACTTTTGCTTGATTTTCGCGATAGCAGGATAGTCAGTTGCCATTTCTTATCATTCCCCGTTTCTTGCTCCCTGGTATTTGTGCATATCCAAAAGTCAAGAGTCTGGATTCCAGAGTCGGAGTTTCCCAAATGCGCATTCGTTGATCTTGGGGACATCACCGATGTTTCAAGTTCAACAGTGCTTTGGCCAAGGCACTTCCAAGTTCCCACATTACCCTAAAGTTTAAGCTATTCCGTACCCAACGGTAACTTTGAAAACGCGGCGCCGATGACTAAGCGGATATTTGCGCTACCGTCCCTAGTAAAAGTTTCCGGCAACTATAGTGAAAATACGTAGACTAAACGAATCTCCTTGAAACATAAACTATGGAGTCAAATATGTCACAAAGGATTAGTCAGCCAGAATGCGTGCTTGGTAAAATCCGCAGGCTTCCGGGGGAAAATATAACCATAATACAACATCTTGTCGTTGCCCTCCGTTTGTATATTTCTTGACACAAACTTAGAGAATATCTACGCAATTATAAATCTCTTATTTCGACGGTGTGCGTGCTTACCTACAAATTTAAACCTGGATTGCATATGGGAGGATCTGAACGTGAATTTCAAGAGAGTTATTTTTAAATTGTTGACGAATCTTATGAATCGGTCGGAAAGGCGTCTTATTACGACATTTTTTTAATGTCAGAAGTAGAACGGCCATGCTGATTGAAGCGGGTTATCAATATATGACTTAGGTAGCACGCACATAAGAGCTCGGTCAAGAGGAAACTGTTGGCAATGGTTTAATTGCGTGAATTCAGAAACGCAGCCTTTCCTATGCCTTTCAAGTATTTTTCATCTAAGACACCAAGTTGCGTACCATTTAAATCAATCAAAGATGTGTCTCCTCGTGCGTTTAATCAATAATCATCAGTAGGCCCCTTGCAATAATTCCACGCTCGCACTCTGGTATCATTCGATGCTGAACACTACAACAGTGCCAAATACCAAAAAATTACAGTTGAAGGTCTCAGGCTTGGGGCTGTTGGCTGGCGTCCAAAATGATCAGAACAACAAGAGTGCGCTGTAAAAGCAAGGTATAAAGTTGTTGTTCGTTCACAGTGGCTCTTCGGGGGGTTTCATGGTCCCCACTGGGGGCTATTGGAATCGGCAGCAGACTTTGCACAGGTGTTGGTATATTGTTGGCTGCAGGCAACATAGAACTGCATATTTATCGTAGCATTATTCCTTCTAATTTTATGTTTTAGATACAGGCTTCACCAACATGCATAGCAACTTACAGTTGGTAATCTGGGTTTTGTAGTTGCTGCAATTGGCTCATCGGGATAACTCGTCAAAACAGATAAATTCATGTTCTCCCGCGTAAAGAACCCCCCCCCCCCCCCCCCCCCCCCCAATCCTGCCCATCTTACATTGTGAGCACTTGTCTTGTCGCACCTGGTAAGCACGAACGAAAAAAAACTTTGCAATTCTCGATCTTGAGCAGTTGTATCTGAGTCTCTACAATCTAGACGTTCTAGTCTCTTCTTATCATTCTACTTCTTACTAAATAATCGGAAGATGGCCGCACTATCTTTCGTCGAAGGTGAAGTTGCCTTTGAGGCGCCTGGCGCTGGCAAGCCATGTAAAACATGGTACAAGATTCTTGGTGACCTTGGATCCGAGGTTCAGCCTCTAATTGTGCTCCATGGCGGCCCAGGCGCCGGTCACGAATATCTGACATCCCTGACCGACCTCCACGAGAAGTACGGGATGACTGTCATCTTTTACGACCAGATTGGTTGTGGCCGGTCGACGCATCTACAGGAAAAAATGGGAGACGACTCCTTCTGGACATTTGATCTCTTTGTCAAGGAGCTGGACAACCTCGTCGACCATCTCAAGCTTCGTGAGAGCGGCTTTTACCTTTTGGGCTCAAGCTGGGGAGGCATGCTGGGTAGCACCTATGCGGGGCGCCGCTCACCAGGGCTCAAAAAGCTGGTCCTCGCGAGCGCGCCGGCCAGCATGCCCCTCCATATGCAAGGCGTCAAAGAGCTCCTCGTGGGCCTTCCGGAAGAGACGAGAAAGACTCTCGAAGAATGCGATCGCAAAGGGGATCATGAGAGCGAGGCGTTTCAGAACGCTTCGCTCGTCTGGAACAAGAAGCATGTCTGTCGAATCGATCCCATGCCGGAGCCCGTGCAGGCTGCTGTTAAGCACCTGAAGGAAGATCCCACGGCCTATCTCACCATGTAAGCAATCTATCCCCATAATATCGGCGCATCGTCAGTGCTGATAGTACGCTATAGGCAAGGTCCCTCGGAATTCGTGGTTGTCGGAACAGCCTTCAAGGACTGGGAAGGGTACAAGTTGTTTGGGCCCGACATTGAGGTGCCGACATTGCTCATCAACGGGACAAACGACGAGGTTCAAAACTTGTGCTTTGAACCATGGTTTCGAACTATTCCAAAGGTGAAATGGGTGACGATTGAAGGCGCAAGTCACATGTCGCACTGGGAGCAACGCGGTCGGTTCGTACAGTTGTGTGGCGAGTTTCTCATTGGCTTTGCTGAGAAATGATGCCACGATCGTGCGCAAACGCGATCAATGACCGAAGGATTGTTCATTTTCTGAAGTCTCTATGCCAGCGAGATATCTACTCACAGTCTCTTTTTCGATGGGGCGAGCGTCATACGGTCCTGAATTGTTACTAATCAGTGTAACCCTCCGGGTATCTCTACATCACTGTCAATGCATCGCTATCCGCGAAGATCACGGCAATCCTTTCCTGTACATGACTACTCCTGAGTGTTAAACGACTTAGACATTTTCAATCGTTTGAAGATAAAAAGCCAGTCATATAGCTTAAATCAAATTTCATCGGCGGTTCTCTTGAAACATTAGAATTATGATACAAATCATTGCATATCATGTCTAGACTACGTTAACCTTTGTGCTAGTAAATAGGCACTTTCAGCAGTCAGGACCAATATTGAAAACACGGACTTGACTAATGGTGCACCGTATATTATTCACCATGTAGTATCTCTTCGTACTCGGCCAATATGCGTGCAACTGGCGAAGAGCTAAACAATGCTTATTCTCTCAAACCTGTCCCTGTTTTCTTCTATTGCCTCGCCCCTCATGACCCCCCCAACATAGGCTTCGCCCACAAGACGCCAGGCGTCCTGTGTCCCCATTCGGTCTTGGAGTTCCTGCAGCTTTGCCTGCATGCCCTCCACTTGCTCTTTATTACTGCCGCCTTTGGCCTCGATATCCCGCAGCTTTCCCAGTAAGCGCTCTGCCTTTCGACGGAGATGCTCATCGATACTCGTGAATATATAAGGCACGTAAAACCCGGGCACGAGCATAACAGTGTCGTCTTCCTTCAACAAATTTGGTCCCAAGCCGATGCAGCCACCTCTAGTAATGAAAAGTCGTCTTCCTCCACTCATCACAGCCAGTGACACTGCTGCAGCGTATCGCCCCGAAAGGGCATCCTGATCTTTGCTGAAAGCTTCGTTCTTGAGAGGCGGCCACGGCTGACCAGGATAGGCTTTTGTCAGTGCCTGGTAGGTTTTGGTAATCTTGGCCACTTGATCCTGTGATGGTGGCTGCTGCTGGCCTCCGGTATCATTGGGCTGGGAACTTGCTGCAGGCCTAGGGGGAACAGCCTGGGGCTTTTTATTTCCTTGTTTCTTTCCCTTCGAGATGAGATCACGTATGATATCGGCAAGGAAGTAGTAGAAACCATTTGCTGCCTCTAGTGGCGGTGGATGCTGACCACCCCAGGACCCTCCAATCGAAGCGTGAGCAAAAGCAACTATGCCGGGCTGGCCTGTGAAATGATCGATTTTTGGAAGCTTGAGAGCAAACTCAAGGTATTCGAGGACTATCTCGGGCGTTGGCAAAAGTGGCACGAGCGGACCCTTGTGCTCAATCGTGTCTAGTTTGGCGGCGTGCAAGGAGAGGCTTCTGCCGTCAGAGGATATCTCCGGCTCCAGCGAAAGTTCCGTACAAGCGGCGAAGGCTTTCCCGCTCTGCATAGCAAAAGCCTCTCCGCCTTGCTCTCTTGGGAGTTCTGGGTGTGGGATCCATGTTGGCCTTTCACTGAGAGGATTGCCGAACATGGCAGCCACAGATAAGAGACCGACCTCATGAGGTTGGGAGAGGAGACAAGCGGCAAGATTTAGGAAGAGCTCTGGCGCTTTGGCGTCGAGGTGCTCATCTAGAGATGACCACAGCCGACCTTTGTTGACTTTCGGAACGTTCCCTGATTGAGGCCTTCGGACCATGGCCTGCTCCAAATTACCAGGCCGTGGCGGTAATGGCGGAGGCGCCGGCTCGTCAACCTGAATTGCCTGGTTGATCTTGAGAGATTCCGGGAGAATGAGTGAGAGCCCACCAATAACAAAGTCTACCACTTTCCCCCAGTCTCTGGCGTTACATGCGACCAGGAATTGTTCCAAGGTCCATCGGTAGCCTTGCCTGAACAACGGACGCGGACTCAGCATAGAGGTAGGGATGTACTTGAGGACCGTGTAGTAGATGAGAAACCAGTTGCCAACGACTCCGTAATCGTCATGCAACCCCTCCATGTTTCTATTCTCCCCCAAGACCGTATCAGTCCGATGTGGAGTGAAATACCGTGCCATGGACTCGTAGTGGCATCTCAACTCCTCAGTCCCGCCCATGACAGCTTCGCCCTCTTGCAAGCCGCCATTCCAATTGATGGCGGCTAGTACTGTGCCTTGGTCCATCTGATGCTCACCCAACATGAATACGGCCTCTCTTGCAAGCAAGATCTCCTGGAGTACCCACAGCCGACCAAACCAGCCACGAGTCGCGAGGTAGAACATGCTCATTACAAGCAACGTATTTCTAACATCAACAGATTTCGTCTGAGGCGCTTGCTGCCCTAACTGGGCGTAACCATGGTAGTAAGGAAGAACCGTGGTCATCCCGGTAGATAACATGGTTTTGATACCAGGCGATATGAAGATTGGGCACTGTCCAAGCCAAACTACAACCAGCTCGGCACAGCGGTAAATATCTCCCATAATACGGAGCTGTGCTTTTTTTTCATCGCATTTCTTTTGGACCAAGCATATTGCATCCATCCAGTAGAATTCTGCTTTGGGCGATTTTCGCAGCTGAACAAGAGCATCATATAGATTTGCCTGGATTCCCTTTCTCCGTCCATCGCAGATGATGTACTTCGGTGAATTTTCCTCGTCACTCTCTTCCTCGTCACCCTCTTCCTCGTCACTCTCTTTCTCGTCGCTCTCTTCCTCGTCGGACTCGCTTTGTTCTTCAAACAATTTCTCGATGCCCTCATCGGCGGCCTTGGAGGAATAGGCCTGCTTTGGGCTACGCATATACCGCTTTAGGGCATCTAGGAGCCCTTCATCAGCCTCTGGCGATGTGAGGTATCTTTCCGAAAACCCATTTATCAGAGAATCTTTCTCCCATTTGTACGAGAGCGCAGTGTACTTGGGATTATCGCGCAGGCTGACCACGTGTAGCGACACTCGGATCACGTCTGATGCTTGGCCCGGCTCAATCTTCAGCAGACGTATCGACGAAGACGGATCGGCCAAAGAGGTATGGCGGAACTTGTCTATATCGCCCGCATTTTTGAACAAAAGGGGTGCGAGTTAGTGCATACGTCCTCTCAGAGAGGTAGGTAGCCAACTCACTTGGTACCACTCCTTGCCACGGCGCACAGCAGAATTCGCGGCCCCCTCAATATTTGGCTTGACTGTATCCCACACATTAGATATTTTAGCAAAAGAACTCGTTTGCGCGTCGGCCTGGCCAGCCTTGGTGTCTGATATATTGCTCGACATGATTTGTGAGCGTTATGGAGTCAATCCCTCTTTTGAAATTTTTTGTGGTGGGGGTTATCGCCATGAAATATATATATATGTATATATATTAAAAGCCTGAATCCTGTCATGCTTACGGCGCGCGCTGACATCAGCTGGGGGCCTACAGACCTACCCCGGTTCTTGTCCCCGTAATACGGTGCGGCGGCAGACTGCGTGATCTTATGGCGGTCATCGTGGGCGTGGTAGGTACTGGACGTGCTGCCGCAACTCATTGGCCCTTTGCATACACAGCCAGCTCTTGTAGCATTTTATTGTTTAAAATAAATCAGGTATTCAGCGGGATGTGGAGGCTAAAACTGCGGGTTTCGGTTCCAAATGGCGAGCGGTCACAATTGCATCGTCAGTCTGAGTACAGTAAGGAAGCGCCCCGCTTCTCCGGTCGCTACCTAGGTAGTTTGACGGTTCGCCCGACCGTTCTGCCTTCCGCAAACGGCCTATCGGATATCATCCCTCAGCCGAAGTTGACCGGCGAGACACAGGGCTATAGTATAGGTAAACACAGCAAGTGCCAAGGAGAGACTTGTACCAGGGTCTGGACAATTGCAGACACCCACCAAGCATACAGTGGATTAGGCCTCCACTCTCCGCCCCAGAGTGCAAGCTACGTGTCTTGCGTGCGCCGTGTAGGCAGATAGATATGCGACCCAGTCGAGGGGCGCACCAACAAGTAAAGGCATACTATGTAGTATATACACTACAAAGACAATTAGATAGATATTGCAGCACTAATGGTAAAATACCAACATATGACGACAAAGAAAGTGGAAACAAGTCAGCATCTTCACTATGAACCATTGTCAAAATCCCTCGTTATCACCGCAGTAACCAAAAAAAACATCCGAAGTGTCATGTTGCAAGTTCTCCGGCTCGAGGTCTCGTTTAAAAATATCACAGTGGTTGATGGTTGCTTCGGAGGTACCTTCACCCGACGATATCTTCTCTTCATCATCACTGGTTGAGCTAAAATCTTCCAAATAAGCCTCAGGGTTGAGTTTGTATGGACATAAATCCCATGGGTTCAAGTATATGTCGCCGTATGAATCAGTCTCGCCAACTGCTTCGGTGCTCGGTAGGTCATCTTCGAGATCATCAGAAGACTCCGATTCGCTGTCGGGGTCGGTCAGGCTGACGCTCCTCAAAACATCATTGTCATCATCGGTGAAGTCGCCGTAGTCCTGAAGTTTCATTGCGACAGTGTGGTGCGCCTGCACTTGCGCGAGTCTGACAGCCCGGATATACTGTGTTCTGAAAGAATCATGAACTAGACAGCCTCTTTCGAGCAAGAGACATACCACATCTAGCCGTCCGTGCTCGGCTGCACCTTCCAGCGCCGTTCTACCACAGCACTCAGCTCCTGCTGCGTTGATGTCTGCTCCTTTCGAGATCAGAAGTCTCGCAACATCAATGTATCCTTTGATGCAGGCAATTTGTAAGGCAGTCGCACCGCGGATGCGCGCGGGAGGACCATTGACGTCAGCTCCAAAGTCCAGCAACAACCTAATGATTGGCAGATCGCCTTGCTCAACGGCTAACTGAAGCGCACTCCTTCTTTTAGTGCGTCCTTTTCCATCAATAGTGAGAACATCACGTATTTCATATGGTATCCTCTCCCAAACATGGCGTGGAATATTTCTCCAAGGAGCGCGTGCTTCGACATCGGCTCCTGCGTCGAGAAGTAGACGGCTCATTGGCAAGTCTCTCCGGGCGATAGCAAATTGCAGAAGTGTCAAAGACCAAGCAAATCGCCGGTTGAGACGCAAGCCATGATGCAGGACAATACTGATTTGATCCAATCGACCTATAAACGCAACCAATAGACCTAGATACGTACTCATCTTGAAGCCATACTTGCACCATTGGCTAACGTTGAGATCGTCCAAGCATGTCGAAGGTTTACGCTTAGAAAACATGCTTGGCATACTGTCGGACCAATATTTGTGCGGCCTGAAAAGTGCATTCATTAAGAACGCCGAGGGTTGGAAGTTTGCCCGCCAGAAAGCATCCCTGTCAAACTTGTGAAACCACTCCACGACTCTTGAATCACCTTTGCCTGTCAATACTTCGTAGGCAACGTGGAAGAATATGCGTTCTTCCTGAGGCGTCTCCAAAGATGAAGTGGTATTTGAGCGCCGTCTCAACAGTTCTTCGATGAATTTCCAAAAGTCGACGTTCTTTTCCGTTTCCCTCTGTAGCCAAATAAGTTCCTCGAGGGCAAAATCACTATAAGTGTCGGGAAAGCGTTCTAAAATGGTACCGATCACATACGGATTCTTCGTGGCGCAGGCTTGTAAGATGATATAAGCCTCAGCTTTCGGGCTGCGTGGAAGCTTGCAATAGTCGTGAAGCAGGTCCGTCACGTTCGGAACGAGCCCATGTCCTATCCACTGTCCTCTGTCACGAACGGCTCTGATCACGCGATAGAATAGCCAGGATTGTTTCTTCTCGTCGCCTTGGGGCCTTACGACTCTTTCCCATAAGGCGTCAGTGTCACGAAACCAAAAGGCAGATTCAAGGTGAGTCCGGTGCATATACCCAGGTGAACACACGGCACCCTTTTCGATCATTGGTCCCCAGGCTTCTTGTATCCACAATTCAAGGCAGTAGTCCAGAGCGGTCCATCCTGTTTTGGACTTTACTGTCAAGTCTGTTGTAGTTGAAATTAAAGTTGACAGCAAGCCCTCGAATCTTGGAATAGCAAGCTCATAATTGACAAGAACATCTTCCAGAAAATCCACAAGGGAAGTTCTGTGAAACGGTATCCCAGCATTATAAAGAAGCATTGGGATTTTCTTATCAAGACTGGGGTCGATGTCCTCCGCCGCTGCTTTCAGCGCACAATGCATGAGGTTTAGGTGGTTTTCATGGCCACAAGAGACATGACCATGAACGTTTGCACCATTTTCGATCAGAATTTCCACCAACTCTCCCTTTGCTGGGTGGTGGCCGTGTATTGCAGTTTGTAAGGCCCAGGAACAGCCACAATCGCTGCTCGAATTTGGATTGTAATTTGGTGATGCGCCGAGTTCCAAAAGAAGTTCAACAGTGCCGACATAACTATGATCAAACTCGCCATAGTGTTCTGCCACAGCTACCGCAAGCGGTGAGTCTTTACGGGCGTCAGAGCAATTCATTGAATATCCACATTGGTGGATTGTCCGAATGAGTCCGTGATCGTGACACTTAATTGCCCAAATTAGAGCTTTGGGAAGGACCAGAGTTGACAGTGCTGGAAAAGACTGCTCAAGCAGTCCAGCCAACAACTCTGTTTGTCGGAACGTCCATGCATCCCAAAACTCCCATGTATCCATGTCCCAATTCTCTATTTCGCCCTCGTATTCGTCGTATTGTGCATACAGCTCGCGCCTTTGCGTGGGTAGCAAAAAGATTACCATATGTTCCGCACGAAAATTGGGGTTCAACGCGGCCAAGTGACATGCTGTATCGTGTTGCTTACAGCAATTTAGCATTGGCGATGCCCCCTTTGACAACAGCAAACGGACCATTGATTTTGCCTCGGACCAATACCAATCATTCATCACCAGGACAAGTGGTAAATGCGACCCGTGCAATTCGTCTGACCTGATCTTCCTGTTCGGATCGATACCGACATCAAGCAACCACGACACGACATCTGTACGACGTTTCTGGATTCCGGCCTCGAACATATACTCCAATACGGCGTTTAGGGAAGTTTCACCTAAATCAAGAGATTTGGACATGGCCACCAATTCCTTGACTCTTGGCTTTTCCACTAGACGCCAAATGCTATCAAGGTCTCCAGAATGCAACAATTTGTTTGAAGCCAAGTAAATTAGGAGCTTGAGACCCCAGTGACTTGAGGTAGTGGACAAAAGTGATATGCTACTCTGAATCTCTGCAGCGCGCTGCTTGCTATGCCGATCAGGTAATATGGCGCGAATCAGATTCATTCGGTCGCGTCCTGTGCTGATATACGCAGAATTCTGCCACGCACTAGATATTTCATCATTGGGTGATGAAAGAACATGTTGCGCTCTAGACTGCAGTGCAGACAGTTCTTGATGAGACGCCCCGGGAGCCTGGCGTGGTAGGTTTAGGTTGACTAGACGAGTGTTGAGAGATCTGACAAATGCAAGCCATGGGAGACTGTCCGGCCAACGGCTGATGGTGAAGGCCGGTTGACTGTTGGGTGGACTCGTGACCATGATCAAAGGTCCCGGAGGTGATGGTGCGCCGATGCTCTCTATAAGTAGGCACTCAAGTGGTTAGACATGGTGAATGTGTGGGCGCTGCGTGATACTGACCAAGTTGCACCTGCTCAATGGTAGAATACCTGTTTCGACTGATCTCTTTTCTCACTCTTTTCTGGTCGACTTCTGCACCATCAATGAAGATGGTGCTGTTGTCGCCTACGCGCTTCCGCTTTGCTATCTTATAGCCAACATGCTTCCACGTAGCAGCAGGTATATTTGTATCGTTCTTGGAAAATCCCCAGGCCTTGAATTTGGTCTCATATTGCGATTTACTGAATGAAAATTAGTCGGAGAGATGTTTCCTTAGCAACGAGGGCATTGATAACATACGTCGCAACGAAGCCAGCGGAGTGCATCCGCTCCATCAACTCCTTGAGCGTGTAGTTCTGATTGAGGTAGAGCTCGCGAATGGCATCTTTCTGACTTTCCCACTCGGATTTCGATGGCATCGTGTCAAGTTGTGGTTATGGGTGATGTTGCTAGGAGGTAACTGATGGGTTGGGTTGGGTCGGATAGAAGGAGAAGGATGCTCGGCGTTTTATGCAACTCAAAGAACTCCATCAGGCTCTGTGCGACCATACTGAGAAGCTGCTTTTCTCAATACCAAGGTCAGGTAGGTACGTACATACAGTATTCAATGTCTGATTCTCATTGGCGCATCCCGCAATCCGGCCACGCTGCAAAGCCCTTTCGTAACGAGCTGCATTCGGACTGTGGAATAAGCCAATTAGAGCTGACTTCAATGGTGGGTAGTACAACACCGCCTCGGGCGCGCCTACATTAGCCCATTTCAAAAGTCTACCCTTGCTCCCAAACATGGCCGTTTTTTGATTGGTGATTGCCGCAATCCGATTATCTTCAAGTCTGCGAGAAGGTATCATAATTTCTTCGACAGCTTGCACCACGAGGCATAGCCAATATAGGTTCTTTCTGATTGGCTATTTCCACAGTCTGATTCGTGAAGCATGACGGTCTTGGACATGCCTCACTCAAGTCAGTCATCACTACTAGTTACTGACTTTTACATTTAGGCTTTCCATCACTCACTTCCATTTATCAAAACAACGACCATTCTTTTAATCAGGCTCAAAACAAACAGAATATTCCCAGCTCGCTAGCAATCTCACACTGCATCCCATCATGGAGGTTTCGCCCAACGCCATCATCGGCATTGTTGGATTGGCTCTTGCCCTTCCGACCACAATCGCAATTGGCATTCAAGGTTTTCGGTGGTGGAAAAGATCGGGAAATCAAAACATACCAAGAGAGAGGTGTACGTACAAGATGGACACCTCTATACATTCCTCGATCCATGGCTTGAGACTGATTTTGAGACTGGTCTTGAAATATAGTTGAAGTGACTCCGAGAACGAGTCAACCACACCAATACTTATCGAGCTTTGGGTCCACGCGTCGCATAGAAGAAGGACAGGTCTACTTCAACATCGCTGTCGCCGCGTCACTGTATGCTGCTTCACCCAATGGTACCGCAATCGCAGGGGAAGTGGTGGAACTGGAAGACGAGCCTAGCGCCGACAGCTAAGTTGTTGACGGAGGCCTTGGTGGAATATATCCCAAGCCCATATCATAGAGACTGGAAGAAATTGGGCTTTCAACCTTACGAAAGATGTCATTTGCATAGGAATATCTCTAGACGCTCGAAAATGAAGTAGCGAGCTCCGTTGTATATCACGCCATTGAGCCCTGTGTCCTTGCGAACCGTCCCTTACCGTTGCATGCATACAGTCAATCTCTGTACATACTCTCACCTGAGCCAACGTGTGAATGGGAGAAAGCTGAAGATGTGATCGAAAAAGCATAGAAAGAAGTCTGCGTTGATCTAACTGAGCTACAAAAGAGAGGTGCTGAAGAGCGAACTATGTGCCCGAGCAGGTGATCTGCGGTGGGTTCGGACGTATACCGACTACGTCAGTGCAACACGTACATATTCGCATCTACGTGTACAATTATGCGCACCTCGTGCTTTGAATCCCGTGCGCCACCAGACTGAGTTATGGTCCTTTATAGTGAACTTTTCTTCCCCACAATTATGAGTTTCCATTCATCTGTCTGCATCGCATACTGCTGAAGTCGCAAAGTCCAAGTGAAAGTGTAATTTGTCTCGCCCTCATACGTAGTGGCATTCACGAATCCTTCGGTCCCAAGAAATGTTGTCTTGAGCCTGACTTGGTACGTTCATCTCTCCATGTTAATCCAACATCTCTTTGAGGCGCTCACAATGTTCTCCCAATCGGGGTCTGCCAGCATGATCTTCAGCTTGTCAAGGTCGTCGACCGAGTATGTAGATTTTACATCGAAATTGGGACAAAAATTTCAATCAGGTGCCTACTCTCGCTCTTTGACTTCTGCTGCAAAGATCTGGTGCCGATCAAAGAGGCGGATGTACTGGCAACAATTTTACTGACAAGCGCAAGCAAGAGCGGGCTGCTGATATCACACTTACGAGCGTATACTTGACGATTCAGTGTCTTTATGATTTGAGGAACTTGAACCTGTATGTATCACTTCGTGAAAGCCTGATCGTTCACATCGGGTGGTTTGTAATGGTAGACAGACCATCGGAGTCAGAGTTTGATAGGATGCCAAATCTCTCGTCATTCACGGTGCACAAGTCAACACTCATCTAAGCGATTACGAGCTTGGTGGTGTATTAGTGGCTGCTTTCTGTGGCAATGGCGCCAATCCCCTACAAAATATATGCTCCTTTTTCAGCCCTCGATTTTTCATGGAATGGTGAAACAGGAAAGTGGCGTGAAAGGATGGAATGGTGGGGAAATAAGCACACAGAGGGCCATTATATTGTTGCTGGAGAAGAATATTTTGAATTCTTGGTGGAAACGGATCACTTGCAATGGCCGATTTTGGTAATTTGACTAACCTGGATGAATTACTGAGGTAAAAGTGTTGTCCGTTCTATATTATAGAGTTGAAGTCCGCAACAAATGCCCTATAGCCTTTTATATATGGTTGGGCGCAAAAACAGGTGGAATTGATCCCGCTCATGAGACTAGGTTACAATGTCAATTTGTCGCGACCCTCTCGCATGACCCATGTCTGCAAGCCTGTCGATTGGAAAGCAGCTGGGAATGCTCAATTGTGTAGAAAAACGAGGTGCAATAAGTAGTAGTAGTACTGAATTCAACCGAGTTGTATATGATTCGAAATCAAGTCTATACTAACACGGAAAAATGAATCCACAGAGATTGACAAAGCTGCACTAATGCCGACCGAGCGCCGCCATACGTGCGATCGCATATACCCGCGAAACCGCCTCTGTGGGCCGGTAGACGGACGTGGTATTGCATTTAGCCGCGAGAACATCACCCCACGCGACCGAAGCTGCCCCCTCATTCTCGGGGTAACTTGACCGGGGTCGCGGAGCATACATTTCATGCTTGCGTAGTAGGTGTTCATGTAAAAGATGAAATGACCAACGAAACGAGGAATTATTTCCTCTCTTCTACTTCCAAGTATTTCCAGATAGCTTCAAACATCCGAAAGATCGTTGATGCCTACAAATTCTTTGACTTGGCAGTATTAGTTGATCACCATGGGTTCAGACTCCCAGACTGGCCTCGTGCTTGGCTACAATGGCGTCCACCCATTTTCCAAGGTAAACATCACCGACCGAGCTTCGGTGCAAGAACTCCTGCGCACGCTGCTCGATCCGCTCGAGCCCTTCTTCTCGCCCGCCAAGGCCCGGGTCCGCTGCCCCGGCGCCACGGCCGTGCGCTTTGACCAGACGGCGTCCGAGGTCGAGGGCATATGCCGGCCGCTCTGGGGCCTGGCCTGTCTGCTGGCCGGCGACGGCGAGTACCGCGGCGCCGAGTGGTGGGTCGAGGGCGTCAAGGCCGGAACCGACCCGGACAGCCCCGAGTACTGGGGCTACCCCCGGGATAATGACCAGAGAATGGTGGAAATGTGCCCGCTCGGCTTTGCTCTGGCCGTGGCGCCCGTCTTTTGGGAGTCCATGAACGAGAGGGAGAGAGGCAATGTGGAGGCTTGGCTGGGAAATTCCATCAATGAGAAAAAGTATGTCCGATTCCACCGACAAGACGGTAAAATCATGACGGTAATTTGTTAACAGGTGACTTGAATAGTATGCCCAACACCAACTGGCTCTGGTTTCGAGTCTTTGCAAACTTGGGACTAAAGAAAAATGGAGGCAAGTTCTCACAAGAGAGGCTTGATAGTGACATTGAGCATCTCAATACCTTTTATCGCGGTGAAGGGTGGTCCAATGATGGCCCCGAAGGCATTCATCGTAGGTTATCCAAATTCAAACCACTATCCCGGGAAATAGTCTGACTTGGCGAAATAGAAATGGATTATTACTCGTCAAGCTTTGCGATCCACTTCCTCCAGCTCTTGTACGCCAAGCTGGCTGGTGAAGAAGACCCCGAACGTGCCAAGGAATTCAAGAAGCGCGCTCAGGTTGCTGCACTCGACCTTGTGCACTACTACGACGATGAAGGTAACGTGCAATACTCGACGCTTCTCGGACATGGCAATTCTGAACAAAAGACACAGGACGATCCATCCCATTTGGCCGCAGTGTCGGCTACCGGTTCGCCATGGTTTCATTCTGGGGGGCTCTGGCGTACGCAGGAGTCGATCTACCGGAGCCACTCACATGGGGCATGGTCAAAGGCATTGTCCTAAGGCATCTCCGATATTGGCAAACACAGCCTGAAATCTGGAGCTCAAGCGGCACTCTGACGATTGGGTACTCATACCCAAATATGTATGTAAGTAATCGTGCCCCAAGAAAAGGCCCTCACGACTGCAAAAAGGCATGCTAAATATTACGCAGATGGCAGAAAACTACAACAGTCCGGGCAGTCCAGTAAGCCTTGTTGACCTGATTATTCTCGAAAGACTTTGAATTGACATTTCTGTTAGTACTGGGCATGCTTGGCATTCATCTGCCTAGCTGTACCCGCCGAGCATCCGTTCTGGACATCAAAGGAGGAGACTCCTCGAGATCTAATCCCCAAGGTAAAGGCGTTGAAACACCCAGGACATATCATGAGGTAATGCTTTCCAAGACTCAAGACCTACGAACTGTTTGTTGCTGACCGAGGCTTTTGCAAGTTACCTTGGAGGCCACTGCATGCTCCTCTCGTCGGGCCAAGCCTGCAGCTACCCGATGAAGGGCACGCACGCCAAGTACGGAGCGTTTGCATACAGCAGCGCCTATGGATACTCGGTGCCGCCCGGTCTCTTCACCCTGGAGCAGTACGCGCTGGCGTCGCAGCTCGGCCTGTCGGACGACGGCGGCGAGTACTGGAAGACGCGGAGAAAGTCCGAGTACGCCGGGCTCGAGTCCCGAGGCGACGGCACCGACAATCAGCAGCCCGTCTTGGTCTCGGTCTGGAAGCCCTACCCCGACGTCCAGGTCAAGAGCATCCTGATCCCGCCCCAGGAGGCGACGCCCAACTGGCACCTCCGCGTCCACCGGATCGAGGCCGGCCGCGAGGTCATGACTGCCGACGGAGCCTTTGCCATTTGCAACCAGAGATCCGTCGACGGGAGATACCTCGACCCGTACGATGCCGAAAAGGGCGAGGGCACGTTTCCCAAGATCATTGGCAACTATGATCTCAACACACCGGAAGGCTGGTCGCCGGGACGGCAGGGCGCCTTTGCCGTCTCCAAGGGCGCCGTGGGCATCCGCGCCCTCGAGGACCAGGTTGAGCGCAGCGCCATGCTGGTCAATGCGGACCCCAACTCCAACCTGGTCGAGAGCCGCACCGTGATCCCGACGCTGCAGCACACCATCAAGCAGGGAGAAACTGTGTGGTATGTCTCGGCCATCTATGCCAAGCCGTCCGCTGCGGACGTTCCAAAGAACAAATATCTGGATGGATGGGACAATGTGCCTAAAATCCCCGAGTGGCTCAAGGCCGAGATGGGGGCCTAACAGCTGCTGAAGCGGCTGGGGTGATCTACTTTCATGCTTGACCAAGTTTTTAGAATAAGCACAGACTTAGATCTTTGTATGACAGAAACTGGTAGACCAACGGCCACTTGGCGGAATTAGTGAATAGAGTAGGAGTTCATTATCTTGGGCAGTCAGTCTTTCAGTCCGTTTCATGCAAGCGACATGAGATATTGAAGCAGGCTCTGAAACAAAACCTCACTGAGAAGGTACTGACTGGTAGCACAACCAGGACGGGCAAGCCAGCCAACGAGCACCGGCGGCGGCGGCGGCGACAAGGCCGGAAAAGTTTCCGAGCCGCACTCCGAATATGGAGCTCAAGGGCCCGGACTAGGAGCGGAGGTGCTTGGACGGGCGGCCGAAAAATTGAGAAACTTGCGAGAAAAGCCGCCTACTATGCCATTGTCTCTTAAACCTCGAATACATTGAGAAAGACAACATCTTTAAAGTACATAATACTTGTTACATTTGCTTTTGTTTCATCGTGGAAACCCCGCAGACGGGATATCTCTCGGGATCGTGAACAGACGGAAGAAGCAAAATTGGCACAACTGCCGTGTGCGAGGCATAGGGCAACCTCGATATAACGAATTGAGTCATCGGGAGGCCTCTTGCCATTTTGAACTATTTCTTCAAATGGGCCAATGGACCAATCGGGACACGACAATTTTTCGGATGCATATGGGCGGGTCGGCATTCGAAATCAAATCGAAAGTGATAAGCCAATGTTGTTTTGGCAACTTGCTCCGGGCTAAGCGAAGCCAATTGTGATAATACGGATGCAAAATATACTCGGGATTATTTCAATAAAAGTATCGTTGAGTAAGGCTCGTTGCTTCGAGCCCGTTCGTTCCTCCCAAGCCCAAATGTGCCTGTTCAAGGGCAGGGCAATGTGTGATCAAAGTTGAATGATCGGGATCCTAACCGCCTTTTCCCTTTCCCGCATTGATGCCTCTTTTGACTTTCCTGCAATGACGAACCCTAAATACCAATAACATACATGGATTGATCATGCTTCCACCAATGATCCTCTGCTCTACCCTATCGTGGCCGGCGGTGTGCATATTCCTCGTCGCCCTTGCAACATGTATTTGCGAGGACCTAGATTTGGAAAACTCGTAGTCTTTCATTGCCTAGCGCACCAATAGATCTACCTAGGTGCTCGGTGCATGCATTGACACACTAAAAGATGAAAGGTAATGCGTGCTTGCTATTCCAATCCAGTATTGGCAAAGAATTGACTACAAACTTCCAAAATACTTGATGAAGCTCGCAAGTGTCTGGGCGCCCTCGAGTGAAATCGAGTTGTACTGCATGAAAGTTAGTGTATTTCAGGGTGTATAGAGGTGGTGTAGGGTACGAACGTTGCTGGCTCTGATACCGCCAACGCTGCGGTGTCCCTTCAGGCCTTCCAAACCCTTGTCCTTGGATTGGCTCAGGAAAGACTTCTCAGACGCATCAGTGTCGGGGCCCTTGATGATCCTGAAGCAGATGTTCATCCGAGAACGTGCAGTCTTGTCTGGAACAATTCTGTACACTTCGGGATACGCCTCCAGAGCCTCATAGATGAGCTTGGCCTTTTCATTGGCCACAGCTTCTTGGCCATCGACCTTGTACTGCCGGTAGGTGGCGAGCAATTTCTTTAGGACCTGACCAGCAATGTACACATCAAAGATGCTAAGGGTGTTGTACAGACTGTTGTTCTTGGCAATAGTCTCGTAGGACAGGACAATGGGTCCGATGGGCAGGCCGAGCTTCCTGAGAAGCTTTGGTGATGGCTGAGGAGTGACAGGAGGCAAGAGGTCCTTCTTGACAATGGCGACCGTAATGCCGGTAGATCCCAAGTTCTTCTGCGCACCAAAGAAGATGACGTGGTAGTTCTTGACCGGAATCCTCCTGGACAAAATGTTGGAGGACATGTCGGCTACCACAATGGGGCCGGAGCCGTCCGCATTGGGAGTCAGTATTTGTGGGAAACCGGGAAATTCCACACCGTCTGTGAGTTCAAATACATTAGCTCCTCTCGCTGTTTATTCCGCTACATTTCTTCCTCCTTATTTTCTTCCTGAGTTGTTCGCAAGATGACAATTCTGATATATTCTACCGCTTACGCTCTGTGGATCAATGTCTGCAAGACGCGAAAGGACCACGAAGATGATCATTGCAATCGCCGGTTTCCCAAGGGATACGCAAGGAGGGGAGAAGAGAAGGAGAAAAAACAAGAAGAAAAAACAATGAATCAACATACCAACAGTCTCGTTGTCGCAGTAGTAAACCATGGCCGCATTCTGCGAAAGCTTCCAGCTGCTCTCTTCCGGAATCTTACCAAACTGGTGGGTTATGCGTTAGCATTTTGATTTGATTGTTGACATATGGAGATTTGTAAGTTGTACGGTAATCAAAAGGAAAGGGAAGCCCTTGAGACCGTGATAGACGAAAACACGAAATCATAGCTAAACACAAATTTGAGTACTTACTTTGCCATCGTTGATCTTTCTGGCATCAGCGACCAGGTTGACGTGTTCCTCGCCCACAAGGCGGCATGCCTCCTGGTAAGCCTTGAGTGACCAGCCACCAGTGACAACATAGTCAAGCTTCAGCTCGGAAGCAACCTGCTTCTGCAGAATCTCGGCGATCTTGGCCTCATCATCACCAGCCTGTTTCGCGGCCTCCTGCTGCTTCCTGGTGACCCAGGCACCGACAAGGTTGTAGACGGTGGCAGAGAACTCACCACTGCCACCACCCTGCATGAACAAAATCTCATAGTCACTGGGAATATCAAGATAGTTGGCCAGGTCAGCCTTGGCCTCGTCGATGATCTTGGCAGCCAGAGCAGAGCGATGCGAGTGCTCAGCAATCTAGTCAGTCAAAATGTGTTAGCTTCACAAATTTTTTCATGATTGTGTAGAAATTTCCATCAAGTGCTCGAGCTACGACTACCAGGTAGACAGATATTTCCCGAGACAAAATTACGGGACCGGGAAATACCAATGGCAGGCTCTTGTAGGAAAACATGCAAAAGGTGAGGACGCCACAGATTTCGACTACTTACGCCCAAACCAGTGCCCTGATAGTCCAAGAGGGCGCTTGCGGCGCTCTCGAGGACATCGGTGGGCAGAGCCGCCGGGCCAGCACCAAAGTAGGTGATTTCTGCACGAGAAGGCATCTTGGATACTTTGTTCTCAATCAGATTAGCTTTGCGTCGGCTGAAGAGGCACCGAGCCGGGCAGAGAGGCAAAACGTACAGATGGATAGACTACGGAGAATTCTTGGCCGTGTGTAGGAGCGGGCTGGTGCGGATTCCAACCAAGACGGTGAGGCACGAGATGAAGATCGTCGCCCGGAGGTGCTGGTTACAGGAAGCCGGAGGGCGGCGAGGGGATACGGGATATGTTAGAAAGCTAGTAATGCTCTTTTTCCTTGCTCGTCAAACAGACTCCCGATGCAGCGGCAGAGTCAAGTAAGACAAAAATCCGATCTGGTTCGTTGGTGTCACAAGTCTGGGGTATGACTAGATTGTGTGGTTGGACGAACTGAAGCGTCATAACCAAACTTTTTAGTGAGTTTTTGGCCCCTCACATTTGCCCGGTCTCGGGCGCCCAGACGAGATTTGTCAACTTTTTTTTTTATTCCCTTCTCAAAACGCTCTGCAACCCTACATACTAGGTCGTATTTGTTGCATATGTATGTACTAATCACGTCTTCCCGGGCAGAATAGACCTGACTCACTCCAATCGCCTTCAGATAGCCTCCGGATTTGGCGAGTGGGAATAGCAAGTGCTACATTATAAAAGTTAATGTCGTCCTTGCCCTTGCCTCCCCTCTGCCGCCGTCGTCCGTCAGCAGGCACCGAGGGCAGCTTTCTTATTTACCTGATACCTACCAAGCCTGCTAACAAATATTACAACGCCCCTCCCCCTCCCCCTCCCCCCCTCCAAGGCTGATCGCGTGGGGTTCGAGGTAAAGCAAATTGCCATCGGGCTGCAACAAGACTGGCCAAAAATAAAAACTGGGTTAACTAACACCTTGCTTACCTTACAGTAGTCGTTTCCTCTAGGGCCAGGTACCGTTCCTTCTAGAATAACGTGAGAAGCAGCGCAGCAGAGCCAACAACCTGGTCAGGTCGGAAAGCCGCACATGCCCCTCGCACATTAGTTGCCCACCTTTGCCAGCCAGGGACGAGAACTCCGAGTCGCTAACAAACCATGTATACCATCGCTCGGATATTGTCCCGACATCCTATCATTTCGCGTCTCCTGTGCCTCTCTTTGCCCCTTTGGATGAAGCTAGCTTACGATCGCTGGTGTTTGCGGCCATCCGTTGCGATCAGACGATCCTACAGGCTCCAGTGAACCCTTCCAACCACTAGAGTGCATATTCTACTGCTATTGCTACCGTGTATAGTATGTGATCTCCTTCCAGGTACGCTGCATCTATGCCTAGCTCCGTGGAGCGTCCTTTCTTCTCAAACTTCTACCTGCTTAGGTAACCGAGGAGGAACGAGTATCCATTGTATAACGAACAAAAAAAGAACAAGTACCATCCTACGCCAACATCACACCACTATCGTCGTATTGAATGAAATGATCAACGGCATCGGACCCTTCAACCATGTACAAAGTGACGCCACCCATGATGGCTTAGCTGTGCATCGTTTGATTACAGAAGGGCAGCAAAGGTGCGTCCAACCGTGGTGTCGTTCCACTGATGGCCATGATTGGGTACTTTCGGCACTTATTCAGGTCTCCAGCTCATCCCCGGGGCGTGGAGTCGACGGATGCAACAGCGGGCATGGCACCCGCCAGCGCTCCGCTCCCCAAGCTCCCCTTCAGGGTCCCTTTCCATTAGAACCCAACTCCCGACAACGCCAAGAGGAAGCGAGCTGCAAGACCGCACAGCCTACAACACTACGTACGTTGCAAGCTTTTACCGAGCTTACATACAGCACTAAAATGTGCTGCTGCTGCTGCTGCCGCCGTACACAGTAGCACTATATACCTATTAACCTCTACAACATACACAGCATATAGATCACAGACCATCCATACATGACCCATTTCTAGACTATCTGTGCCTGCCACTAAGGAGCCTTGAAAGGATGCATGGCATTGCAGGTCGCCGAGCGCCAAAGTCTGTCAGAGTTCAGACCGCGCTCACGAGTAGCCAGTCGCATGTCCAACCCGCACATGGACGCATGAAGTAGAGAATAGCTCGGAGAAGATCATAACCTTTATGGGACACGTTTCTCGGCGATAAGCTGAGGTTGTCTTCTCTGCATTGGCTCTGATTCGTTCCCATCAACCCGTTTTCCACGTCCTGCTCGTCGCTGGCCATGCCGCCATCACCGCAGCTGTGCTTACAATGTGTGTGTGTAAGTAGGACCCTGGCTGGATTTTGCAAGCTTGGAGCAGCGGCATAGCACAGTGATCGACAAGTCGTCGAAGCCTGAAGGCACCTCTTGGCCCACCCTACGTTCTTCGCCCCCATGCAAGCCATGCACCTAGGGTATTGGGTTCTTTCTCAGCGTTGCAGTTCCGTGCCAACATTATGCCCCTTGGCCACGCGAGCCCTTGGACCCTGGGAGAATATAAAGTTTAACGCGACTTCAGGATCCTGGTGCGCTAATTGCTAATTGGCAGTAGGATGAACTTTCCAAAACGATCAGGGAGTCACTCACTTATACCCAACCTGGCAGCTACTAACTAGTATCAGACCGTCTTGGTCTGGTTCCTCGGCGGATGGAGGTGCGGCGCGCATGGAAACTTCTCAAGGCATTTCAGGGCATTGACAACTGCCGAGTGAACAGACCGGCGATCCAGAGGAAGCACAGAAGCACAACGGCCACATTTGACGAGATGGGGGTTACCCAAAGTAGGCCCGACGATTCTCTGCTTGGCTTGGTGCTTGCTCGCTCATTAACACTATAATACATTGATATTTGCCAGTTCAAATTTTTTTCCTCTTGATGATCATGTTTCATAGCCTTGTCGTCCCCGAATATTTTCTTTTTTCTTTGACATTCTCTCCTTTCCTCGCTCTTTTTCTATTCTCCTATATCTATCTGGTTCTCACTTGGTGTTGTGGTTGGTCTCCCCTCCTCCATCAGAGTCATCAGTTACGAACAGAATAACACTGGCCTCCCCCGTTTGACCCTTCATACTCAATCAATTTTTTTCCCCCTCAAACGGCCATGTTTTCCTTATGACAATTGCCTATATTTTAATGCTTTTGCGATAAGCATGAGTTGTGCATCCTATTGTATTGTCCAAGACGGGCCTTCAAAAGCGGCTGCAGAGCGTGGTGTTACCTACTGAACCTGCAGCGTGGCTGTTATTAAATAAGCTGAGACGAGAGCGCAAGAAATGTCCGAAAGAAAGGCTTCCGAGGCTGGCCCAGCAGCACGACATACTTCTCATGCCGTGCCCGTAGCCTCTTTTCGTACGTCATTCTACCCCCATTTACATACACACAGATCCTTTCTTTTTCTGCTCCTCAGCCTATACCTAGTCCTTCTGCCCACACTCTTTAGTCCAAAATACCTCGGCAAACTTAACATTGGGAATCAATCACCCCGAAAGAGAGCGAGCAAAAGAGAGGAGTGAGAGAGGAGTGAGAAGGGAGGGACAGGACAAAAAAGACAAGAACAAAAAGGGCCCCCCTCACGCTTGGCGAAACCAAACTCCGCCATCATACAGACCTTTTACTTCTCTTTTTTTCATTTCACCCTTTTTAACCGAATGGTACTGGGAAGCTCATGAACCCGCAACTAATGCCATCCGATGACTTATTAGCTACGCACAATTCGCCGCGGACATGGTTCCTCACGTCCGCACTCACCCCGCTCGCCATTAGGCTGATACGGAAGCTACTGGACCATGGCGATAACGTGGTCGCGTGCTTGCCGCCACAGGAGCTCGAGCACGATGACCGCAATGCCGAATTTCGTGAGCTGATTAGTGAGTGTAAGAGCAATCGCAAGGACCGCGAGGGCTGGCTGGGGCGCATCCGTCCCATCCGCTGCGATGGCCGCATCATGGGGCAGTGCAGTGCTGCCGTTGCCGAGACCAAGGAGATGTTTGGCCGCATTGATATCCTGCTCTGCTGTACCTCGGAAGGTAAGTGCAGGCTTGCTCTGATTGAGCTTATTCCCTCGTGCATCGTTCTGGCAGTAGAGACGAGGAGACGGTGCTGAAGTAGAGAAAATGCAACTAACATTGACGCTTTCGCAGCTGTCGTGGGCACCGTGGAAGAGTTGTCGACGAACCCTGGGACGCAAAATCTTGTGCGAGACCAGTTCGACTCCATATTCTTCTCACAGGTCAATTTTATCAAGGCGGCCTTGCCACTTCTACGAGCACAGCATACTGGGCATATCATGATTCTCACCAGCGTTGGCGGCCACATTGGCACGCCCGGCATGTCCATGTATACGGCGGCAACGTGGGCACTGGAGGGGTTTTGCGATTCACTGGCGTACGAAATAGCGCCATTTAACATCAAGGTTACGATAGTGCAGCCACACAAGGAGATACAGTCGCTCACCAACAAAATTGTCTTCTCGCCACAGCTGCCGTATTATGACAGCGATAACAACCCGGCGCCTAGTGTGCGAGACATGCTCAGCAATGTCCTCAACATGAATGCAGACACGGCCATAGACCCGTCTGAAGAGGAAATCATACATCGGTACCCAAAACTGCCAGGTTCGGCGCTGGACAAGATGCTTCAAGAAACAGTCAATGCGCTCACGGCCATCGGAGGAAATGAGAATCCTCCTGCGCGACATATAGTCGGCTTTGAGGGAGCCGAAGCTGTCAAGGAAAAGCTCAAGACAGTCACGGAGGAATTGGAGGATTTTGTGGAAGCCAGCTTGGCTGTCGATATATTCGAAAGTGAGCTCAAGGCGGAGGCGCGACAAGGAAAGGCCAGAGTTGATGCTAGCAGTTCAGGGGCTGTCGCGGGGCCTTCAACATGATCCAGAGGGAAAGAAGGACAAGGGGAAAAAGTGGGATTATACAAAAGAGAGAATGGTATAATCCAGAGCGCATGTTGCTCTGGATATATATCTACGACTTGATCAGAGGTAATTTCTAATCGTCCGAAAAGGTAGCAAAGCATAGTATACGAAGTCACAGAAAGCGATGCCAAAATATAGACGGATATGCATCTCCATTGAGGGTATGGTGTTTCGTGCTCTGTATCCTTGTTCCGAATTTAGCAGTGCTTTGCTGGTTGGGTGCCAAAGATCAGCTTCTGCCTATAAGTAGAGATGCCCGCTAAAAGGTGGTAGGTACCCAAGGGATATCCATTCCAGCACCACAATTCCAGATTGCGGGACGTTCATGGTTAGCAGCTACTACCCCCCAGATATGTCACTAACCGACGTACCCCTGTTTTCAGGGGTTTAATTGATTGGCTGCAACTCGAACATTGGCGCACGAGGCTCGAAGGGAGCTTCAAGCTGTCTGTCATTCACGAACCACTGTAATCCCCCCAAAGCCAAAGCGTGTGCGGCACATTGCGCTGCAACATACCTAACCAACCTACATTACCTATCCAACGTCATCCCGCTTGCTTGAACAGGTGGCCGCTGTGAAGTTTGAACATATTTACAACAATACAGCGAGCATAACCTAGCAGCGACCACCGGCCTGTCGTCCATTCTCACCGCCTGGCCTGTTCCCACCCCCAAAGTGCTATGTCAAAGTCGAATGCGCATACAGTCGCTCCCTGAAGTCGGCGAAAACGATCGAGTCCAATGCCACCATGAGCCTCGACTCTCTGGTACCCATCGCGCCTGCGAGGGTACGCGCACTTGTAGTGCCTGTAGGGAGGATCACCAGGGACAAATTTACTTCCTTTGTCAAGAGACTCAACGAGGAACATGTCGTCCACCTCAGAGACATCAGCGCCGATGGGCGCCCCAATCGAAGTCAGTCCCAACGTGTCCAGACGAACGTTCACATACAACTAGATAGTTAAACGAACGGATGCTGACCGTCTTGAATCTAGCCATGTTCTCCCCATTGGCATTCCCTCATGGAGCCATGTTCTACGACCTCATCACCTACGTCCCACCGACTTCGCATCTCGCCCTTTCCCCTTTTGACCTCTGGCGCGAACCGCTGGCCGTCATAGCCATAGCCGACGGAAGCGAGCTCAACCGTGAAGCATTTAGCAAGAGACAGTCGCTCACTGCGCCAACCACAACGGAAAGAAATATAAGAGCGCTGTATCAGGAGCTGGAGACCCTCCGGGATAGACATGAGAAAGCCCTCATTCATCAAGTAGTAATCTTCGACTATGTACAACCCGAGGGGCAGCCCATCACCATTCCTGAAGGCGTCAAAGTTGTTCCACCTGTTGAGCAGTCAAAACGGACAACGATGAAAACAGTCATGTGCGACATGTCCTCGCTGCTGTTGGCGGAAATGACCACCCTAGCCAAATCGTTTGAGCACATGACCGCGATTGAATCTCCAGGTCACGCTTCTAGGCCGCAAATGAACGGTTCGCACACCACGGAAGATGCGAATAATCACCGGAGGAACTCGCAATTTGCTCTGCCAACGAGATCGGTATCTTCAAGCGGCGCCGTGGATAAGAGCCAGACGCGTATGTCCATGCCTGCTGCCTTCAAAGGTTTGCCTTTTGGCTCCAGCAGCTCCACGCCGTCAAACCGCCCATCGACCCCTGTGAGAAAGAATAGTACAGCATCACAGGCGCCAGCGGCCACTGACGAAATGACGAATGGCAGCGACCAAGGCTCAGCAAGCCCGGAGCAGAAGTCTTCCAGACCTGGAACCGCTGAGGGGTTCAAATCCTCGTCCTCCGATAAGGTCTCGGTACAAGGCTTTGGCCCTGGCGGGCCAAATGAGAGGTGGCGCAACAAAGGCAAAGGGCGGATCACGATTGTGGTGGGCTCCTTATACCTTCAAGCGGGACGATGGGTGGATGCGCTCAAGGAACTTACCGAAGGCGCGACAGTTGCCAAATCTATCAATGATCACCTGTGGCACGGCAAGGCTCTTGACCTTATAGTGGTGTGCCTTCTTTTGCTAGGATGGGCAGGCATCGAGTTCCAAGTACCATCATTATGCCTTTCTCCAGACAGGCCCGCAAGCAAGGGGGCAGAGATCGAGGAAGTTATACCAGATCAACCAAAATATCTACGAAATTTCCAGGCCATCCTGCCCGAGTTGCTGGAAAGAATCGTCGGGCTCTTTTCAAGGATATCTGGGGAGCAATTGCCACCACTTCCCTTGTGTCAAACAGTCATAAGATTTTGCAGTCTTCTGACTTCTCTGCACATTTGCCAGGGGCGTTTGGATAAAGAATTCTTAGATATGGCAGTACTGGGGACGAGCTCTCATCGACCTTTGACTTCTTCGCCACGATTAAATATCACACCGACTCGTACGCAAATTGCGAGTCTCCTTTTCAGAGCTTTCCCTTCTTCAGCACCCGAGCTGATTACGACAGTGGACCGCGCCCTTGTTTTAAATGGCATCGCAACCGTCATGGGCACACTAGGTTTCCACAGAAAGAAAGCAATGGTCCTGCGAGAGTTGGTTGGTGTGCTGATTGGCGGCCTCGTCGATGCTCGAACCCGTGGCGCGGCCGAAGTTGGTATACACCCAGCTGCCGGCTTAATGGCTCTGAACGCCGTCAATGGTAGTAATGGTAATGGTGCCGGAGCGCTTGAACTAGGCGAGGGCGATGTTGAGCATGGAATCGACGCCTTTCTCAACATATTATGCAAGACCTATGGTGCTGTTGGCGCTGATGGCATCACGCGCTCGGGGACTACTCCCCTTGACGATTACAGCGACAAAACGGTCATATCGAGGATTGAAAATCAATCCATGGTTCGACAGTACGGCATCAGGAACGTCAAATTAAACGTTCTTCGAGCCTGCATCAACATCTCGGAGGCACTGCCCGACTTCAATGGAGTACTTAAATTCTCGGGCGACCTACTTCGTACCGCCGGTAGTGGCGTTGCACCAGGACCGCGTCGTGAAGATGCTGCTCCAATAATCACAAGGGAAGAGCAAATTCGACTGGTTAACAATATTGTAAAGACTACGGAGTTATCGAAAAGATTAGGTCTGGGCCATCTCGCAGCCGAGTTTTGGGACGAGTTTCTGGTTCGGGGCATCTCGTTGGACCGTCTACCCACCACTCGAGCACCTGTTCCACATGATAAAAGCGTGTTACCAGGGGCAAATACCGTGCGCACCTCTCAAGACGTCAACCCCTTCATATATAACCCGTTCGTCAGAGCACCTGACAAGGTCGCAGTAGAGCGAACTCTTGTCACTGGAGAAGCTGCTACTTTCCGCGTTACACTGCAGAACCCCTACGAGATTGAGTTGGAGATTGAGAGCATAAAACTCGACACCGAAGGTGCCGCTTTTGAATCTTCAGTGGAGAGTACCGTTATTGGACCCTACCGTACGCAGATCTTGAAAGTCTTTGGCACACCCAAAGAAGCTGGGTCTGTAAAGGTCACGGGTGCCATTGTGCGTGTCCGCGGGTGTCGGGAGAGGAGATTCCCCATCTTTCCCCAGTCCTGGGTAGCAGACAGTGAGGTCAAGGTTAAGTCCATTGGGCTTGCGTCGGTAGAAACGACGAGCAGTCTCTATGAGAGCAATCAGATGATTCGACCCGGCCCGGACCTCAAGCCCGAAAGCATGAGCTTGAACGCCATATCTGCACAACCAATTATAGTGGTCAAGTCGACAACACTACCGCAGTCTGCCGTCATGATTCTTGAAGGCGAGCGGCAGGTATTCTCGATTACACTGCGCAATCTATCGACAGAAACCCCCGCAGACCTACTCCTCTTCTCTTTCCAAGACTCAACACAAGGGCCTCTGCAAACGGCTGTGGCCAATAGAGACGCGACACCCGCTGAACTTTATGAATACGAGCTTGCGCTAGCCAAGAAACCAGCATTGCGGATGCGCAAAGTAGATGACACCAAGAGGTTCATCCCGCCAGGAGGCACAAATACGTTTGAAATCGAGATCTTGGGCAAGCCCGGCTTGACGAGTGGCACTGTTCAGGTCGATTATGCTTATCTCGGCGTGCCTCAGGATGAGATCAAAGAGCAATTCTACACTCGACAAGTCTGTCTAGACATGGCAGTAACGGTGAACGCGAGTATCGAGCTCAACAGGATGGACCTACTTCCCGTGCAAGGAAACGTGCCGAGCCCACTTTGGCAAAAGCTCACCTTGGAACAGACAGACGAAGAGCTCGACCCGGACAAGTATTGCCTTGTCGTGATGGATCTGAGGAACGCTTGGCCAAGCCACATGCAAGTTCACTTCGAGTCTGAGAAGAGTTTTACTATTGATGAACTCATTCTCCCGGGCAACACAAATCGTGTCGTCTTTCCGATTCCCCGAGTCTACCTCGAGGACCCATACGCCACCATTCCAGCCATCAATCCCTCACGGCAGCGCCAATTCGTTGTTAGTACCAGCAAGATTACGCCCGAAACCGAGCGTGCGAACCGTGAGGCTTTCTGGTTTCGCGAGCGGGTCGTTGACTCCCTCCGAGGAAGCTGGAAGACCCTCTCGGGGCCGCCAAGGTCCGGGACTATCGAGCTACGTAGCATGCGCCTTACCCCACGGATGGTCGAAGCTGTCAAGATTGATGAGGTTGCCATTGATGTGGCTGTCGTTCCTATCAACGGGTCGGACAATGGCTCAAACATCATTTATGTCGATGACTTTGCTCAGGTCAAGGTGACTCTTCGCAACCGTACTCTGGAGCCTATATACCCAACTCTGCGACTGTTGCCAACGCTTTGCCATCGGCCACTCAATGTGGCGCTGGACTTTACGCGCAAATTAGGCTGGAATGGGACCTTGCAACGGTTCTTACCTATGTTGGAACCAAAACAGAGCACCGAGGTGGTCATTGGGCTTACCGCTTTGTGTAGAGGCGATTTTGAATTTGTGGCCAGCGTCGAGGAGACAAGACTATGGGAGGAAGGTGAGGACACGGGCAAGGGAGACACTGGAGGGGAGGACAAGATGGGACGAGAGCGCTCAGATACCCAGAAGATGCTGGATGCCGTGCTCGGTCCGAGAGAGAGGAGGATCTGGCATTCTAGACATAAATGTTTGGTCCGTGTGCGGGACCGTGAAGACGAGAGCGATTGACGAGGTATGATGAGAAAGGCGCCTCGGCTGGTCACACAGCGCAATTGTAATACCATAAAAGATTACTACGAAAGATGAAAAAGATATTTTGATTTCTAAAAGACATGCCGTGACTCCTTTTGACGCCTGGGCATGTTTTTCGATATCGCGATTTACCCCCAATGCTGAGGTGATTGATTATGCAGTTTATGCCAACTCTGGTCAGGGCTTGTAAACCCGTAGCCCTCCAATCATCCCCTCTATAATTTAATCTGAACATTTGAGCAGCCTACTACTGGCGACTGAGCTGATTGAGCTGCCTCATATGAGACGAGAGGCCAAAGTCTCCTTTTAGAACTTGGTTCCTCTGTCATGTTTGCTCAATTCCAAGTCTCGTTGTTGGACAGAAGGCCATATATGCTTGCTTGCTCGTTCCGTTTGCCATTCGCCGTAGTCTCTCCCTTCTCGATTTCGCCATTGTTCATAGAAGCCTACCTCGAGCTCTATCCCACACGCGCTGCGCTGCTCTGATTCGCTCTGGGCTCTCGAATTCCTTTGCTTCTCTTTACTTGCCCAAAATTCTCGTCTTTTTTTCGGTATTCGGTTCTCATCTATTCCGCAGCTTCCGTCTTAGAAGAACCGCAACCAGATGAAGAGCAGAATGATAAAGCCGAGCGCGGCAAAGGGGCCGTACTGCTTGAGCATGAGGTCCCAGTTAATCTTGACGGCTGCCTTGCGGTACTTGCGGGAGTCGTCGCGGAGACGGGAGCTAATCTCGCCCATCTTGTCGAGGCTGTCGCCGCGGTAGAGCAGGTCCTCGATATTCTTGGTCATGACCTTTGTCACGTCGCGCAGCTCGTCGTTGAGCTTGCCGAGGTTCTGGGAGGCGCGCGAGTCGGCGTACGTGGCCTTGGTGCGGCCGATGAAGGTGTCAAACTCCATGAAGGCATACGGCCGCAGCGTCGGGCTGTGCAGCTGCGCGGCGCCGTACGAGTTTTGGAACTCTGCCGATATGTCGGACAGGTAGGTAAAGGCCAGCTTGCGCGGGTAGGAGCGCTCGCAGATGCACAGAAAGACAATGTCGTTGCTCAGCAGGTAGTGCAGGGTAAACGGCCCCGACTCGATCGAGGCTTGCGGCTCGGCGTTCTTGTTGAGGCGCCGCAGGATGAGTTTGACCTGCGACTTGATCTCGGCTAGCGACGACTCCATGGACTCCTCGTCGACCGAGGCGCATAGCATGAGGCCTGTTTGGAACCATATTTGCCATGTCAGTCTCTCTGCTCTTTCTCGAACTTTGCTTGTTCCCTCTAACAGGGCAAGCAGGGAAGAAAAAAGAACGTACCATCGCCCACACGGGCTATTTGCGTCGACCTGATCATTGTGTAGCTGTGAATGTGCTATGGGGTGTATAAAATGTCGAGAGAAGACAAGAAGGAGTCGAGACCGGCCCCCCTGACTTTGGGCAAGCTACCCTGGGAGTAATGAAAGTAACAGTCAAGCGAATCGCAACACGTGGCTTTGTCCCAGCCCGAGTTGTATCAATTCGTGATGACACGTTGGAGTTGACGTAATGATGGTTGTTCCCAGGACGTCCCGGACCAGTATTAGCCGTGAGTGAGCTGTAGAGGTGTTTGAATTGTTGAAGGAATGAATTGTCAACTTTTTTCTTTTGTTTCTGGGCTTCTTCCACGATCGTAAAGCGACCCCCCGAGCTTGGAACCAAGAGGCAAAAGGTTGGAAAGCAACAGCTGGCCCCAGCTAGCTCCGCTGGCTTGCCCAATTTACGTCAGGGATAACCTTTGCTGCGCTACAGAAGGTCGTTGGCCAATCAGCGCCTATGACTTTCAAGCGACTCGCTGTATTCAAATGCTAGTGTCACCTAACCTAGGCATTTAATACCACCGTCGAAAGCCATGATAAAACAAGGCACGGGAAAGATGCATGAGATGGGTAATGTTCTAAACGTATACAAGAGGACACAGATAACCCATAAGCTGAGCCTTGAAAAATTCAATTCAATGGTTCTTCCGGGTGCTCTACGCGTCTCGATTTCAAGTATTATGTATGTAGGAAGTAAAACTTGCCATGATCCCATAACTAAAGGGCTGTCACATCCTCGACTCCCAGAGACGATGCAAATTTGTAAACAAATTTCTAGGAGGCTAGATTCTCATCCACCTGAAATGTGTAGAGTAATTTGCCTCACAGATAATAATTAATGATACTTAAATAAAGGATGTACATAGGGGAGACAGTACGTCGCTCGCTGTATCCATGCAGCGGCCCATATCGGCGGTAGAAGGTCACTGCGCATCGGCCCCACCTACCGGTCCACGGCCTGATGCCTCGTCCATAATAAATCAACCAAGCGCATTCATCATTGGATTAGCTTTGGGAAACTGGCAGCGCGCATCAACTTCAGAGCACCGTCATGCTGGTAATTTGCAACCAGGCGGGACATTGATAACGCCTAGAGATATGCTATCAAGGACAAACCATCATGTCATTATTTAACCTGCATCCACCACCGGCCAGTTCTGATGTAAAGTGCACCGCCAACCTCTAGATCAGCTACTGCTTCAACAAACAGCCCCTCGCCAACGACTGAGGAGCCCAGGTACAGCTTGCTGTAGAAACAACACCTGGTAGCCTGGGAGGAAAGGACTTTCCCCCTCCTTTGATTGATCGGAAACTTTTGTATCCATCAATTTCGAGACAAACTCAAAGCGTTACAAGTGCTGTACAATCTTACCCACAGCCACAAAGGACCATCACTTTATGAACACAGCTAAGGCCTTCAACAAGTTCATCAAGAACGACTAGATACTAGCCTCACCAGGTAGTATCTTTACAAAAGACCCAGACGCTCTTCGCTTCGGCAAGATTCACAGGGTATTCCGAAATTGAAGTTTCCAGCCCAACCATGGAGCTCCTGGTCGATGAGAATTCGGCTCTCGCCAAGACAAATCTACGGGCCATGATCCTAGACCCCGAGGTGTGGAAGCTCCTCACCCCCGAGCAGGTGGCACATGTGCAGAAATACTGGCCCGGCGACTCGTATAATGGCGACCTGTCGGCGCTGGCGAGCAATGACCATCTCCGCCACGACATTGCCCAGTACCAAAAGGCGCTTGCCGACGGACAGCACGATGCCGAGTGGATCAGGCAGGCCAAGGCGGCCAACACGCTCAGGAACCAACTTTGTGACGAGGAGGCACAACAGGCACAGCAGCAGGCCAAGGCCGAGATTGGAAACAGCAATCGCGAGCAGGAGAACCAGGACAAGGTCGATGAGATGACCGAGGACGCAGATGGAAAGCAACCCAATGACAACAGCAATGGAGATCATCAGATGATGGATGCTTAGGGATGCTTGTTATGTCTTTTCGTCTGTGTTTCCGTGTGGGTCTGGGTGATCTTTGTACGACTCCGGGAGCCTTCTGGGGAGCTGTAGGACTCCTTGTCGCCTACATGGACGTTGACAAAACACACAAAATCAGCCCATACAGCTCTTGATGAGCTCACGACAGTAATGAGTTATCAGCTTGTATGAGCATTGGAGCTCAGGTAATGATATAGAAGAAGCCCATGTTGAACTTAGGATGACCCCCAGAAAATGGCTATCATGATTAAACCCACAGCAAGAACACCATTGGCCATGTTTGCGACCATGAACCTTCCACCATGAGTATCTTTTTCAAAGAGATTAGTCAATCATTACTTGTCCACTCTCTGAGCAAACTTCATCTCCTTCTTGTCAGAAACATCAAACACGACCAACATCTCTTGCAAAAACACATCACCCAGGATATACGTCCCAGAACCCCGAGCGATACCGATGGTGCAGTAGTCGGCGTCAAACTCGGGCATCCTCGTCTCGGGCAAGATGAGACTGCTGGGGTCGATGCTGAATTTCTTGCCACCAAGCCCTACATTGACTGTTGGCGGCGTGGCGTCGCAGGGTACCGTGTAGGTTCCACTGCCGTAGTATTGGGCCTGGTTGTTGGGTTCACAATCATGTTAGCCTTTTTGCGACTTTCTGAGTCATGTATAAAGTACTTCTTTAGAGTACGACGAAAAGAATATTTCAATCGGTATTCTGAATGGCTTGCCCAGTCCCCTTTGCCTTGGAAGATGAAGTTTGCAATGCTTACCGGAGGAGAAAAGAGGTTCGCGATGCCATCGGCCACATCTTTTGGTAGGTATGTCAAGGTTGTACCGGTATCGACAATCATCAGACCGGGTTGAGTCCAGTTTGACGACGTCTCCGTATTGTTGAAAGTGACACTTTCGGGCTTGAGGCCGTAGTACAGGTATTCTGGCGTTTTGTGGTTGATACTAATCTGTAGGTAGGCAGACATTAGATCGATACTCTGTTTAAAGACAGAGATGTGTGATATCATGCATGAAGAAAAGGAGAAGAAGAAAGAAAAACAAATGCCAAATCATAATTCTCAAAAACTAACGCGAGTCTTCGTTCTTACCTTTGAGATGGGCACCGTAGCAAACTCCCCGGTCTTGATGCTTGGAGGAACTCCACCAAAGGAGATGAATGAGCGTGAATCATTTCGAGACATGGCGACACTAAAGACGGGCGAGATGGTCCCGTTGACGCTCATGGTCTCGACCAGAGGTGGATATCTTTCGGCGTTGGCATCACCGTCGGCCGAGGGATCCGTGCCCAGATACGCCGTGGTGAGCCCCCGCAGACCCAGGCCGAGGATTCCAGACATGAGGCCATTGCCTCGAATGCTGGCAGAAGTAACGAGGGAGATTTGCTGATTTGGGACTGTCAACCCAGCTACCGTGACGCTATTTGTGCATCATGATATCAGCTTGACCAAGTTTACAAATATCATCACCTCCCGAGACAAACTAGAAATAAACACATACTCGGCATATCCAAAGTCTCCATTAAGTGAGTCGCCGCCGCCATACGTAATATTCATGTGCTGGCCGGCAATCTTGCCTCCAGAGAAGGCGCCCGGGTACAAGGGTCCAAAGTTGCAGTACGTTTGTGCCTGCGCGGCATGGGAACGGTCCAGGCACTGGTACGCCGAGGACATGAGCCAGGTATCCGAGCTGCCCGTATCGGGTATCATGGACCAATTGGCGCCGCCGACACCGACTTGCATGAGGTACTCTGTCTGCGTCGGGATCGCCCGGACGTGATCTGTCCCGGACCCGGAGCCGGGACCGAGTTGGCGTGGGCCAAGGTCATCATCCTGGTCGTCCGCATAGTGCTGTTGCTGAAGCAGATCATCGCGGCCTAGTGGGACTCTGATCAAGGGATGGTAGTTATCCGTGACGGCAAGTCCGGCTTCGGCGATAAAGTTGCGGCGAGGCTCGGGATCTGTGAGTACTGGGACTGCCGCGCTCAAGCCGACCAGGAAATTGCCGACCAGACATGAAACTATGTAACTCATCATGGCGCCAAATATAATCTATGATCAAAGTCGGAGAGCGTAAACAAGTATGACCTTTAGCAGCGCCGAGGAGCACAAACCGGACGAGAAACAGTATGGCCTTTCAGTATGGACTACATGACAACTATATTGGGACTGTTTTCTGGCCATAAAGGAGCCACCTCATACACCGTTTAAGAACTTAATGCAACGTTTCCTTGCTCAAGACAAGATCTACAGAGTATCATTAGCATAGCGCCTCATTTCTCATAAAGGGCATGCAGCATGCTACTATTGAGAGTTGAGAATTCAAGTGAGGGGTGGCGCACTCTTGAAATAAACAACTTTGGATATTGATTAGCCGTCAGTGCCATGATCATGTGCATAATTGGCTGGCAGAAGACTGATCTGATAATGCATCATGTAAATGGGAAATACAGTCTTTTTGCATGACACGTAAATATGTGGAATGAATCGATGCGCAAACAAAGTCATAGTAGGTGGGTGTGGTTATAGTGGCTTCCTGCCTATAATAAGCAGCACGAGCCAATCACAAGCCATAGATCTCCCCCGCCAAATCTGCCATGAGCCGCTTTTAGGGTGACATCAGTGGTCTTGAGCTTTGGGTACCTTAGCCAAAATATCTTTCACACAGGCTCAAGGTCTGATCATGTCGGCAGTCGTCGTCGCATTCCAACCAGCACTAAACGTACCGGAAACAAAACAAACCACTCGGGTTTTAATACATTGAGCAGAAATTTACCCCCCCGAGAATAAATACGGCAAAGAAGCAGGAATACGCAACGATGCCTCTGCCGGGCCAGTCTCACGCGCGATCTCATGCGCTGCTGCTCTTTCAGAAATTGCTCAATCTACGCGATAGTGCCAGCCCGCTCACGCTGGTTCTTGATACGCTCGAGCAAAGCGGTCGTCCGGTTTTACAGGAATTCATTGCGAGGGCCAAGGTCGGTAGTTGATTTTCTTTCCTTTCTTGTTTTCTCTCTTCTCTTTTTATTCTGGGTTTTATAATTTTGTGTGTTTGCATGTCTGTAGTGAGTTGCCCACATATTGTCGCCCAAAAAAGCATAACACAAGAAAACCAGCACGACTTTTCTTGGGCCGTAGTGAGAATCTCAACCACACATATCCTCTTTTCTCTCGTATTCATCTTGTTCATTTGGAATCTTTGTATGAGCAAGTGCTGATACAGTTCTGGTTCTCTCACAGGTTTCGAGGTCCAAGATCATCTACATTTCCTTTGCGACGCTGCGCAAGCCCGCAGACGCCGACGTATTTGTCCGAGCCCGGGGCAAGTCCATTGACAGCCTACGGTCCGAGATTGTATCTCACTATGCGGCCATCACCAAAGGAGCAGGAGGAGGAGCCGCCGGCGCCGCCGCCGGTGGTGCGCAGCAGAAAGTCCTACTCATAGTGGACTCGCTCAGCCCTCCATCCTCCCTCTTTGCCTCCCACCTGCCGCACCTCCTCTCCTCCCTCATCACGGGTCCTTCCGTCTCCCTCGTCGGCCTGTACCACCTGGACGTGCCAGTGGTGCTGCCGGCCACGTTTGGCGAGTACGAACCCCACCCGCTGACGGTCCTCTCGCACCTCGCCACCGCCGTCCTGCGCGTCGGCAGTCTGTACCAAGCCGCCAAGCGCCGCGAGGCCCGGAACCGCAGCCTGCCCGAGCCCGAGTGGGGACTGCACGAGGGTCGCGAGGGCGTGCTGGTCGGCCTCAAGGAAGGAAACGGCTCCGCTGCCGCAACGGCTGCCGGTCTGGTCGTCGAGATGGAGATGCGCAGGCGTAGCGGTCGCTCCGTCGGTGAGAAGTTTGTCCTCATTCCCAGCGAAAAGCTCGGCCTGGGGGGCGCGTCGCGGCTGGCGCTGCTGAGTGATCATCCGTTATTCAAAGATCCCGTGACTGATGACGGAGGGGCTGGAGAGGATGGAGAGGAGCCCGAATCAACCTTCAGTCTGGGCTTGACTGAGAAGCAGCGAAGGGACCGTGAGGGCATCGTCTTGCCGTACTTTGATGCACAGACTGATATTGGTGCTGGCGAGGGCGGTAGAATTCTCTATGAGATGGGTCGCGAAGATGACTTTGACGATGAGGAAGATGAAATCTAGACAGCCTGTAGATCAGAAAAAAGAACCTGCCAGAATCTGAATACACCAAAACGCAAAGCGTGCTCATTGCATGTTCATTATAGTACATCTCTAGCTAGAGGACTCCCTGGTGCGGACACAATAGTCCGTCGAGCTCCAGCGGGACCATATCTATTTTCGGCCACGAAACTCTCGTCGTCCTGGCGCTGAGAGCATACTTTGCCACTTTATGGAATTGGATAACCGTCCCATCAAGACTTTATCCCAAGTTACTCGTCATCGACCTGCATACCTTCACCCTCTGCCGTCTCGCCACCTGCCTCTGCGTCGTCGGAGACGCTGTTGATCCAATCCTTGACCTCATTTCCATCGTGCACCTTGAAGAACTCAAGTGACTTCTTGCCGGTTCCAGTGAGACCCACGACACCGACACTTGTGTTGTCAACCGTCAGCTCGCGATCCTGAACCAGCGTCTCCTTCAGTGCTTTAAGACCATGCTTGATCAGGTCTTCTCGGCCGCAATCGGGAAACTTCTCGGCATTCTTCTCGAGGTATGTCCGGGCCATCTGGGAACGAGCGCCAATCGCACATGCCACCATCTCCTGGGTCATGCCGCTGGGCTGAAACTCGTATAGGTGGGGGCCGGTCTCGTCAATGCCGGCAACGAGAAGACCGACACCGTAAGGCCGCTTGCCGTAGTGCTGCGTGTTCCTTTGAGCCTTTTCGCCGATCAGGGATACGAGGGTCTCGACGGGCATGTCTCGGCCGTAGGTGAGGCGTTGCGATAGGCATTGCTGCTTCATGAAGTTGGAGAGGACACGGGCGTCCGAGGTCAGACCGGCAATAGCGAGGCCTACGTGCTCATCTATGGCAAAGAGCTTCTTCTGGTATGATGACAGCTCCTCTGCATTTCTCTAGAGACACAGCGTTAGTCGCGTGGTTGCTTCGGGCGTGTCTGTTCGGTTCAAGAAGAGCAAATGCATGTGTATAGGTGCAGCGGTTTGTCCAGGCAAATGCGTACCTTGATTGCTACCAGTACGGCGTGTGTCTTGCTCGTCAAACCAACCACCACTGAACCTTGCTTCACGGCCTCGGCGGCATACTCGACCTGGAATATTCTTCCTTGCGGAGAGCTATAGAGAGCTTGTTAGCAAGAGGCCGGGCGCCCGTGAGAGCCAAGCTCGTAGCTTACAATGTGACCGAATCGTTGTCGTAATTGTTGCGGAACATGGTGAACCAGTGTGGGAATCAAAAAGCAGGACAGGAAATTGATATGAAGCTTCTTGAAAACGTGTTGCAGTCGTGATGCTAATTGTCGTGGTTTCGAGGTGGTTGTTTGGCGAGGCTGATGAATATGAGTGTCTGGTCTGGCAAGGCAGGCAGCTGGAGCTTCGTCAGGTCCTCGCTGAGGTCAAGTGTATGTTGCTTCTATTCGGGTTTAGCGCGCTCGCAGGGGCCGCACCTTCAGTAGCAATGTGCTGCCTTGCAGGGGCCCAACGCGCCCGTCAGTTCGGGGGCCTACCTACTAAAGCTGTGCACGAGCTTCTCAGCCAAACAACCTTGGAGCTGACGACACTGTTGGTCTGGGTGCCGGACCCGGAAGAGCCTCACCCACCTAACATTGGTAACATCATTGCTTCAATCTTCAACATCAACAACACCAACCTTGTCGGCGCATTCTCGCGAAACCCGTCAGCAATCTCGCTCTCGGGTATATCAGATACAAGCCATCATCTACCAAAACCGAGCATAGCGCCAATCCGACCGCGACTGGTGACTTCCATACCATCTTGGTTACCGATAAACCCCCTCATCGTATCTGCTCGATCACTGCAGCTCCCTGCACAATGTCGAACGCAGGTTTAAAAACAATCATTGCGTTGTCCTTCGTGCTCGCTGTTGGATTCCTGCTGGTCATTCTGTCATGTGCGCTCTATGGCGTCTATCTGCCGTTGCTTGTCGTGGCTACCTACGTGCTAGCTCCGCTGCCAAACTGGATTTGCAGCCGCTGTGCCAACCCCGATGACTTTGTCGAGAGTTCCGGTAACGCCATTTTGGATCTGGGTCGCTTCTGCACTGGCTTCTTGGTCGTTATGGGAATTGGTAAGGCGCTTTCGTTGCACAAATAAGGGACCACTGCTAATTTAGGACACAGCGTTGCCCGTCCTTCTCTATCACTCGTCTTTGATCAACGCTGCTGCTACAGCCATGAGCATTATCGGAGGACTTCTGATCTACGGGACTATCATCTCGTTCGGCATGTTCTTCCAGGAGGACTCGGAGTTTTAGACGGATTGGTGGACGGCCGAGCTGAAACCTTCGAGAGGTGGAGGCACTGGAGGGACGATAATACGAATACTGTATCATACGAATGCATACGCCAGTGGAAATGATGGACGAAGGGTATGGCGGCCTGAATTAGCATATTGCAGGTTACTCGAATGCGCATTCTGATACCCTACCGCGAATGGGCATCTGGTTATTGAAATTGCTTGTCATTTGGATCTAGGCGTTCTAAGTCAAGTTATCTATCATTTCAACTTTCCAGCCTCCCCTCTGACCACCGTTGTGCCTTTACCGAGTTTCCCAAGTCAAGTTGTACCTAGACTGCGACACCTTGTAGTCTTTGAGAGCCTTGATTGCGCCTGCGGCAGTATCGGCCGTTACTAGAATCTCCGCATTGGCTGGGCGAACGAAAGATTCCTCTACAGCCTTTCGCAGCCAGTCCAGCAGCCCATTGTAGAAGCCACCAATGTTGAGTAAACATACGCCCTTGTCGTGAATGCCGAGCTGGTTCCACGTGGCGACCTCGAATAGTTCCTCCATGGTGCCAAAACCTCCGCTCAGCGCAATGAAGCCGCTCCCGTCCGCACCTTCTAGCACCTCCTGAGCCATCATCTTCTTGCGAGTGTGCATGTCTGGTACCACCGTTGTTCGCCCGTAGACTTCTGCTTCCGGTACGTAGTGGCCGTGCTCATCCTGCTTGCCGGCGTAGGTCGAGTCTCGCTCGAACTTGACGAGCGCCTCGGGGATGATGCCGTGCACGGCGTCCGGACCGGAAATGGCCACAATCGTCTTGGCCACCTCGCCCATGAGCCCGACAGTGCCACCTCCATAGACTGGATGACCAGAGAGTCAGTGAATGGGTCCAAGAAAAGAGGCAATGTTTGGGTGCGGTGGGCGCCTCCCCGACCGCCTGAACCTACCGAGAGAGATGTCGTTTTCAGCCATTAATCTGCCAAGCTCACGGGCCGCCTCAATGTGCTCGGGGTTCTTTCCCGGTGCAGAGCCGCAATAGACACAGATTTTGACCTTTTTTTGTGCATTGGGATTCAGCTTGGATCCGGACGGTGTAGACGTCTGAGGAGTGGTCGGAAATGGTGATGCGCCGCCGGATTCCATGTTGGGCATTTGAAGGTTCTTTGCGAGCTCGACAGAGTGGAGATTTCCTGAGAGAAAAGGTTGCCGTGAGGAAGTAAAGGTTGTGATGTCCCTTTCGAGATACAAATACAAATGGTCGAAGGAGCGAAGTCGGCGGAGCAAAGTAAAGGTGGTTGTACCAAATTCGAAGCTTATCAAGAGCAAACAGTGCCTAGTGGACGGGTCTCTGCGGTTACAGCAAACTGCCAAACAACTGATGGTAAATTTGGACAGTCAAGATCATGCGTTTATGTACTTCAGATGAAGCGGGGATGTATCACTTTGGTCTTGAGAGGTGAGTCACGATGTAATATATACCTGGTACCTAAGCTACTCACAAATATCTACCGAGAATAGCAACGTGGACGGCCGCGCCCACCGACCATCTTGTGGCCGAGTCGAAGCTATCGTGGTTCTGCAGATGACGTAGCCTATTCTGCTGTCCTAGATAATCCTCATGGTCTTACCAGTTGGAGATCGTCCGATTCCTTTGTGCTGTTGTCTATAGACACTTGTCGTAAAGCATCCAGACACACTCTTGAGAATTGGAAGTCGAGTCATTCTGAAAATAGGATTGGTCAACTGAATGCCAGGTCATGGTCACCAAGATGCGAAATGTCATTGCTGCAGGCGATACCTAATGTGATAAAGGACCTTGGCCTGGCTGCAGCTCCCCTAGGGTCCCCCGCCGTTCGTCCACTAGAAGCTGCCCCAGGCCACTCCCCGCTTTGCCAGCTCAGGCGACGCGGTGCGCCTAGGGCCTCTAGTAAAATGCGTGCTCCCCCGCCGGGCTGCCATTCGCCGATGCGCCGGGGCGATATAGGAGACCCGCTTTTCTTGAATTCGGGGTTCTAGACGAAATAATCTCACAACCGAATGGCTGGCCTCTTCTAGGCAATCCGATCAGCTTCATAGGTGCACAATTCCAAAGCGCCTTCTCTTCAACTTACTCACCCAGCGCGCATATTATACGCGCATCCTGCCACGATGCCGGAAGGAAATGCCGCGGCCGGTAGGCCTGCTCAACAAGAGCAACAAGGCGTAAGCAACGCGTCTCCCCCCAGACAAGCCCCTTTTGGCGTTTGACGGCTAACCGTGATGATTGTGTTCTCCAGCAATCCATTATGTGGAAGATTGCCCAAGGTCTGCTCATGTGGTATGGCATGCAGATGGTGATGAAGCAATTCACCGGTGGCAACAAGGCACAGACCACCAAAGAGGTGACGGACGAAGCTGGCAATGTCGTCAAGGTGCCAGCCAACACGGGCTCCATCCCAGCCTACCAACTGCGGCCCAAGACCCTTGACGAAGGTGCTGTCTATGCTCGAATCCCTCAACGTATCGCACCTATTTGGCCTACCGATAGCTCTCTTGACATCATTGTCACTCTATCCGACTCATTCATTCCCAAGCCCATTGCCAGCACCGAAGAGCAATACCGCGTCCTTGAGGAGAAGTCTTTCCAACTTGCCAACTACAGCGACAAGCGCTTCGTTGAGACCGAGTTTGCCGTCCCTACGGCTGTTCAGAATAACGGAACGCTTTGGGGACATTTCTATATTGGCCTGAGTGGTTCATCTCTGGATCCCAAGGAACCCGGATTCGATCCGGCTACCGCTGTTCACTTTACCTACCCCTTGACGCAGTATATTGGAAAGAAGAAGGTTGCCAAGACGCGAAACTTGTTGGAAGGCAAGGAAGAAATTGAAGAGGAGCCTGAAGAGGAACCATCTACTGGCCCAATCATCGCGAGCTACTACCATCCCAATACCACCTTGTCTTTTGTTCCCGATACCGGCATTCTAGAGCTCGCAAAGGCTGCACCTGCAGTCCGCCAGTTCCTGAATCTAGAACCAACTGGGGCTCGCGATGGTAGTGGCCAGAATGGCTGGTACTACCCGATTATGTATATCAACCAATTCTGGCAGCTGAAGACGCACATGACTGTTCTCAATGAGACTGTCAAGACCCTGCCTCTCCGACTCGACCTTGGAAACCTAGCAAACTGGCAGTTTACCATGATGGCAACTGTTGACCTGAACTCGAAGGAACAGGCTCGACAGGCTGCCTTGGGCCATTCCAACCCGGGTGGCGGTGATGGTAGCGAGATTGAGATGATCAAGGAAATCTTCATGGACACCAACCCTTACCTCCTGGGTGTCACCATTGTTGTCAGTATTGCTCACATGATCTTGGAGACACTTGCCTTTGGCTCCGACATTGCACATTACCGCAAGAAGAAGGACAACGTTGGTATCTCGGTGCGCTCCATTTTGGCCAATGTATTCATGCAGACGGTCATTTTCTTGTACCTTGTGGACAACTCGCAAAACACAAGTTGGATGATTTTGGGTACCCAGGGTGTTGGTATCCTGATTGAGCTTTGGAAAGTCACTACGGTTGTCAACATTCGCCTTCGACCGGCAAATCCTGGCTCCTGGCTACCATACTCTGTTGTGTTTGAAGACAAGCACAAGCTCAGCGAGACCGAGGAAAAGACCAAGGAATACGACGAGATTGCGTTCAAGTACATGTACTGGGCTGGCGTTCCCCTCCTCATTGCATACGCCATCTACTCCTTGGTCTACGACTCTCACAAGTCATGGTACTCCTACATCATTACCACTCTAGTCGGTTCCGTCTACGCCTATGGCTTCTTGATGATGGTGCCCTCCCTATACATCAACTACCGCCTCAAGTCAGTTGCTCACATGCCGGGCAAAGCCATGATGTACAAGTTCTTGAACACGTTTATTGACGACTTGTTTGCATTTACGATCAAGATGCCCTTCTTGCACCGTCTGGCCACTTTCCGTGACGATATCATCTTTTTCATCTATATTTACCAGCGATGGGCTTACAAAGTTGATTACACTCGTGTCAATGAATTTGGACAGGGTGGTGACGATGAGCCCAGCGAGGAACTCAAGGCTCAGCCCAAGTCATTGCCCAAAGCCGATCCAGAAACGGAAAAGGAGATCACAGGTGGACCCGTTGCTACTGGTGCAGACACTGGCAAGGCTACCAAGAGGAAGTAATGCCTCTATTTGGAAAATGTCAGGCGCAACAGGCCACAGGATGGAACTACAAAGTCTTCCTTTCTCGGCTCTAGATAGATACTTTGCATAATTTTCAGACGGATCGTTCATGGTCAGACCAAGATACGTCGCTGTATGCTACTAAAATAAGAACCCCCAAGACAAGCTCGCAATCGATGCACTACTGCGACATGAGAATGCGGGAATGACTTAACAAGGGATTGTAACCTGCTGTCAGACTGCATAAGGAATCAAGCAGGGGGCCGCCAATGACAGAAAAGAAGCGATTGCTACATGTAAGTCAGCCCTATAATACGTACAGGCCTGGGGGCAGAAACCGTAAATTCGAAAATGCCATCCAGTCTTTCCAGAACTGATTGCCGCAGCTTCTAGTGGAGGATCTGTCGCTAATCCTCTCGGCAAACGGGGGCCAACGGGCCAGACCGGCAAACCGGGAGCCCCGTGGGCCTACCAACTCCAATCAAGGTTAATAGTACAGGGGGTGAACTGGGGGCCCTACCCACTAAAGTCTCTAGCTGTCACAGGCCAATCTTCCAGAGTGAAATGCACGCCTTAACCCCCCAAAAGCTCTTCAACCTTGAAATAGAAACGTGCCTTATCTGCCCAAATAGACATGGTGACCGAGATCCCTCCCCTTTTGTGTTACACGGCGATCTGCAACTCTATCTAACCTTCAATAACGCATTTCGAATCACGATCTCCGAGTGCTGTTACTGCCACTGCGACCGACGACATACTAAAAGGCTTGTCCTACCTAAAGTAGCCAGAACCCACTGATCGTTGCCGTTGCTCCATCTTGAGACTTGACCAGTGACGACATTTGCCGAATGCCGCGCAATTGTCTAGGTCTTGTGTGTCCTGCAGAACATTCCAGCGAGTTACAATACGATACCTAGAGCCAACGGGCCTCCTCCAGCCAAGCTCGCAGTCCAGGCGCAACGACACGAAGCCCATATCTCAACCTGATCCTTTGGCGACTGTAGACTTGCTCACGGACAAGTTCTTTCTTTCTTTTTCTGGGGATCATTGCAGCATCCACCTTATTGCAAAACAAACCCCCCCACCGACCAAGAAGGCCGCCTGCGCGATACCAAATTGCCGCCTCCCGACTGGGGGAACGAGTCTCGGGCCGGAGCAGGAGACATGAACAACGAGACTGTCGGTTCACTCCTGGCCGTCATTGCGAATTCGATCAACGATGGCCTCCGTATTATGATGTTCGCCGACAAGCGCGTCTGGGGCCCTGACGAGTTTGAGCAGCTGAGATTACTGGAAGAGACCCTGGACGAGGCAAAGAAGGACTTTCAGAGCTTACCGTCACTTATACACGGGCGAGGATACTATGAGCATGACAGAAAAGGTACGTGGGACCAGCTTACATACAAGCTCTTAGTAGCCCCTCTCCGCTTGCAGAGGAGTTGGCTGTGTGCAATCAAGTGATGGCCCATTGTGAAGCCAGAGACCCTCAATCTGATTCGAATGTGGAAAACCCCCTGGAAGAGAAATATTGACCTAATAAGTACGCTTTTCACAGTCGAATCACTCGAGGACCTCCGATTATTATGCACGCGGTTCGAGCTTCATGCACAAAACTTCAAGGAATGGGTGAAAACGGGCGGCCCCATCAATCCAATATGGGCGCGCGAGACGATTGAACTTCGCAACGATCTACACCGAGCACAATGTCGAGCGGCGAGGCGCATATTCAACTCGGAGCAGGAGACAAGGACCCGCTGTCTGGGTGCCTTTCAGGTTCACAGGGTACAACGGTCACCCGAGAACTCGCAGCAGAGGGGCCTCGAGGAGCTCGTGGTTTGCAACTCGACGGGTAAATTTGAACGCTTTGGCGAGGGTGATATTGCCTTTGCCTGCGACTTTTGCGACGGGCACATTGTATGGGAAGACCTCAGAGAAATGCCGTCGATTAGAAGAGTAACACAAGACGCTCCCGAACCTACCAGCGCTTCTGGTATGGCGCCCGCGCAGGACAAGACTTGGGAGGCGATAGGTTTCAAGTCGTCGGATGGGGAAGAAAAGACGATTGTGTTCGCACCGGTCGCGATAGCAAATCACCTGCCCCCGGAACCCGGCGCGTGGGAGGCCCGGATTCTGTGTCCGTTCTGTGACGACTATTATACGGAAGAACAGGGCGAGAACGACATGGACAGGGTGAAATGGAATCTCGACGAGGGTGGTTACGGCGACCTGAATGAGTTCCACGAGCATCTTGCCTGGAGCCACGCAGAGAGTTCACTGCAGAAAGCGGCTAACTGCTCCATCATGTGATGTAGCAGCACCCTGCCCGTCATCTATTTGCAGTTTTGTCTGGCGTTTTGATAGAACTGGAGGGAAAGATGTTTTACGCTCAGCAAGAGCAGTTTTGCATAGTCAAGAGCCGGCGTTTGTTTGGTTTCTGCAGACATGATCAGCAGCATTTCTTGCAGCCAATCTATAGAAAATAATAATGAAATCTCTGGCCAGATTTTAGGCCCCAATTGCATGCCAGATCACCATGGCCATCACCGCGGTTAAGATCTTTTCTGCAATGTAGTGTACAGAACCCATGACCTCCCTTGGGAGAATTGCCGTGTACAAGTCAAGATATCAATAGCGACGAAGAAGAAGGGCACTAGAGCGGCGTACAGTATGGCGGGTGGGATCAACCAGAAATAAGGGCCCGGCTATTTGCTTGCTCAACGACGACAAGTTTCTCAGCGCCAAGTACATTTATAGCAGCCAAGTGCCATGGCTCGCGACTCTTCGAGTGAACCAACATGGGTAGGCGGGGGAGCTTCAGAACTCGATATCAATATCAGATGTTTCATGGGAATAGAAATTAAGACGCATAACATCTCAAGCCTACACAAGCAATCCAAACAAGCCCGGCCGCGCCGGAACCCAAGTCTGGTATCGTGTCTCATCACCAGCGTGACTCTGGGTTGCAGCCTTTTTGTGACACCCCATCACGATGTCTCTTTCTCATGCAACATGTTGGTAGTACCGAATTATTCAATAGTTTCTCTACTAGTGTCTGGCAAGCCAGGCACCAGGTTACGGCATCCCTTCAGCCTCAAAAGGATGACGACGAACAAGGTCAAGAAATGTGGCTCGTAGTTAGGAAAGAAACGAATTCCCCGATCAAGATCTCGCAACTGAAAATGCAAAGAATTAGCATCTTGTACCGAGGAAGACGCATTTTGCCAAACGTACCGTGCATCATCTCCTGTCCAGGGGTGTCTTGGAGCTGTCATCCCGACATTTTGGACGGACAGGGATATAATGCATGACTTGCAGATACTGATCGACCATGCGTTTAGACTAACAGGTAAAGAGAAGGCAATACATACTCGGAAGTCGTCGTCGTCTTTCTTTGTCCGTTGCACTGCAAATGTCCCACATACATGGCCAAGCACCAAGGTTCTTCGTTGCAGGTAAATGGAGCATTTAATTGATAAGAGAAAAGCGTCTCAAATGTACACACAAGGTATCCTCTTTTCTCGTTCCTCCGACACAGGACATGGGGTTCACGTGGCACCGGCAGTGGATAGCATCGTACAAGAGTTTTATACAAATTCCTGTCTTATTAGATTTATAGATCTCCATAAAACATGTCAACGAATTCTGTCAAATGAATAGCGAGTATATCCCCGACAAGGAATACCAAGTAACATGTCTCTCTCTCATTCCGCTCCTCTTGGAGGAATTCAAGAAATAATTAGCCCACTTGATCATTAATGACCCTTGAATGGCCAAGCACACTCCCCGGAGCTGTTCCGTCTATCCATTGTGTAATATGATAGGCTCCTGACTCAGCAACCACAACCTTGGCTATTTGTGGTGAAAGCTACCGAAGCTTTCACCATTTGGTCAAAGGTCCAGACTTGATCGCGTGCGTGTTCATGGTTTAATACTATTTATTTCTGGGTAATGCCGGTAGTTTTCTTCCCCAAGGCACATGCATACACGTGCCGAGATGGCCATTTTCCTCCTCAGCCATACCGGAAGTGGTCAAGAAGAGATGCCATCGCCAAGTGATGGGGTTGTGGTTTATGCTCTTTCTGGCAAGGATTCGCAGCAAGGTATATGATTTTTCAGCTGGGGGGGCGTCCCCATTTCCGCACTACCGGAAGAAGGCCTTTTGTTTTTGTAATTTGCGGCTTATCAGGGGATCTAATAAAAGTACAATGTTTTTTCCTATTCAGCTGGCTACTTAAGTACAAAAATGTCTCCCGATCCCTCCTGCCATTGAAAAACATCACGATCGTGAATTGAATGCGCAACTTTGGCGATTCATTGATCTTCAAATGATGGTAATTTCCTTTCCCTTATTCGGCCCCTCAGATGAGCGATTCCCCCGTTCTCATATGACTGTCCCTGCAGGTGGTGCCATTGTGCAAAACAAAAACTCCCATGTGCAAAACGGTGATGAATGCTGGATGCGAAAAATGCAGGTCAAATCGACGATGCAGTGTCCTGCCAAGTGAAGTGTCACGTCTTCAAGTTGATGATGATGCCGTCATACAGAGGAAAGAGACGGCGCTTGTAAGGATGAGGGGAAGGGAAGCTAGGAAACATTTTTTGACACCAGTCCGTCGTTGAAGTCTAAACTCATCGCCTCTCGAGTGTCTTTTCCCCTCTTTTGGACGATCTGGCGCTGATCAAGCCCAAGTCCGGGCTGAAGCCATTCTGCTCGGCCGGATCCAGAAGCCGTCGACACTAGAACACCAAACTAATTTACCCAAGCTATCCGGGACGAAGGACATCCGCCATAGCTAGGTACGTCAAGTTGGACGTACCTTGTCGAGCCTAGAAGCAACGTCAGTGACGAAATCCATGTTCGCCAATGGTCACACTGCCGCTGGGCTGCTCTATCTGTTGTACCTGCTTCAGTGGCACCCTCGGGAAGACATGTGAGGCCCAATGACAGAATGGATATGCCAGGGACATACGACTTGATTAGTCTCATGTCCCTGTTCAACCGTCCTTTTTTAATTCTATAGTTGGGGAGTATAAGTGCAAGCATATTGCCCGGCTCGTGTAGTAAGATGCTTGTTTTGTGTTTTTGGCCTATTAGTCCTGAACTTGCTTTTCCTCGACGTAAAGTATAATACTTTTCCAGCGTCACAGCTTAATGACGGACTGATTCCCAAACGGACCATCGTGATCCGTTGACTTTGAAGGGAAAAAAGCAAAAAAAAAAATTGCGAGCAGCCACGGCAAGCCATCGCTGCAAGCCCGTTCCTGACAAAAGTAGAGTTCGGGCACACCCTCGGACGGTCTTCCTGGACGTCATGTCTTACTGGAAACGCTCCCGCAGTCCCTTGGATCAGCATCATCAACAGCCGCCATACGCCACTATTCAGCAACAGCAGCAGCAGCGCAGCTTTCCCCCAAGGATTTCGTCGAAAAACAAACCACTACCCTTGGATCCCATGAACGTCCACTCGATCAGCGCCTTTGGGGACGAGCACGAGCACGGGGATGGCGCAGAAGGTGCTGAAATACCAGACATTCCAATGCGGAAATCAAGCCGGCACCTTTCTGTCAGCGATCTCATCACCTCTCCTCCGTTAAAGTCATTTCGCAATAAGCCAAGATTTGTCGAAGACATAGACAGCAAGCCCACCAATCAAAACTCTACACAACAGTCTACAGCAGGACCAGGACCATCAATGAGGTGAGTTTCTTTGTTTTTGTTTTGCTCCATCGGCTGGCTGTGGACTGTATACATGTCTTGGCCCGGCAAATATGTAATAGCCACGGAAGGGACCTATTTTGTCTGACCTTTGTTCTACCGAGAAACTATAGCCCAGAACGTGTTTCCCACGAGGATGTTAAGGATCACGTCAGTAACGACGACGCGGAATATACCCATGACCCAGTGGCGAGCCGTACCGCCTCGACGGCCCCAAAGAGCCTCATGTCCAAGTCTTCCTTTTCTCGCCCGGGCTCCTCGGCCTCTTCTGCGGTTCACGCCAATAGCGGATCCGCATTGCCCGCGCTGCAGACCCGGGCCATAATCGAAAACGACGGTCTCGAGCCGCTGGCCGAGGAGGAGATTGACCCTGCCTCCTTTGACCTCGTGGTACCGGCGCACGCCCCGGGCAAGCAGTACTCGCTCGAGGTGCAGTCGGAGCAGCTCTTTGCGCCAAAGCACCTCGGCATCATCTTTGAGGACCCCGTGCTCCTGCAGCGCTTTACCAACTTCATTTACCAGCGGCGGCCCGAGTCGGTGCCCCTGCTGCAGTACTATCTGGACGTACTCAAGGCGCTCAAGGCCATTGACTATGCCAATGCCGTCGTGGGCGGCCTGCAGGCCGTGAACGACCTGCCCTACACGGCCGAGCCCGTCGACAAGACGCTCAATCGTGTGTTGCGGGAAAAAGCCGACAAGGCTTTCGAAACGCTGGCGACAGAGGAGTTGCCCGCGTACATTACTTATACATATATTCAGACCGTGTCCGTGACGATCAAGAGGCGCATCGCCGATACGTTACCATTACATTTACGCGAAATGTCCGAGGGTTTGGCCGAGGTTTTCTGCCTGACAGATCCTTCGAGGCCAGACAATCCCATTATTTTTGCCAGTGAAGGTAAATTCTTTTCCTTCTGCCCTTTTCAAGACCTGGGAGAAAGTCTCCATTTGTCCAAGATGGCTAGCTGACAATGGCTGAAACACGACTATAGAATTCCACAGAACCACACAGTACGGCATGTCGTATGTGCTGGGCCGCAACTGTCGCTTCCTCCAAGGGCCCAGGACCAATCCTTTTAGTGTGCGGCGCATCCGCGACAAGCTCAACGCTGGCCGTGAGCACTCGGAGACGTTTCTCAATTATCGTCGCGACGGCTCCCCGTTTATGAATCTCCTCATGGTAGCGCCCCTCTTTGACTCCCGCGGCGTGGTGCGATACCATATTGGTGCCCAGGTCGACGTCTCGGGCCTGGTCCGGGACTGCGCGGGTTTGGATTCGCTCGCCCGGCTGGTGGAGCGTGAGAATGAAGCAGATGGCGGCTCATCGGAGCCGCTGCCGGTCCGGATTCATGCAAAGCCGCAGGCAAACGGTAGTGGTCATATCATGACACAACAACAACAACAACAACAACAACAACAAACGGGTAGAACGGATGGTGGTGGCGAGAGAGATCAGAACAATGAGCAGAAGGATGATTTCCGCGAGCTGGCTTCCATGTTTTCCCTCGGCGAACTCAAGACGGTCCGGGAACACGGCGGCTCGTACCACCGCATCCACCAAGCCGAATTGACCGACACGGACACCGTGGGCGCCAACTGGGCCAAGCCGCGGCTGCTGATAAAGGACGACGCAACCGTCGGGCGCCGGAGCTCCGATCCCTTGCTCCAGACATCGGTAGCGCCGCCCGTCGGCGGCGAAGGAGGAACCGGCGGAGGACCAGGAGGAGTGTCGTCCCAAATGGTCGGCGGCCGCCTCGCCGGCGTCTACGAGCACTACCTCCTGGTGAGGCCGTACCCCAGCCTGCGCATCCTGTTTGCGTCGCCGCGGCTGCGGGTCCCGGGCATGCTGCAGAGCAACCTCATGTCGCGGATCGGGGGCTCGCCCAAGGTGCGCGAGGCCATTGCCCAGGCCTTTGCCGACGGCAACGGCGTCACGGCCAAGGTGCGCTGGACCACGTCGCGGACGAGCAACGGGTCCGACCGCGGCCGGTGGATGCACTGCACCCCGCTCCTGGGGTCGAATGGCGCCGTCGGCGTCTGGATGGTGGTGCTGGTCGATGACGAGCAGGATCCTACGAATGGCGACGCCGGGTCGCGCGATGCTCCGCCGGTCGATCGGTATATTTCCCGTGCGGCACCAGGAAGCGGCGGTGTTTATGGTGGTGGTAGTAACGTAATGAGTAATATTGGCGCCGGCGCAAGTATAGATAATCTCAGTCTCACGAGCTTTGGCGACGGCGGACTCAACGATCGGGACCTCTTTGGCGCTCCCGCCGAGGACAATCGCGGTGGTGGTGGTGGTGAGCCGCAACAACAACAACAACAACCGCAGCAGCAGCAGCAACAGCAGACACCACGCGGACGAACTCTTGGTGGCAGTGGCGGATATGGCTACGATTCGCCCCCGAGTAATCAACGAGGCGGTGGTACCATGTCGGCGCAAAGCAACAGGCGCACGCCGGCCCTGAATGGACTCGCAATGCACGATCCGCGCGGCAGCCCCAGTAATGATGCCTCAAGGCGGGCGACGCCTGATACTGTGAGGACTCACTAATTATTGCGGAAAACGCATCGTTGATTGGGTCATGAACGGGAATATTCTCTGAAAGGATTAAATTTGGGAGACGAAGGAAACTGTTTATTGGACTATTGGGACGTGATATGAAAACGACTTGTGGATACGAAATCAATCTCGGGGTTGGGATCAGTCTGTTTTTTTTTTTCGTAACGGACGGTGCGGTTTTGCTTTTCCTTGTTATGAAATATGCTGGTGGATACCCAACGATTTGATATATGATATCCATATATAGGTGGCGAGTGTTGCAGTAGGGCTGAATCCCGTTGAGGAAGGCAATTGAATGGACAAACAAGCAGAGTTTCGATTCGGTAACATTCTTCTTCATGTGCGGGCTTCCAGTGCCCAACTTGTGTGTATAATCATAGTTTCCAAACCCAGAATACCATTACAGTAGTTGTTGAAGGGCGTAATCGAGATATTAATGGCAATGATTCAAAGTATCCCCTTTCCACAATCAACAAGCAATAACTTGGAACTAGAATTATTTACATTAATGCTTCACAACAATAGATAATCATGTACATGTTACATGGATTTATTGTAAATCAACCTGATTCATCTCAACGTGCTAGGTCTTGCTGTGGCATGCAGGACACCGGATTTGGTGGACGTCTGCTCTGCTTGCTTTCTCTCGCCTGCGCACTCGCTATCTCGCTTCTCTATAATAGTGTGACCCAGTGTAGGTCTATACCAATACCAATGACCCTGCTCCTTTCAGGTATTAGGTGTCTATATTTCTTTCAGGCTGTACAATTATAATGTGTTCCTAAACATCCTCCCGCTCCCAAGCACACGAAAAGGGAGGGGTATATGCATTATCAACCGCCGCCATTGGCCATGCCTCGAAACAAGGGAGATGTTGGCAGTTTTTCGCGGGGGTAAAATACCGTCGTCTAATGTAAAGAAAACCAAATATACGTGGTCATTTCACGTTTATGCAGATGATTCGGCTTCTTGTGCAACTAGTCTGGCTCGCCAGTCGTTGCACATTTGCTCAAAACCACTGACAACGTCTCGACAGACGTCGGCACATTCCCTCTTCTCGAGGCGCTCGCCCCAGTTTCCCCTGGTGAGCCACCTCTCGCCCTCCTCTCTGAGCTCCTCTTCCCGCCTCATGTCTGCCACCATGTCCTTGGCAGACTTGAGCCTCCTCGTTGCCGTTGTTGTCGTCTGGCGAGACATGTGCAGTGTGTCTGAAAGATAGTTCAAGGTCTGGACCAGGTCCGATGTGAGGGTTTGCAGGGCTGACAGGGAGTTGTACGCTGCGGTTGCTGGCCGCGGCATGTCGTCCGAAAGGGAGTTCAGCAGAGGTAGTAAATCATCTATGGTCTCTGCGTCTGGGGGCATCACCAATGGTGATAGGAGCGGGAATGTGAGATTGTGTAATTGGCGAGTCTGATGCGCCAGATGGGTTGCCAAGGCCGAGTGTGCTGTGATCAGCCTGGTTGTGCTGCCCTCTACGCTGGCTTGTGATCCCAGGTCGCGCAGGCCTTCTGTTACCCGATGAAAGACCTTGTCGGCAGGTCCGCTCTCTGTCCCCCTCCTTGCAAGTGATTCAACGGCGTCCATCCTGGCCACCAAGCTGGGGGGCATGCCGGCAGACTCTAGATCGGACTCTGAACCATATTCACTTCCATCGTATGCACTGCCTTGTCTGCGGTGGCTCTTGGGATTTGGCGGTGGGCTGAGCTCTAGGTTCTTGTTTCTTGCTGGTAGTTGTTTGCGATCCTCAACATCTACACCGCTGTCTCGAATATCCTCGGCACGGTCCTTGGGCGACTCGAGACCACCGTCGGATGGCTGTTCGCCTTCGCCTTCTCCTTCGCCGTCACCGTCTCCGTCCTCGTAGTAGCCATCGTCGTCTTCGTCGCCCGAGAGGGCATCTGCCAGCTCGTCTGCTAGGTTGCCAAGCCCGTTGTCACCGCCGTCAAAATTCCCGCCGCTGAAGGTGCTGAGGTCTTGGTCGTTCATGTTGTGCGACATGGGGGTCATGAGATCTTGAAAGGAGGATTTGGAAGTGCGTCGTTTGGCGTTGGGCGAGGAGCCAGGAGAGGAATAGTGATTATTGTCCACAAAGGAGGACTGCCTCGAGTGCCGCGGCGTTTGCGGCGAGGAGGCCATGGCTGCTGGGCTGGGATGACGATTGATTTAAATGAAAGAGCCGGGTGGGTTGGGCTGCTAATTAGAGGTTCTCTGACGCGTGAGATGTGCACGCAGCATAAAATTTCGGGTACGGAGTAGACAGTCGGTGTCCGGTGCAGTCTGTGACTAGAGATGAACAGGTGGGAATTACGGGTGTTGAAGGGGCTGACAAGAATAGTTGGGCTCCCTAGTTTGGTCCGCTTTGTCGTTTTATTGTTATTCAGGCGTATGTGGTCGTGGTTTGGTGGTGTTTTGTTTATGGTCCGGAAAGTCGGAGTACGTACAAAGTAGACGCTAACTGGGAAGACTGGTCGACTTTTCGTTGTATATTTTTTTACTTTTTTTTGCTTCTTCCTCGCTCCGTCTTTGTTTTTCCCACCTTCGACGTGGTGACAAAGTCGCTGGGTGGAGTTTTTTTTTGTTTGGAAATGGGGCCAGGGAGGATACCCTTTGACGACGATGGGCTTGCTTGTATATCAGATGTGCTTGATCTATAATAATAATAATAACAGGACTTTGCGCATGGGGCAGCTTGTGAGTGATGTGTCTAGCCGGAGTGTAGACGGACGGCACTGACGGGCTGGGTCGAGTACCAGCCAACAACGAAATGATCAAATCACATGCACTCCTTTGTTTGACGGGAGATCGCTGGATGGATGGAAGAGGATCACAAGAAGGTAGGTTAGGTGACTGAGAGGTGCATTTGGTCGGTCGTTCAAGGGGAGAAACAAAACAACCATAAAGGAGACAGACGGCAAACCCTGAGGACGGGTAACCAAGAGTCTTGACTCGCCGGCCCTGACGATCGCATTTGCTATCAATCCAAAGCTGGCGATGGTGGACACACTGCGCGGTCCTCGTCAATCCGTCGTCTTGTAGCGTGTTGACTTTGGGGCGCGCTGGGCGTTCAGGGGTCTGCCTACAAGGTTAGGTACCTTTACCTTAATGTGTTTAGGTCCGCGATTGGCATCACTGAACGGAAATTTTTGGCTCTCAAAGTTCAGGGCGCCAGGCACATTAGCGGGGATTTAATGCATAATTGACACCTGGGTCTTTTATTACGTGGGCTTGCACATGCTTGGTGCATTTCTTAGCCTATCTTAAGTTGACTCTGTAGGTAAGCAAGGAAGCATATTTATGTAGACATTTTATGCTCCATCAATACGTTGCGACATGCATATCTTCTCTTAGTGCACACATCTTTATTATCCACTCTGCTCAACTATCCCACCCACTCATCACTGCCTACCAAACCTACACACAACGATAGTGGGGGAGTACGATGCCAAAACTTCACATTGCGCCTTTCAGATAGTCTGGGACTGTCCGGCCCTGGCCTCATATTGCGTGGATTCCAGTCTTTCGCTAGGTATGTTGAGTGATCCTTCCTTCTAGATTTACACCCCACAATCTGCCCAAAGACCGCCCGTCTTGTCGTTTTTTCCCTAGCCTCGATCTCGGTCTCAACTTTGCATGGGCTCCAGGACCCTATAATTGACCACACAGTCACTATAGACACCACGTGATATCAGTCGTTGCCTTCAAATGCCAGAGATTTTCTCTCGCAAATAACATCACGTCCTTCATTTGAGATTGGCGCCACAAGCTCTCATCAAGCTGGCTATCTGGGAAATATCTCATCAGACCGTGGCATAAAATCCACCTGACCTCTGCTACAAGAACACGCAGCTCGGATCCAACCACAACCGTCATCATGGCCGTCAGCTTCCGGCGCTTCAGGCCCGAGGACCTGAATAGGATCTCCCTGTGTAACTTGGATCCTCTCACCGAGACTTACGATATCTCCTTCTACCTACAGTACTATGCAAAGTGGCCTTCAATGTTCATCGTTGCCGAGGATAGTCGGGGTAACATTGTTGCATACAGTAAGTCTCTATTTTTCCCAACTAGAAGATTCACCCAGAAGATTCTTTAAAGCACCGATGGATGGTAATCGAGACTTTGGCTATTTACCACCACCACAAAAAAAAGAAGGACATATGCGCTGACATGAGCACAACCCTGGCAGTCATGGGCAAGCTCGAGTCTTCGCCGTCCTGGATGACCGGCTCACCGCACTACCTGCCCTGGCACGCCCACATCACGGCGCTGACCGTCTCCCCGGCGTACCGGCGGACGGGCATTGGCAGCATCCTGACGGAGCGGCTGGAGCAGGAGGCCGACGTCGGCCGCGCCTACTTTATGGACCTCTTTGTGCGCCGCAGCAACCAGCGCGCCATTGACTTTTACCGCCGCAACGGCTACAGCGTCTTTCGTGTCGTCCGTGACTACTATGGCGACAACGTCACGGATCCCACCGCCTCGGGCGAGGACGCCTTTGATATGCGCAAGTCCATGAAGCGCGACGCTGCCGGCGAGCATGTCCGTGAGGACGGCGAGAAGTTTGAGGTCGATCCCGAGGATGTCTTTTAGGCGGGCATGTGTCGAGGCTATAATAGGCGGGATTATCCTCGTGAAGAAGCATCTTGGTAAATAAAAAACTGGTCTCGTTGTTCAAAGGTCCAGCACGGAATATGGGCAACCCAAGTACAGAAGGCGTTCAAAAACGGTGTGCCCTCGGTGAATCGACAAGACTCTCATGATACGAACGAGGAATTGAGGATGCCTCATATACAGAAGACAATGATAGTGCATAGAATCGCGATACGGAGAATTAAAAATAAAAGAATATATATGCTTGCTTATCCTCAGCTTTGAGTCCAACACTTTCCCCAATTGTCAAGGCTGAATACAATCATGAAAAAAAAAAAAAAAAAAAAAACCAATCAACAATTCGTCAAGGTCAATATGACCATATTTTAGCGGCAGTTACTTACCTGTTGCGATGTGACCAGAATAGACAAAACTAATTTGAGCTTAACGCATGCAAGAAATCATATTTCAGGTTACCTCATACGGGGGATCGAACCAATATTTTTGTCGCTCGACGAAGCTTGGTAACATGCAAAAGAAACCAATTTTAATAAAAATTGATATACAGTCATGATTAGGAAGCAGGAAAATCTAAAAAAGAAAGGGAAAAAACGCAAAAAGAGAGGTCCGAACGTGGATCGAACACGTGACCTTAGGATAACTTGCTGTGAAGCTGCAATCCCACGCTACTGTAGAGGTTGTTAGAATTGAATGCTGGACCGGTTGTTTGAATGTTGTGTAACTTACTACCACTTAGCTACCGAACCAGTTGTTGAAAAAGTGGCGTTTATGCTAGCCTATGACGTATCAATTGGGTCCGGTAGATTCGGCAGAGTGCACAATGTCAGGTACTCCTAATAGCTAGACAAAAATTGATAAACAGAGCTTCTTGGACTCGTAAGAATAATTGTACACAATTGGAATTTAATGAATTCCATGCTGTCCAAAATAATGTTGGTTCCTGGCTATTCTCAAGTACGGAGAATACATAGTATGCGTGCAAGATGCTGCTGGGTGTGGGTACCATGCGATTGATTCGTAGCCAAGTGACAGACAGGCAGGGCATAATGAATCATTTCAAACGACTTGAATGCAATGATCAAACTCTGATCAAGCACTTGCACCGACATACACACGTTTGCGAAAGATGCAATCATTATAAAAGTAAGGACGGGGATGTCAATGTAGAATACAATCTCATTTATACTTTATTCTTTCCATGAGCACATGGTGTTTTTTCTTGGTCTTTCATGAGCATCATCATGATTGACATCTCGAGACTAGGTTCTCTAGAGCTCAAAGGTGCTTTCCTGCACACTTGATGCGGCTATCTCAGCTTGCAAAACTGCTGCCACATCAATCTTGGCAGGCTCGCGCTCGTCCAAGAACTTCAGGCTTTCGGCAGCTTTTCCTCCACAAGCTCTCTCGAGCGCAAGGAATGCAAAGTGGCCGCCGACCACAGGGCGAGCCTTGAACTGCACACCGGGGTAGTCGCTTGTCTCGGTATCATAAAGATCTGTAAAGGGTAGAGCTGTATATGAGGATTAGCAGCCGAGCTACGGTGACATTGCTTTTGGGGCACTTACCTGTCACAGTCTCATTGACCCAGCGGGCAACATTGGTCAAGATCGTCGACCGAGTCTTCTTGCTAGTGATAGCTGCGGCAAAGAACTCCCAGTCGCTCTTGGTTTGCAGACTACGCTGGTCCAGAGGAAGGCCATAACGCTGCACGACGTTGTAGTACCAATCGCTCTGGATCTGGTAGATTCTGTCTGGGACAAAGGTCGATCTTGAGGACCTACTCGCATCACCATCCAAAGGTTCCTGCTCTTGGGTCCAAAATCTGCTGTTGCCCAAGGATGACTTCTTCTCGGGAATGTGGAAGCAGAGGAGAGCATCTGCATACAGGTTGTAGATAGTGGTCCAAGAGCCTTGCCATGTGTAGGACAACTTAGCGTGCGTGCCATCACGAGAGATGCCAAATTCTTGCCACTTGTCAATATAATCCTCGGCAATACGCTTATACTCTTTAGCCTCCTCGTCGTATCCGACCAGAGCTGAAAGGTCTGCCATGGCTCGAATTCCAACAATACCCTTGAGTGCCAGGTTGGTCTGGTTTGCCAGCCAGCCAGCAAAATCGTCTGTGCAAAGTTGGTTTGCCGGAATGAGTGATTCTCGCACAAGGTAGCCATTCCACCTCTTCCACAAGGTGTACGACCTCGATACCCAGTTGACGGCTGCTTTGCCTCCTGTCGTGCCCATGTCTTCAAAGGTCTTGTCCATGCCATAGTGGTCGATGGAAGGGAACTCCTTGAGAACAGCAGGATCGAGGCTTTGCGTGGAAAGTGGTGTCTCACGGCTGAAGACAGGCGCTGAACCGTCCTTCAGCGCGTTTGCCAGAGCCAGAGCCATGATCAGCATGTTACCACACTCTTCAACAGGCATGTACTCGTCATTTCCGTCATTGTGGCCAGTGGCATTCGGGAAGTGAGCTCCCAAGTCATGCATGCTGTAGTCATTGGGGTACTGCCCACTAAGCTGGTGCTCAAGCAGAGGTTCCAACAAATAAGCCAGCCATTGCGGGTTGGTGTACAAGAAGAAGGGGAATGCTGGGAAGATAACATCAACGGTCTGGAAGTTGCCATTGGACGAGATCTCCTTGAGGAAGAGGATTGGGCTATCGGGAGTTCCTGACCATTGTGTAGCACCAAAGACTTGACGAGCAGACAGCTCTGCAATGTCCTTGTACTCGGACGATCCAGATGCATATGCGTCTTTGGCAAGCTGCGCCGAATAGTCATTGGCGAGCTTGATCGCGGTCGGGAAGTCATTGTAGTGGAACTGCAGCATTTGCTCGGCAGTGAAAAAGTATGATGCCCAGAGAGGTCGCATTTGTGTGAGTCCCCTGGCCGAGGCGTATTGCACCACAGGGTCCTGGATCAGCGAGAAAGTGAAGAGAGCGCTATCGGCCGTGACGTTGTGGCTCAGATCGAAGTGCTTGGCAAAAGCGAATATGGGTTCATTCTCAAACATTCTGCGCGGAGAAGGCTCGCTAGTGTTGAGAAGGTGGCCGTGCTTGGCAAATTGGCGACACACGGAGTGAATCTCTCCAGCTTGGTGCTGGACATCGGCAGGTCCAGAAAAGTAGAGAGTTCCCCATTCAGCTTGGTCATCGTGCTCTGTCAAAAGTTGCTGATGCAGGCGGGATATTTTCCAGGATTTGATGGGGCTTCCAGACGCTTTGGCGTCCTTGCCCTCGTGTAGATCCCAAGCAACTTCATTATTGCGGTCTCCGCTAATCCATTCGCCATTGATGTCTACGAACAGACTGATGTCCAAATTTCCCTCGACGATGAAATTCATGTAAGACGCGGGCAGCGCCTGACGAAAGGTAGACGTCGGTGTTATGGGAGATACGAAGGATAAGGTGATCTTGACAGCCTTTTGGGCAGACTCGGAGCTCGCGATCGTATAGGTGAGGTTTGTCGTCGACGCATCGAACACGGCTCCCTCGTACTTGGGGTATCCAATGGTATAGTCACTGTGTGGAGGTAAGAATCATGAAGGTCAAAAGCCCGGTATACTTGTAAGGTAGATTGGAGGGCATACCTGTTGTCTTTTTTAAGGAAGGCGTGCGGCTGACCAAGCAGAGGGTATACAGTCTTGGTGTCGGGCACCGAAGCCAAGATGCCAAAGCCAAATGTCTTGCCCGTCCAGAACATGGGCCAGTGTGTCCATGGCTCATGATGGGCATTGGCGAGCCAAGCGTTCAAGTATGGGTTTCTTACGACGAGAGGTAGAACGGGAGGCGTCAAGGTCGAAGCATCAACCGGGAGCACGGATCCCAGGGCCGCCAGGGCCGCTGACCAGACATGCAACTTCATGATGAGCCGCGCTGGCAGAGCAAGGCTCAGGCGTACGAGGGGTAATTCGCAACAGAAACAAAAATAGCTCGTGGATGGGGTTGAACACAAGAGGGAGAAATACTAATGCTGATAAAACTATGTCCAAGGTAACAATGTACTCCGAATGAAAAAAGAAGGACCCTGGATTCCTCCGGCGAGCTTCGTATGCTGAACTCCAAAGTGATGAACGGAAGAGGACGAGGGGGAGGAGCAGAAGAAGAAGTAGAGAATCAAATGGTCAGCAGCATGACGATGCACAGAGAACACTCCTTCCTCCAACCCTGTCGCTCCTCCCAAGCTTACCACCACCACCACCTCTCGCAGCTCGCTCGCATCCCGAGGAACTGACGGTGGCAGGTGGGTTACCGAGTTGGGGCTGTCCGCTGCAAGCTGTTGCACGAAAACAGCTGAGTCCCCGCTGTAATGACGCCCTGCCGTTTGGCGAGTCTGGGGAATGGCTGAATAGCCCCAGGGACGCTGCATTAGCGTGTCGCCGACAGAGGGGGAAAGCCCCACGTGCTGCGTCGAATGCGGGTAGAACATGACTCGGCTCTCGATTACTGCGGAGTAGTATTGCATGTGCTATGTCTCTTCCACAAGGGATACATTTATTATTGTTTCTTATGAGAGGAGTATAGTCGAGACGATGTTGAGAAGCTGAAGCTTGGAAAATTACAACTGTTTGAGATCATGTGCAGCGAACAGCTCTCCGAACTATGTTCAGCAGCTTGAGACCAACTTATTCCAAATGACGTAATGGGCCAAGGTGAGATATGTTCACCTGTTGATCCCTCTCAATACTTGCCCCTGAGTATAGAACCAGAGAAGAAACTTTGCACGAAGAGAGTATTGCTGTAACAAAACATTTTCCCATGGCCGTTTGATTATATTAAATTAGACTTGCTCACCGTTAGGTTGAATGCAAGGTTCAGGAACAAGTTACCGTTGAGAAGCTCACAAGTCATATGCAAAGCTTAATGCGTTGTTCAAAGGAAAGTTGCATATTTATACGATTTTATGTAATTAAAGTCGTAAGTAAGCGAACATGGACTGATTTGATGCATATATTCTTAATCTATTCTTCAGATGGTCGTCAAACTAACGCTGCAATTATTATGAGGGCAGTGTAATGACAACGGCAGCTGGCCGGCGAATCGCAGCGCGGAGGCCCGCCCCCAACGGCTGATCCGGACCCGGGCGCCACTTGAACTTTGGATCAATACATACACAACCATAATACGGCATAGTCCTGTTAACCCATCGGTGCCGTCACACTTAAAGCAACAAGCACCAAGAGAAACACACAATATTTGATTTCAGCGTCAGGACCTAAGCCCGCAAGATCCAATCTGCTGCTCCAAGAACTTCTCGCCCTCAGCGGCCTTTAAAAACTCACGCGATTTAGGTCCGTCTCGCGTGAGCTCGAGCAGCTTACGCGCGCCCATATAGTTGTGGTCATGGTGCAGGTCCGTCAGTGCCTCGGATACCACAGACGTGGAAAATGGTAGCGCGGCGGCCGATCCTGTGCCGTCGCCGCCGCCGTCTGTCGCGACTGGGGATGGCGGCAGCCTCGTCAGCAGGTCGAACCGGGCATTCTCGAAAGCCTCCTGGTCGCTAAACAAGTCGGAAATTGCCTCTGGCACGACGGAGAGCTTGGTCTCCTTGTCTGAGATCTTTTGAATCGAGGCCGCGGCAACGGCAGCGTCCGGCAATGCGTAGTGTACAGGAGAGGTTATGCCTGACTTGGCGATGGCGCTTGTGAGCAGCTTGAGAATGTCGCCGGACGCGGCATCCCCCGACAACTGTATGCTTGTACGAGTTGCTCCACGCGATCGTGCAAGAGCTGCCGCAATGACCGCGCAATTTCGGCATCGTAGCGGCTTCCCCCGCGAGCTGCCGACCTCTCCAGGAGCTTCCAGAGCTGCACATCGGTCGGGCGCTGCAGGCCAAGGTCTGCCGGCGGGTCCACGTCGCCGCCGGCCGCGATGAGCCGCTGCCACTTGCCTTCACCACGCTTTCTCATGAGGCTGTCCAACTTCTCGAGGACCTCTTACACGGCGATGAAGACCTCACTGGGATGTTCTGGCTCAAGCCGATCCCAGGCGGTGCCCCGTACACGCAGCACGACACTCCTGAGTTTGGCCTCGTCCACCCTGGGCTTGGACCATCGAGGCATAGATTTGAAACATCGCCAGCCCCTTTTCATGGCATTGTTAAATACAAGGTCATCTCTTGAATCTCCAAAGTGAAGAAAGAAGTCTTTTGACTCTCAGGACTAATCCACTTGTTTTATTGGTCACATTTGAAAACGAAGTTTGTCGTCACAATGAGAATTTCTACTGGGCAGCTCTTGGAGTTTCCTGCCTTCCAGCTAGGAGGCATCAAGCTCGATGTTACCTGGAGGCAAGATAACACATCGCACAGTGCTGTGTACCATGTAGCTGGGTCACCTGAGCAATGAAGGTAAGGAAATACCATTGATATGAGGCAATGATAATCTACTTGCTGATTATTTATACAGGAGCTCCCATTCCTGTATTTATCGACGAGATCATGTACAACCCAGCATATATGACTGTGTATCCCGATCCCCATAATGTCGACGACATGCAACTTCGGGGCGTCTACATCAACCCCAACTTCACCTTGAAGCAACAGGTGATCGAGGCCATCGGGGTCATTCCATGTGAGTGGATTGGCTTGTCATATTATCATTATTGAGCAGAAATTGACCCATTGGCAGGGAGTCATACCTTGCAGGTCGGTCTGTATGACAATGTTCCTTGTCAATACTACGAGAGCCCTGGACCCTTGTTCATTGTGATCCATCCCAAGAACCGCAAGATCGCCGTGGTATGTTCAAAGTCCTCGACACAGGAGTCAGAGCAGGATGCGGTAATCTGACACGAAATATCTCTCAGGGTCGCTTCGTTGCAAACTCGCCTCGTGATTCCGTCTTTCGACTGATTTCTGTTGCGTCTCCGCTCGTGCTAAGTGGTTCCGAGTTCAGTGTGCAGACCCTCAGAAATATCTGGAATACGCTTTCCACCGAGTTTCCGCAGGACTTTGGACCCGCCCGGAGCTTAAACCCTCTTGCTGCTGGACCACTGGCCGCCGGAGCGCATGCCGTTTTGCAACCGACGCATGATCAGCATAGCTCTTGAAGCCTTTCTGTATTATTGCTACACATTAGCTTATATGTATAAGTATTGCTTCAAATAGCTGCAAACGCGGATCAATACAGGCTAGTAAGAATGCGATTTCTAACAAACAACGATTACATATAGTAAAGCTGGTTAATATTGTCTGTCTATCATTTTGGCCAATAGGTCACTGAGCTCATATACAGTAAATTGATTTCGCAGTGTCATAACCCATGGACGGTCTCGACTTGAGAGATATCCGATCTATTATTTGTTCCCAACTAGCCATAAACTTGGTGGGTCACCAAATACCCGGACTATGTTTCATGTCCTTTGCCGCTTGATTCCATCATAGAAAATTGTCTATGCATGCAGATACGGGCTGGTCATGAGCAAGACAGCGCATAACAAAACGAGTGCCAAAACGCCCTGGCTGCGCCATTCAAGAGCGAGCCTTATCCTAACCTGGCCTGCCTGATAATGCGAAAAAGAAACAACAAGAAAGAGAGAGAGGGGGGGGGGAGAGAGACATATCTCTTCAAAGTCTAAGACGCCCAACTTTTGCCTTTGTTGCCATTGTTGCCAAAGACGGCCTACCCCTTTTCCCGAGCTGCAAAAGCAGGAAAAGTTACTTTGGTCGCAAGAACGGGTGGGCTTCCGTGTTCAGCACGTATTCGTCGAGACTGATCAGATCCGGCGGCGAGAAAATGAGCCAGAAGTACTTTAGAGTCTCCGCCAACCAGAAGCTCTCCATAGAGTTCAGCTTCTCCGTTTCGCCGGTAACTGTAACGTCACTAATGGCAGACGCAGCCAGCTCCGTTTCCGTTGACTTCTTAATGGCTTGGAACATTCTCCAAGCAATTTCTTGATATTCCTCTTTGCCCGTAATGCGATACATGATAAATATGCTTTCGATCGCTTCGGGCCGCAAGATATATCGTGGGTCCCGAGCATTCCTGATGCCCTTTCTGAGTGCAGTATCCCCCTCTTTCTGCCACAATTGTTCGTCCCAAGCACATGGCTCGAGACTGGGGCATGGAAAGAGATTGTAGATCTCGGGCATGACTCCGGTGGGAAAAGAATCGTACATCCACGCGCACCCCTTGGCGATCTTTTCGCCGATTTCAACATGCTCCGGGACATTTAAGAGCTTGCCACCCAAGCCGTACATGCCGCCTACAAAGCATGATAGGTGTTGACCTTCGCCCCTCAAGACTGGCTGGCCGGAACCATCAGCAGTCAAATCGCCAGTGAACAAAATATCATCCTGGCCAGGCAGCATCGGGCGAAACAAGAGGTTCTTGGTAATAGCATCCATAGCGCCACGGTCTGATCACAAAGTATTTGTCAGTCTTGTCGTTCTAGAAATCAAAGCGGCTCCACCACGGAGAGCACATCATAGTCGCCTCACTTACACATTTTCTCGTACATTGGCACTTTACCACCAGTAATCGCGAACATCTTGGGCAGATATTCGTAAAGTGAGTCTGCTAACGCACCAAGAGTAAATTCGGTTTCTGATGTGATGTCTTGGTTGAGCATGTCGAAAAAGGTGGGCCATAGACCAGGCAGTCTTGTCTCATACTGCGTATTGTCCAAGAATTGAGAGACTCTGTCGATTGCATCATAGTATTTATCGTTTCCAGTCAGCTGGGACAGGCGAGTAAATTCCAGGCCAGCCGAGGCCATCGACGCAGAAGGATCGTGCGTGCCAGGAATGAGTGTGCCATCCTTCGCCTTCTGAAAGTCCAGCCAGAACGGCGGCATGCGGTTCGGGGTATCGAATGCCGCGTATAGCATATCTCCCATCTCGACAGCTTTTTCGAGAAGAACGGGCTCCTTACTCAGGTCATAAGCACTGATTAGACCACCGAGATGGCGAATGGTTGTCTCGAAGAAGTTAACCGATGTTTCTTGTGTCTCCCAGTTGAGGGTCGCGGCGGCATGAACAGCTAGTGTGAATTCGTCTTTCAGATCCATGATCCACAAGGTATCCAACGCATCGATCAACGTGGCTGCCCAACCTCCAAGAGTGTTCTTGGCTGAGCCGACCACTGGCCCAAGTTCATCGAACATCCAGGCATGATTCTTGTAGCTGTTCCAGCTCTTTAAGAAACTTCCTTTCACAGCAGAACGGCGTTCCTCCAGAGTTTCCCGCCGCGTTCTATTGGGTCTTGTGAAGTCATATTGAACCTTCGGCAATTTATGAAATGGCCGCTTTGGTAATGGTGTTAACTGGGAGACTGGGTGGCGCTGAGGCAGCGCCGACCAGTTGTAGCTACTTCTAGCATAATCAAGGACATGCGGCGGCGTCTCGCGTTGCGCAGGAAGAAACACAAGAATAATATAGAATATGAATACGCCTCCTAGAATGAGAGGGGAACGCGCAGGTCGCCGGAACAGGGCCGACATTGTGCTTGGAAAATCAAGAGATCAACGTTGTGTGCAGGTGATGAAAACGTTTTGGGCAAAACCAGGAGGTGGCCCGGACAATGTTGGTAACAAAACGGCATGTTAGCAATCTTTCGTCTTTGATTGCCTTGAACTGGGGTAGTGCACGTTGCCAAGATGGTTCAGACGGTGATCTCAAAATAACCTTGATTTCGGACTTCTTGATTTGTTCGCTTAAGTGCCAGGATCATCCGGGGTGAATGCCTATTCGCTGATGCCCATGCCAAAATCCTATACACTTTTTCCGATGCTCCACCATCTCCGGCCTAGTTGGTTCATTCGACCCGGTATACTGGTTCAGGGCGCGTAAGTTGGCGTCAGGCCGTGTATTAACGCTCAGGAATCTCCCAGCTCTCCCGTGTAGATTTTGCCAATCGTAACAGATAGGTATATTTCATGAAGTTATGATGGAATGTAGATGCCATTCTCTCTCAAATCGTCGTATAAATGTCAATTCATCTTCCAAAGTACACCCCATAACGAAGGGACATTCACGATGTGGCAAGCTAATCCATCTGGCGGGTCAACTCTTGTCCCCGTAATGAGCACAGAGGCCTCGGAATAGTGCAAAATAGGTAAGATAGATGGCACTAATACAACATCGTCTGAAGACCCTTCCGCCACAGGTGCGGCAATACAATTGAATTCACTATCGATTGGCGCGATAGTTGGTGTTGCGGTGGGGGAAGGGGCCACACTGGTGATGGTGATAGCAGTTGCCTGGTGTTTCCGACGCCGCCGACACCAGGCAAAGCAGACACTAGCAGAACAGCGAGACGGAGCAACTACGAACAACAACGCTGATAAGCTCGAGTACAATGGCCATGACCGGGAATCTGGCTACACACCTGCACCAATGTATGCGGTCCACAGCTATGATCATGGTATAAGGCATGAGCTTCATCATTCACAGCTCAGGTCGGAACTCGACGGGAACCAGGAGAGAATCACTGACGGAAGTCAAAAAGTCTATGAGATGGATGGTAATTATCGTGGTTGAAGCAATTAGGCGCAACTTTTAGGGACTGAGCGCGTGTTTAGCCGTCGTATTTATATAATAATTTGAAGATGAAAATTGATTACTGATAATGTTTACTCTGACGAAGAGTGATTAAACGCGTGATTAAAATCCATTTCATATTACTATGGTCAGTCATAGCATACGAGATAGTAGTCAAGCTGGGTTGCTTAGTCTTTTGACAAGATTTATCTATACCTTCACTCGTCAGTATCAGCATAATTGCTTTGTCCCATGGTCTCTGTAACCTTGTCAAAGATACAATCAATTACTTGGAAAGCAGTGTGAATTTCTCCAATGCTATTAGAGCATTCCCGAAACTTAGGGCCTTCCAATATAAGATTCAGCTTGATTTATATAATTACAAACCCGTCTTTTTTTTTTATTAAAGAAAAGAAAAATTATCACACAAACCAATAAACAAGGAAGTTCTGATGTCTGGGTGTGTTGTGGACTCGGAGTGCGCCCAGACAATATCCTAAATGATAGTAGGCCACTCCTGCCATCAGCACGCGGGTCTTGAGGATGTTTTCATACGTTCTCAAGTCGAATAGCATGCTTTGTATGCATTTGTGCGGTTTACTCTGGCAAGAGCAAGCCAACTGTCAATGGTCTTGAGCTCCGCCATGAGGTATCGCGAACCCAAGCAAAAGCCCTGTCTTCAAGAGTCATTGAGCATCCTGATTCAACTACTAAAGCGTTTCTCATTTAATCGTGTTGTAATAAGGTCTAAAATGGGCACGCATAGAAGGCAGATGCAACCCACTAAAGACTGACATGAGGATGGACCAATATACATTGGAGACTCGACATTTGACCTGGTCACATGTATAGTAGCACACACGACGTTTGGCAAGAAAAAAATCATCGATATCTTCACATGTACATTGCGATCTCAAATCTCACAAGTCAATGTGTAGATTATGTGAATCAAGACTGTTTTATCTTTATTCAGATGTGGGATTTCCCTTCAATGTTGTCTGTGACGAACGCTCGCTGCAACGGGTCACAAATGTGGCAGCCAACGTGAAACAAGGCATATCCCCCGATACTACATGGTGGAATGGTGTAGATATTTTGCAGTACCAATATCTCATTAAAGCTGTTTGATGGTAGTATTTTCCCGTTTTTGGTGAACATGACTTTGCTCGTCCCAAATTCTTCCCGAATCTTTGCCAAGTCAACAATTGTCCGCCAATGGCAGGCAACTTTCAACTTTGTGTGCATGCTCATCTCCATTTTCCGTGCAACTCAATATGTCGGCGGGTTTTTTGGCCACTAGGTACTCTGTATATATGTAATGGTCTGCATGCAGAGAACAAAGAGCCAAAACAAGCAATCTGCCATCCGTACACTGCCGTAGCAATAAGCTGGCAAATTTACTTACTACTTTTACTTGGATTTAAACTTATCCACTTTGCCACTGACCAGAACCGGTTCAGGAGGCGCATCGTTGTAGACAGCAAAGCCTCAAGTGACTGACAAGAGCTCGGACTTAGAAACCGACTGCTTCTCCAAATTCGCGTTTCGACATCCACCGTTTTCCAACGACTATATTTCGGTAGGCAACCGCCTAAAAACTGATTTTTCTAGGCTTATAGGCTAGATAATTAACTTATTAATATTTTCGCAAGTTTTGTCTTTGAAATATTGTATTTCGGTTGTGTTTTGTTGAAAGTACTAGGGAAACGGTGGTATACTGGATGCTGGAGAAACGGTCGGTTTCTAAGTCCGAGCTCTGGACTGATTACTTTGCCTCACATAATGTTAAGCTTGGCTTGATTGGGGCAGCTGGCAAAGTCCCAGAATGTCCAGCTGCGACGTGTCGGTGCAGCTGGCGTTTGACTGACCAATGCGAATGGTTTCAGCGGCGTGGATGCGCGCCTGCCTGAAATTTTGTCGCGCTCTGATTGCTCAGCTTTTTTTGAGGCCCCATATCTTTTTTTTCTTTGCCGTGGCGCTAGTTCGTCACCGGTGCCAATTTCCCCCAGTGCCAGACGGTAAATTCTGGAGCTACTTTCCCGAAGGCAGGCAGGCGCACGACCTTGAGCCAGCTCCAACAGCAGCCTCTTTGCTGGCGACACCAACTTTTAGGCTGTCTCTTCAACTACAACATCGATTGATTGATTTCCCAGTCAGTTGACCAACAGGTTTCATTATTCTTTGTTCAGTCGCATCGACACCTGCATAGCCTCAGCATTTGCAGTCTGTTCGTTGTCCTTCATTTCCTCTTTGGTAAGCCACAGTCATCGCCCCCCTTGCCGACCGACTGGCCAAGCATCAGCCTGGTCTGGCAGAAAAAGCAACGTCAACCATCAAATTTCCATTCCCGCTCAGCTCGCCGTGTCAACTTTTCTCCCTCGCTCAACATTCAAACCCATTCAACAATCCCATCACCATTTCGGATTGCGTCCGCATTCCGACACATTTTTCTTTCCCCTTGCATATCTGCTCCGTATTACACATCATTTATCCACCCGCCGCGCAACGCTAAGTTCACGACGCGCATCGGCGCCGCGCATTTAATTTTCATTCTTGCTTACAAGGTTGTGTCAGCAGTCACATCCCACGCACCGCAACCATGGACAACCAGGCAATGGACTACGAGAACCCCGAGGGCGACCGCTACGAAGGTACGAACATGAATTTTCGGCCGCCACTTTTAGGTTCGATAACTGACATCAATTTTCCAGAGGATGCTCCTCGCTACCGTGACCCTCGAAGCGCCTCTCCTCGTCCCGCTGGTGATGATGGCCACGAGCCTCGTCGCTCCGCCTCGCCCAATGGCCATGCTGATCGGTAAGCTTCTGCATTCGCGCGCAATCTATTGCTTGTTGCCGAATCACTCCAGTCCGACAAATGAATTTATCTTCTAACACGTGAGATGTCATAGCGTCAAGGCTGAGCACAGCAGCCACAGACGTGGCGGCGGCGGCGGCGGCGGCGACGACGACGACGACTCTGCCGTCAACCCCGGATCCAACCTGTTCGTCACCGGCATTCACCCCAAGCTGACTGAGTCGGAAGTTACTAGAGTCTTTGAGAAGTACGGCGAGGTCGAGAAGTGCCAGATCATGCGAGACCCTCACACCAAGGAGTCGCGAGGTTTTGGATTCGTCAAGATGGTCACTTCTCAGGAGGCCGACGCTGCCAAGGACGGTCTTCAGGGCGAGGTCATAGAGGGCCGAACTCTGAGCATCGAGAAGGCACGTCGCGCTCGTCCCCGTACTCCCACTCCGGGCAAGTACTTTGGCCCGCCCAAGCGAGGTGAGCAGACATACTCCCATTCCCTGTCCATGTTTCAACGTGAAGCTTACAGACCAGGAGACGGCCCTGACCGACGACGTGGCGGAGGAGGTTACGGCCGCTATGGTGGCCGTGATGACCCTTACCGTTACCGCGGCGGTGGCGGCGGTGGTGGCGGCGGCTGGAGAGATGACCGCGGCTCTGACCGTGAGCGCTACCGTGACGACCGTGGCGGCTATGGCCGTGACTATGACCGTGACAGAAGCTACCGTGACGACCGGGGTGGTTACGGCCGTGATTACGACCGTGGCGCTAGCTACGACAGACGTGATCGTGGCGGTGACGAATATGGTAGCCGCTATGCTGGCGGTGGTCGCGATGATCGTGATGGACGTTATGGTGGCCGTGGTGGTGGTGGTGGTGATGATCGCCGCGCCCCCGCCTACGACCGCTCTGACCGTGGATATGATCGTTCTGAACGAGATGGCCCTCGATCCCGTGATCCCGCTGCTTCCGGATACGGCGACTCTGGCTCCCGACCCGAAGGTCGCGATGCTTACGGAGGTGCGCCCTAGATACAGCATAACAACATCGTGACGATCAACGCCACCGGCTAATGCATTGTCCAGGGAGATGAGGGATGAATGAATCCCACACTCGTCTGCACCTGCTCTTGTATGGATGGTTTCCTCTACTACGTCTCTTTCTGTTTCCTCAAGGGCAATATAATATCGGCAGACAACCAAAAAATGGCTTGACAATTGACACGAGGAGTTTACAACGGCAGGCAGGAAGGAAAAAGGCACTCTGCACCATGTTTTCTTTATTTATCTCCCCAAGTCCCCAGAGCTCGGCATTTTCTAAAAACAGATGGCAACCAGCATGCGGCCCGGTTTTCGGCTTGATCTACACTAAGACTGCGACTGGCGAGGAGAGGCTGGGCAGCGCGACCTGTGGTATATGTCGACAGGCTCTTCTCTCTCATATTGGATCACTTGCAACAATCCCCTTCGCAGTAGGTGCCAATGCTGCATCACATTCGGCCTGTCACTTGTATCATTATTTCAGAACCATGGGGTTTTCTTTCGAGTTATGACGAAGCTTTGACGACTGCAAGTCATCAGCAGCATTCTGCCGGCAAAGAAACAGCAAAATGGTCAGCAAAAGTGCAACACGTAATTAATCGCAAATTCCCAATGGTGCAACAAATTGACTCGACTCGACTCGCTTCCCGTAAATTCCTTTGCATAATCGCCAGAAATGCCGCTTCGCAACATCGCGGCTCTAACAGCAGCAGCAACAAACGACGACAAATTGTTTCTTGTAACCTGATTCAACCAGCGACCAAATTCTCCAAGCATCCAGCTTTGCACGCACCGAACCCCTCTTGTCAATCTTCTCGTCTCGCGCCTTGCTCCTGCATATTCGATGAACAATGAACGACATCTTCGACGATTGATCAGAGTATAAGGCGACACCATGAACAATATCCCCAAGGACTTCAGGTAAACCTACAATACTATTGCACACTAACCTCATTGCTACGCAGTCTTGTGAACCGAGAATGTGCTCAATTTGATTGGAATGTGGCGTCGTGCCAATTGCAGGGTCTGGTCAGCCGCGCCGTCAGCACCGTCCGCAACCCCTGCACATTACACCACAAATAGCATTGCTGGAACTTGTGTAACCATATGTGCTTGTCGCCTCCAATACTACTACTCATTAAAGCCATTGCCGGCGTGACTAATAGAAATGAAGTAGGTAGCAATACAAGTCTTATTTTTTTCTAACTTTTACGATTACTCGTTCAATTTGGGTCCATAGTCGTAGTCATGGTTAAATAGTGTTTTATTATCACGACCTGGGGCTACACACGCAGTTGTAAGCCAAGGGGACTTTACAGTCGCCGCCTCGAAATGCCAATGTTTGAAAACGGAATCCTGTGAGTTGCTGGATATTTCTTTTCTTTGCTTCCGTTCTTTTGCACATATTTCTCTTTGATGATTGCGATAAAGGTGGTAGGCATTACCTGGGCCCATCTGAGACAAAGAGAAACAAATCCCGAAAACGGCAGCAAGCAGATTCTTCGCAGAGGATCCGAAAATGGCAAGTTTGTTTACAAAGGATCGCTACGAAATATCTTCAAAATCAACTTGTCTTCTTTATTTCAGAAGCCTTACTAGGAACCAAGTTGATCGGCCTGTTACCTCGGATGCTTCCCTGGTTACACTCGCACAGGGGCTCTATCAGACCAAACCAGTCTTGGCCCAGTGTCTTGCCGACGACATACTAATTTCAACAACTTCTTCTTGTTTAGGGTCATGGTAGGAAAGAATTGACCGGTCAAGATCTCCATATCGTATACTCTGTTCAAGCGCAAGGAAGCAAAATGTTTGGCAGCGTCTTCCTTAACACCTCTGCCGTTGCAGACCAAACCAAGGCTGAGGCGGCAGCAAAGGTAAAAGCTGAGGCGGAGGCAAAGGCCAAGGCTGATGGGGAAGCAAAGGCCAAAGCGAAAGCTGAGAAGGAAGACAAAATCAAAACTGAGAAGGAAGCCAAAGCCAAAGCCAAAGCTGAGAAGAAAGCAAAGGTCAAAGCTGATGCTGAAGAAAAGAAGAGGGGGAAGTCTAAAGCTCAACAAAAGGCGGAGGCTGCGCAAAAGGCCGCTGAGGAGCAGCTCGAACGAGAAAAGGTGCTTTTCGAACTGGAGAAGGCGCTGTTCAAACAGGCACAAGAAGTTGCAGCAAAGAGGGCTAAGGAATTGGAGGAAGAATGGGAGGAACTAGAAGGTGGTCTGGAGGAAGCCGAGGAGAAGATCCACCGTAAGAACCCCACGACTTGACGAGTTTTCTAAGAATTATCCTGTGTTACGGAACCTGCTGACTCGTCATTAGATCTTGAAAATATCCCATGGCACCGGGTAAGAGCCCAGCAAAAGAAGGCCGCCAAGGAACGCGCGCAGGCCCGCAAAGAGGCAAAGGCTGCGCAAGAGCGCCAAAACCGTATTGATCGCGGGTTGCCTGTACCGCCATTGCCAACGGCAGAGGAAATAGAAGCCCAAAAGGCGGCAAAGGCGGCCCTTTCCGAAAAGCTCAAGGGTCGTACCAAGCGTACTGCCGTTGAGCAACTGCTCGGAACTGGAGGTCTGCAGGCCTACAATGAGGAGACCATGACGAATCAGGCCGGCCAGCCCATACCCAACGACTACGATTGGACCTGGAGACAGAAACAGTTCCGTGAAGAAGAGCGAGCAACAGACCGTATTGATCGCATGATCGGTCGCATGGTCGACGAGGACGACGACAAGATACAAGAACAGTTGAAGCTGGACCGCAAGAGATACGCTGCAGAACAAAAGAAATATCTCCTCCGCACCGGCGGCAAAGCTCGTCCTTCTGCCAAGAATGCATTCGCCAAGAGTACGCACGTCATTGGATCTGGCAAGCCGAACAGCTCGGGCAAGAGAACACGATTCGCTGACAAGGTGGTTGTCAATGAATTCTCCAAGTCCGCCCCCGTGACCTATCGCCAGCGTCGTTCCAACACTCGGGCATTGGCTTCGGACATTGCCCTCTTCTTGGACAATGAAGACGATCCTGCTGGTCTGTTTCGCGGTCTTTCGGGTTACTTTGACGATGAAGTCATTGACACGGATGAGATCATTGACTTGGTCGTAGACGAGATACCCGAAGATGGAGCTTCTGGGGATTCCAATGATGGCTTAGATGACATGGCCGTCATACGCCCTGTGGATTTCTTGAACGAAGAAGAGCTTGAAGACGATTCAACTGATGAAGAATTTGACGGGGACTATGATTTGACGGAGGCTCTCGATCCGGTAGATGCAGCTACACTCGATGATTACTATGCAATCGAGTGGCTCAACAATATCCTGGAAGACGCTGTCGATGACATATTTTTGAAGGCATCAGACCGGGTCGACCCGAGTGGCACTGCAGACGGAATCGAATTCGACCTCCTTCGTAAGCAAGTCATCCATGAAATCCAGCAGGAGTTTGCCACAAGACTATGGTTAGAGGATGACGCGGTCAGCACAAAGCCGCACTCGATCGATCTGGTACCATTTGTGAAGGAGTTTGGCCCGTCCTTTGGAAAAGTACTGGAATCTGCTACTAGGAAGTCGGCTGTCATGTTTGCCAAGATGGCTACAGCTCGTTCTGGAGCTCGTAAGCGGTTAAGAAAAAACCTAGACAAAATCGGCCGCCGCCCAGGTGTGGATGTGTCGGGGCGACTTGACTTGTTCAATGATAATGACGCAGCTGATTCCAGCGGATCAGAGACGGAGCCCGAGTCACCTACTGGAAGTGTTTCCAGCTCGAGCGAGTCGTCTTCATCCGACTCTTCCTCCGAGGCACCCGACCCCAAGGACCAGGAAAGTCTTCTCGAGGCCACGCTGAAAGCCATTCAAACTGCCCTCAACAATGGCGGGGATGACGAGGATGAGCCATTTGATGAAGATGCCCTGCGCAAGGCTTATGGTCCGGATTGGCGACGCCGCTTTACGGACACCTTTCGCGAAAGTATTGGCCAAAAAGGGGCTAAGAAGACCAAAGGATCCAAGGGCAGCAAGAGCACCAAGGGGACCAAGAAAGAAAAGTCATCAGGAAAAGGTGGGGCCCAGAAGACAACCAAGGTTGAGTCTGATGAGGAAAGTGATGAAAATGAAGCTTCTAGTGAGGAATCTAGCGTAGAAGATTCCAGCGAGGAGGAGTCCAGTGAGGAAGAGTCCAGCGAGGAAGAGGAGAAAAAGTCCAAGACAGGGAAATCAACAAAAAAGGGCACGCCGGGCCCGAAGATGGCGACGAAGGAGGAGGAGAAGAGTGATGAGGATGAATCCAGTGACGAGTCTAGTGAGGAATCAAGTGAGGAGAAATCCAGTGAAGGAGAGGAGGGAGAGGAAGAAGAAGAAGAAGAAGAGGAGGAGGAGGAGTCCAGCGAGGAGGAATCCAGTGAAGAAGAGGAGGAGGAGGGGAAGGAGAATAATGGTTTCAGAAATGTTCAACTGGTCCAAAATCACGGTCTAAAGACATCAAATCGAATACGGTCGGACGCGCCTGATTTTCCAAGAGTCAGGCTTGGCAAAGACGGCGAGGCAGTCGGCACTGTGCAGGAAGAGATGGATAGAGACTCGGGTAAAGTCCTTGAAGACGCCGACCAAAAGGAGCGAGACTGGTCCACAGAGTACGCCAGAGCAACGCGTGACACCTATGGTCACCATGACTTGACTGGGGGGCTATTGCAAGGTGACCGGAACTTTGATTATGACAAGCGCACAAACACAGCCCCGGACAGGTATTGCGAGGAACCAACGAAATATAATCCTCTGGATATCAATTCCCAGGATACACATGTCATAGGTCATTCGGGGCCGCTAGATCGCGAGCACTATGACGACGACGAACTTGAGGATAACAGTGAAGACGAACGGGAAGAGGACGTTTATGATGGTGCCGAAGTGTCAGATGCACAAGAAACCGATTCCAGCGAAGAGGACGAAGAGGAAGAGGAGGATGAGGATGAGGACGACGAAGAGGAATCTGGCCAACCGGTGACGGCAAAACGAGCTCGTGTCTATGAGCCTCCAGGGCACTATACACTGGTAAAGAAGCGTAGGGTATCCGTGAGCGACGTCATAGACAACGCTGCGCGACTGTCGGCAGAAGTGGCTGCACTTGAAGCTTCCATCTGGGATCCTACGATTCTGCCAAAATACCGTCCGTCCAACATTTCCCTGGTCGAGCTGGTGCACTGGCATGTGCGGGTGTCGGAGGCCTTCAAGAAGCTCTCCTTTGGCGCCGACGACAGCGGCGGCTTCTGGACCCGAGAGCGAAAGAAGATTCTGGACATTGGTGCGGCACTCAGCTACCGAGAGGCTCTGGAGGGCGGCGGCGCAGGCGAGGACTTTAGCCAAGAGGTCGAGGATACGGACATGGAAGATGATCTCGAGAGTGCCGTGGCAGCACAACTCGAGGGGCAACATGAATACCGCCTCGGGACAGGTACGCAAAATTCCCTGAGATGGCGTGATTTGAGAGGCATTGGCCTCGAATGAAGAAACGGGGCTGAAACTTGATTAATCTAGAAGTACAAGGACTTGGTGTACCAAGGCCAGTCATGTCGGCAGCTCAGAGAGCCCTCGAGTCGGTGAGGCCGAACCGGAATGCAAAGATGCGCGATGTGGCGAGGAGGTTTAGTGCTGGGAAATGGCCATGACTTGTACGGCGATGAGGGCTAGGTTGGACACCAGTGTAAGAAGATCGCTCTACTCGAGTCCTTTTGATGTTGCCAGATGGCTTTGCTCTCAAGAGAGCTTACATTGCTACTCAGTCTCTTTTGTAACAAAGATTTTATATTTGCTTTTGTTTGGAAATAGTTATTCATAGGGCATTCACTGTAACTGATACCTTGATTTCTTATTGTATTCATGCAATACATTGTCTGCTGTTGACACTATTATCTGAATGCTTCAATACCAAAACTGTGCTTGGCAGATTTAATGATGTTGACTTTATTCAAGAGCAAGTCAGCTCGCCGCATGTCCCATAGAGATTACCACCACTTCTCGCATAATACCCTCTCAGGCCCCATTCCCAGGCCGTCCTCACTCGACAATTCCTTGACAAATTCGTCCGTCATGTTTGGTACACCACAGACATAGGCGACTGTGCTCTTTCTCTCCACTGGATCCTCACCCACTGCTTGCCGGAGATCTTCCTTGGTGATCCTCCTGCCCCGAAACGCTATCTCACCTCCTCTCCAGGCAACCGAGCCATCACCTTCGGCCCCGGTGAGATACAATTGCAGTTTACCCTGGACCCGACCGCTCGCGAATATCTCGGCGATGCGCTCGAGGAACAACAGTTTTGTCGCATGCCGCCTTCCGGGACCGGGATCTTTCATCGAGTAGAGCATCTGGACTTGAAAGTCGACGCTGCCGTCCTGGTTCTCCTTCTCGGCCATGGCGCTCAGCATGCTCATGAGGGGATTAATCCCCACGCCGCCCGCGACGAGGACGACGCGGCGGGTCTCTGGCTTGGTGGTAGTAGCAGCATCATTCTCATTGTCAGTAGTAGAGAGCAGCGCGGGAGGAGGCCAGACAAAGGATCCGCCGACGCGGACCTGTAGATGCTGGTCCAGGAGTGACGAGGATGGATCCTGCCAGAGCCAGGCGGCTGGCGGGTTGCCGGGGGATTTCTGTACTGCCAGCTCCAGGTAGCCCGGCGATTGTGCCGTCGCTGCCGCCAATGATGGTGGAGATGTGATTGTGAAGCCGCCGGCTCGGGGGATGCCGGGACAAAAGACGTCTAGCCACTGGCCGGCAGAGAACTATTCTTTGTAAGTTTTTGTTAGGATATCATGATACTTTATTGGTCTATTTTCTTTTGTGATATATGACGGGATGAAAATGAGTGAGCAACGACACGATGGAGAGAAAGACTTGCGCGAATAGCCGGCCCGGAAGCGGGGATCACGAGACGGAATAGTCGCGTCGTCTCATTCACCTCGTCAATCCTTCCCAGCTTGACTGTATGTAGAGACTATAAAATCCGTTGCACAAAAGTTAGACGAGCCAATGGTATACAGTTTGGCAAGGGTGCATCGTTTTTTGGCGTTACCTGATTGCGCGGCTCTGCTGCTGTTCGTTCGAGGTGGCTTGTCTTGGGCGGAATCGATGATGCCATTCTGCTCAATGAGAGGCGGCGCCAATTGGAGATCGCACTTCTTTTGGCTACTACATATGACGAGCTCATCAGTAGAATAGAAGATTGCACTAAAAACAGTCTTGGCAATTCGCTTTTCCTGAATGTATATAATTTACTTGTATGATCCGGTTTGCACAAGTGGGAATAGGTAGCAGTATAACGGACTCGTCGGAGGTTTGTAATGAAACGATAGCAGCAGCCCCACCGTCCCTCATTACATTGCAAGAGTTTTGGCGCCCAAATTCATCGGTTCATAAATTCAGGACCCAAGTTTTGGCATTCTATCTTACGGAGACTCGCTTCTGCGTACTCTGGTACAATAGAAGGATTCATTGCCCTGGCTACCTGTAAAGGAAACAGTGAGCTTTTTTTTTTTTAATCTTTACAGTTTGTTCCTCTGAACGTTGGCTCCCATGCTAAGCGCTCACAGATTAGTGGAAAGAAATGGCTGACATATTTGTGAATGGTGCGGGGTACAAATTTCCCAGCTTTTCTTGACAGATTCGCATTTTCGGATACTATTACCAGAATACCATCACGCGAGAATCTGGTTTAATGGGAAAGGAGCAAGAAATATGTAGACTTCTCTTTTGCATTAATTAACGCTATTTTGGACTCTCTCAGCGGCACCCAGAGGCATTGGTTGCATTGCCGCTACAGAAATCCCTCGCGTTATGATAACCAATGGCAGCCCGGCGCTTATTCCTACCTTACTTGTCTATTTAAACCCCCCGCACGATGTTTCTCTTGTCTCTCTGTACCAACTCACCACTACTGAATACTTATCCAATAATCGTTTCACAAGATGGCCGATCCTTTAAGCATTGGCGCCTCCCTATTGGCAGTTATCACAGCTGCCATTCAGTCGTCCAAGTCACTCTGTGCAACAGTTCAACGCTATAAAGAACGCGATAAGACCTTGAATAGGTTGCATGGAGAGCTTGAAGATTTAGTCAATATTTTAGACGCTTTGCAAGCAGCTGTTAAAACTGAAGCTACTATACTAAAGCTTTTGGAGGGGCCCATTAATCGGTGCAGTCATGTCTGCCGGGATTTTGAGGTTGCCATGCAAAAGTTCCATGGGAAGTCGAAGCTCGGGCTCATAGATTGGGCGAGAATGGAGTTCATGAGTAGTGACATCAATGGTTTCATGGACGCACTTGCTGGATATAAAGCAACAATTACGGTCGGCCTCGGCACCATCACCATGTTGGTCACTCCCAGAACTTGCCGGGTATATTCTATATTGACAAGCAATCAGGCAGAACTCGAAAATCAATAGCCAGGTCCTCGAGGAGTACAATGAGATGATCAAGGACACGGCGTACAATCTGACTATTCACCTTCAGCGCATCGATGCGAGACTGGAAGAGTTGACGGCTAGCGGCAACGACAGCTTAAACACGAGCATCAATCTCCAAGACGAGAAGGATGTCACCCATCAATGTCTTCGGATTTGTGAAAGCGCCAAAACTTATCTCGAATCTCTGCAGAATGAGCAGCCATCCATGTTACGCCAAGAAACCTCTTTGCCTGAAAATTTTGGGAGAAGCCAGTTTGAGGCTCAGGTCTTGACACAAAAGGTGTTTGCTGAAAATCGGGGCAAGCTGATCGAGACTATTGGGTGTCTCCAAGAGCGACTTCTTGCCATCATCTCGAGTACTGGACCTGAACGCAATCGCGAGCGGTTGCAGTTGCAAGAGGACCTTGATGTTTCCAGACAGTGCCTCGAGGTCTGCGACCAGGCTTCTCGGCAGGTTTCCAATCAAAAGATTCACACGATTGGAGAAGTGGTAGCCGACGACGATACAGACCAAGTAGTGGTGACCACGCTTGCCGATCTCTTTGACGTGAGGAAGGTCTTGGCCAAGAATAGATCGGCACAACTGGTCGGATCAATGACGGACGACGCACTGATTAAATTATCTGGAGACCGATATGGAAGCCGATTCGGCGCTCTGAACGGCAATCTAGGACGAGTACACGTCGATGTCGCCACCTACGAAAGTAATGCTGGACATCCGAGCCGCATGAAAATGGAGAGGCCCCCCATGGATGCGGGGCAACGTACCGAGAGCCCAGTTCCCAATGAAATGAGGAAGCGCTCCAGCGGGTTTGACAACCGTCGATGATGGATCGCAGGCGCAATAATGCATTCGGGACTGACGACAGCAAGGGACGATGGTACGATTCTAGTCGGGTACTTGGACATAAAACTGTCAGATTACGTGCTCGAAAGGTATTTTGGCGAGGTTATGAGGCTCGTGCTCTCTCTAGACGGCGAGCATATATGATAAATGGAAGCTGATAGGACGTTGGTCGCGGGGCCGTTCCCAGGAGTAGGCCAGATGAGCATAGTCCGCAATGCTCCGATGCCCAACAGCACGGTAAAACAAGAAATCTTAGAGCTCAGGGAACAACTTTGCACTCTCGCGCATTCTTCCGATATAAAGCTTTTGACGAAAGCGCTTATAAATGGGATAGTCTTAGAGTTGAAGCCATAATTATGTTTCGTTCAATTACCTCGGACTTGCCAGCATTTGTCAGAATGAGTATGAGTTTCTGTTCCCAAATTTTCACATTCAAATCTTCGAACGTGACCGAGCAAAACATGCAAAACTTACAGTTTCCCACCTTTGCTTCCGCTTCCACGAGACCGCTGGCGGGCAAGCGGGCAGCATCGTCTTCTTCCTACGGCAACACGTATAGATACCTCAACGTTGAACAATGCTACCACGTACGACCATACGCACTAGAACACTCCGCATCGCATGCGTCCTCCCAAAGACCAACCACTCAAGCCAGTAAACACCTTTTACCGGGATAGAGAGATGGTGGGTTGGAACTGGATCTGGTCTGCCAAGATACTAGCTCAGCGCATCTTTATCCCCCTGCAAGGCATTTTCAGCCATGCAGGTCTCAGCACATCGCTGCAGCATCGCCACCAAGGCAGACCGCCTGACGAGGCTCCGGAATGCCTTGGGCGTCAAGGCACTTCCCGTGCCTATTGCTTATGTGTGCGATAATGACGACTGTGTTAAATCAGCACACGAATAAATTTTATTTAAAAAAGGAAAGGAAAGGAAAGGGAGAATCGAAATGTCCCGCACTACAGTTCACTATATACATAATAGCATACTCTACTGCCTTGCTCATTATATCTTCCATATTATGCGGCTATACAAATTATTCTAGTGCCTACCAACCCCCCTAATACGCCTGCTGGGTCAGGTTAAAAAGCGGGGTAGCATCGAAACTCCGGTCTATGCGTACCTACCGATCATCACCGAAATCTCAGGTTGTGAGGGACTCCAATAACACCAGGAGCGAAGTCCGTGAACTCGTCAAAGGCGTCTTTTCCGTTGAAGCTAGCGCGAGCTTTATTAACATTTGCCCATCCAGTCGCGTAACCAACTGGACTTATAATCAGGCAGAGGTAAGCCTGAAAACGGCGCAGTCTGCATCTGCATTGAACGTGTCGGAGATTGCGCCACGCCGCACGCTGTGTCTGCAGCATATTCCTAGTTCATCGTAAAGCCCCCGCCTGCCACTCTCGTAACATAGTGCCTGCCTTGACAAAGTCAGACGCACTGGACCTTTTTTTGACTTGTGAAACCATAGCTTTCAATTCGAATGATCGCGTCAACAGTATTTGAACAAAGGTATAGCTGCCAAGGACTGCTGCGATAAGGCTCGTCTATATGGATAGCCTTTAAATAAGCATGGAGCCGTCACCAAAACGACAAAGGCTAAACACCCCTGCCACATTCAGCGATCACGAACGGTCCATCGGGCAATCAAGCAATCAATCCCATAATCAGATCCGGAGCACGTTCGAAGGTGCCGGTATCTCACATTCCAATGGAAACTTCAATGTAGCACGCGATGTATCTATCTACAATCTTTCTTTACAACAGTCCACCGCCACCGACCCGAGGCGGACACTGTTGGATTCACTCGAGTTCGAACAGATCGACGCCCGCCACCAGAGCATTCGGAAAGAGCACGTTAACACGTGCCGTTGGTTCTTGAGCACAGAACAATACAGACAGTGGGAGGAGAGGTGGGGTTCACCACAACGCGAAAACTTCTTGTGGATTAGAGGCAAGCCTGGAGCCGGGAAGTCGACGTTGATGAAGTTTCTGCTTGGGCAGATTAAGAATCGCAACCGGCGGAAGAAGAGCCCTGGCATTCTCATCTCCTTCTTCTTCAATGCCAGAGGCGGCGAGCTTGAGAAGTCGACTATTGGGCTGTATCGATCATTACTGTGGCAATTACTCAACTCGCAACCCGATCTGCAGACAGTCTTAGCAGACAGCTTCCGACCAGGTCAGCAATGGACCGTCGAGTTGCTTCAGTCTCTACTCGAGGAAGCTGTACAATGCTTAGAGGAAAGGCCGACGACGTGCCTAATTGACGCACTTGATGAGTGCGAGGAACAGCAGATCCGCGATATGGTCAAGTTTCTAGCCAGGCTTTCCAAGGACAGTCCACTCTATATCTGCTTTGCTAGCCGACACTACCCGCATATTTCTATAGCGACAAATCTCAGCATCGTCCTGGAAGAGCGCGACGGCCACCAAGAAGATATTGCCACATACCTGAGCAGCGCGCTACAGATCGGACATAGCAAGCTCGCGGAGGAGATACGGTCCGAGCTGAAGGAGAAGGCATGTGGTGTCTTCATGTGGGTGGTCCTTGTGGTGGATATCTTGAATAAGGAATACGACGCTGGCCGTAAGCATAGGCTTCGCGAGCGGCTTCAACAGCTTCCGGGTGATCTTGACGCGCTATTCCGCGATATTCTGACCCGTGACACCAGGAACCAGGAGGGACTGCTATTATGCATCCAATGGGTCTTGTTCGCCGCGCAGCCTTTGACGCCAAAGGAGTTATACCTCGGAATTATGGCAGGCATTGAACCGGAATATCTTCCTGACTGTCACTCCTCAGAGACTTATTCCGACGACGATATACGAAAATATATCCTAAACAACTCAAAGGGCTTGGCCGAATCGACGAAATCCAAGAAACCAACGGTCCAGTTCATACACGAATCCGTACGAGATTTTCTGCTGAAAGAGGATGGCCTTAGCAAGGTGTTTCCAAATCTTGGGCCGAACGTTCTCGGGTACAGTCATGAAGCGTTGAAGAGCTGTTGCCTAAGATATATGCGTATGGAAGCATTGGTCGCGATCGGAGATTCGTCCCGTGAGGCTGCCATCACAACATACCCGCTCCTGGAGTATGCCAACCGAGGCATTCTATACCATGCGGATCGCGCAGGTGACAACGGTGTACGCCAGCACAGCTTTCTCGATGATTTCCCACGTCCAGCATGGGTGCAGCACTACAATATGCTTCAGAAGTATGGGGTGCGCCGCTACACGTCGAATGTCAGTCTTTTGTATATCTTGGCGGAGGCCGGAATGCCGGCACTGGTTCGCGCCTACGCGAATCGACAGTCGTGTTTCGATGTGGAGGATGAGCGCTACGGCCTTCCGATTCTGGCAGCATCGGCCGTGAAAGGTGCCGCTGCCGTACAAGCAATGCTGGAGGCCGAGGCCCATCGAGTGCCAGGGTTTTCTTTTGGTGACTTCTGTACTGAGCTTTTGTCTTCGGTCGAGTTATCAAATGCGCCAAGTCGAAATTTTCGATTTAAAAAGGAAAGAAATCTGTTGCATCAGCTTATTGACTACGGAGACGAATTCATCTCACTCTTCTTTCTCAAAACACGACTTAGCGATGAACTTCAAGGCAGATCAGGAGCGGATGTTCTTATCAAGGCTGCTCAAAGGGACTTCAGCATTCTCTTCAAGCAGCTTATTGACCACGGTGCCGATATATCGGCTGCGGACAAAGACGGATACGACTTATTGTACCTGGCATCTATTAATGGGATGGTCGAGAGAGCTAAGCTGCTTATCAACCACGGTATCGACGTTAACACCCAGGGCGGATCCTACGGCAACGCTCTACAGGCTGCTTCACTAAATGGGCACCAGGAGATCGTGCAGCTGCTGCTCGATAACGGGCCGACGTTAACGCCCAGGGCGGGCAACACGGCAACGCTCTACAGGCCGCTTTATTAATGGGGCGCCTGGAAATCGTACAGCTGCTGCTCGATAACGGGGCCGACGTTAATAAGTCTTAGAATGCTTAAAGTCCACTTTTGGTAGCTATAAGCGAAGGCCACGGAGGAATAATATGTATGCTTCTTACTGCTAGAGCACACCATCGAGTAACGGATAGTTTTGCTGGAATAGTTTTAATGTACGCAATTATTTATAATTCTTTTATGGTAATAAATATTTTATTTGGCAAAATTGGACTTAACATCAATATAAAAGATTAATAGGGATTAACGGTGATCTCCTTCGCTGCTCGGCTTGGACGCTTAAAAGTATTAAAAA